CCTCGTCGTCGCTCTCCCCCTCGTCGTCGCTCTCCCCCTCGTCGTCGCTCTCCTTCTCGGTGTAACCACCAAGGGAAAGGTTACATTGCGACGCTTTTTCGCGGGCGCGGTTAGTTCGTCTTCCTCTGCTGTATGGTACCGACCTACCCTGTGTTTTTCATTCTCGTCGTCGCCAGGTTGGCGGCCACCACCTCTACCAGCAAGAGAGCACGTCGCCAGGGGCAGTTTTCTTTTCTTTTCGTCTTGTTTGGATGTGAGGAGGGAAAGAGCTTCGGACGCGGACAAGGCAGATGGATGGTGGCGATTGGGATCACAATGCAGTTGGTCTGAGGTTGCTAAGGAGTAATAGAATGCAACAGGAATCGAATTCATTATAGGGTATACGTGACTGTTGGGCCGGGGATTGAGTTTGACTCAATGAAAGCCCTCTACCCCCCGAGCTATTAGACAATATTAGTACTAATTCTATGGCCCGTCCTGATGACTACGCCGTCTCCCCGTCATCTCTCATGCTGTATGCAAAAATTCCCTCTCAGGCCGCTTAATTCGCCGGCTTGCGGGCGACCATAAGGTACATGGGTGTGAAAAGGTCCTTCTTCGCGCCGGCAACGAGACCGTCGGCTCCCTTGGCGAGCGCGTCGGCCGTCTTCTTGGTGCCCTTGGGCGCGAGACCGATCGTCTCGAGCAAGCCGGTGAAGTGATGCACAGCTGTCCGGCCCGCATGCGTCATCCGCAGTACTGTGAAGAGATCCCAGTATGACTGCATGTACTTGACCTCGCCAGCAATGCCCCAGTACCAGGGGATCGGGTCGTCGCGCTTGGCCAGATCCTCGTGGTGGAGCAGCTCAAACCCGGCTTCCTTGATGGCCGCGAGACCCTCGGAGATGGTCACCATGTTGGAGATGCCATTGCCCTCTTCGATTGCGAGGCGGATGTCGCGGTGCTCCAGGTTGTTGTTGTCGTATTTGTCCGTCATCAACCACTCGTACACGCCGAAGGTGCCGCCGGGCTTGAGTACCCGGTAGATCTCGCTGTACACGCCGACAAGCTTGGGGGCGTGGACAGTGGCCTCGATGGCGTAGACGGCGTCGAATGAGTTGTCGGGGAAAGACATTTGCTGTTCAGAGGTTAGCGTGGCTCGTATGCTCTGGTCGACCCTGTGGGTGGGTTACCGTACCATGAAGTCACCCTTGACGAACTTGAGCTGGCCGGAGAGACCCTCCTTCGCGGCATAGCGTGTGGCACGCTCGATTTGGTAGTCGTTGTTGTTGAGGCCGGTGATATGAGCATCTGTGAACTTTGCGATTTCCCTGGCCGGCCCGCCGACACCGCAGCCAACATCAAGAACCTTCATGCCGGCCTGAATGCCAGTCTTCATGGCGAGGTAGTGTTCGTGGCGGGCAATGGCCTGGTAGAAGCTCTCGCCAATCGAGTACCGGCAGAAGTGAAAACTTTGGCCCCAGCCATACTCGTACAGATCGGTTGCGAGGTTGTAGTAACTATGCGACGACATAAGGTGAGCGGAGCGCTCGACATATTAGACGGCGACAGAATTAGACTTGTGACTTACTGCCTTGTCAGACTGGCGTACTCCTTTGTCCGAGCCTTTTTTGCTTCTGTGAGCATGTGCTATTGTGCCAGGCATTGTGTCGGCGGACCTACCTCTCTGTCGGCGTCGGTCTCGGTTTCTGCGCGCTTGTTGTCAAAGTGCTTGAAGTACTCGTCTACAGCGACTTGCTTCGCGTTCTTGTCCTTGGAAAGCATAGCGGCGAAGCCACCAGCGGCGTCGGTGGACTTGCCGTGCAGGGCCTTCATAAACGCAGCATCCCGCGCATGGTCCTCCTTCTCTAAGGGGACGACCGGCTTTGACGAAACCATGGTGAGCTTGTTGAAACTGAAGAAACCGAGAACCGAGTTACTGGTACGAGAGTCAAGAAAACGGGCTTTCAAAGGTGCGACAACAGAATTGAGGGTTGGCCGTCGAACAATCTGCTTTCTGCGGAAAAAAATGTCCATCGCCCCCTATTAATTATAGGCCTACCTAAGGACAAGGGGTTCTGTTAAACAGACGCTAATGTTAGGCCAATTGGTGAAGCGGGGCGGGAAGCTCCATGCCAAGCCCCACTTATGTGCATCTCGATCCAGGAACCGGACCCAAGCGACCAATAACACTCGACCATGAACTCGGCATTGGCATTTGCTTTCTGCCCGCTACAAATCCGAATTCGAGAGAGGCGGTGATCGGTCGACGCGAATTCGAATACAACATTTAAGAGCCAACGACATTGACGAAATTGAATTTGTGCTCCACAGAACAGGCATACCTCACAGGAACATTGTCTCTCTGGCATTCCGATAATTTGTCATTTGTTGCGACGAAGTGGTTCGGCGGGAGAAGACTGGAACGAATACGAATAAGAAACGATCGGACCACATACCCAGCCACAGTCAACGTACCTTCAGTGGCGACAGATAAGCTTATCAAGTCACAAGCCACAGAAAGCTCTCGGCTATCGCCCCGTCGAGAATCCTCACCACTCACCCCACGTCCCTTCGCAAAGCAAACCATCAGATCAGAGCCTCGAACCGAAACCACCACCACAAACACAACCCCATCGGAAAATGCCGCCACCCCAAATCAAACAAGACCTGAACCGCTCCGGGTGGGAATCGACCGATTTCCCCTCAGTCTGCGAAAACTGCCTGCCCTCGAACCCCTACGTCAAGATGCTCAAAGAGGACTACGGCGCCGAGTGCAAGCTGTGCACGCGGCCCTTCACCGTCTTCAGCTGGTCCGGGGACGGGCGCGCGCACGGGCGCAAGCGCCGCACAAACATCTGCCTGACGTGCGCGCGACTCAAAAACGCCTGCCAGTGCTGCATCATGGACCTGCAGTTCGGCCTGCCCATCGTCATCCGCGACAAGGCGCTCGAGCTGATCGCCCCCGGCCCGCAAAGCGAGATCAACCGCGAGTATTTCGCCCAGAACAATGAGAGAGCTATTGAGGAGGGCCGTGCCGGAGTGGAAGAGTACGAGAAGAGTGATGAGAAGGCCAGGGAGCTGCTCCGCCGCCTCGCGCAGAGCAAGCCGTACTTTAGGAAGGGGCGGGAGGTGGATTCGGAGGGGAATGTGGTTCCATCTTCTGGGAGTGGGAGTGGCAGCGCGACTGGAGGGAACCCGGCTGTGGGTGCCGGACTGGGTGGCGTCGGCCCGATAAGGACGAGGGACTCGAGGGCGGCAGCCGCGGCGGGCGCGAGACCTGGCGGTGGTGCGAGGAGAGGACCACTTGGAGCGAGCGCGCCGCCGCCAGGACCGAAAGATTGGTTGCCCCCCGCGGATCGCAACATCATGTCACTGTTTGTCACGGGAATCGAAGACGACCTCCCCGAGCACAAGATTCGCGACTTCTTCAAGGTGTTTGGCAAGATCCGGTCGCTCGTGGTTTCGCACATGACGCACTGCGCGTTTGTCAACTACGAGACCCGAGAGGGAGCCGAGAAGGCTGCGGCCGAGTGTAAGGGGCGGGCTGTCATCGCGGGTTGCCCATTACGGATCCGGTGGAGCGTGCCCAAGCCGATTGGGACGATGGACAAGGAGGAGCGGGCGGAAATGTTGCGCGACGGCCGGTCTGCTTTCCCCGAGGCTAGACGGAGAGGGGGGCCGCAGCAGAAGGCTTTACAGGACGGTAGTGCGCAGGGCGCGGGTGCAGCTGCTGCCGGGCAAGACGACCTGTCTAATCTGGCTGTTGCTGCACCGCCTGGCGCGGCCGATGTACAATATGCCAGTCTGTCTGGAAACTGAAACCATCATGAGGTATCTGCTTGTTGGCGCGGCGTTTGGGAGGCCTGGGTTGGGAAATGGTCACAAAATATGTTTGTCTGGCGCATTGTCATGGCTCGGGGAGAATCATGTTATGTTCTAGTGTTACATCGAGGGGTATCATAGACGGCTATACAGTACACGGCAGGCTTTCAAACCTTATGCCTGCCTTAGCTAATGACATCTCGTCGTCCATCTCCCGACAAGGTCGCTATTATTGCGGCTTGCTGCTACCTCTCCGAGCAGCACTTCACTCCACCGTCGACTGTGATGTTCTTATTTCCGAGCTTGATGCTGTCATTGTCGCCTCGTTCCGTGTATTGGTGGATCCGGAGTTCTAGGTCAAGAGCGGTGAGCAACATGTCCAGCCAAAAGAGGAAAGAGCTGGCGCACTCACTGTACTTATCCCCTTCCCGTCTCCCCTGAACGAGGTTTGTCTTCAAAAAACTGGCAACTTCCTCGGCGTGTTGAATTGCCGGCTGCACTGTCGGATCTGAAGGTGACAGCGAGGCTTTCTCCCGGAATTCCCGGCGAATCTGTTGCCTCGCGGCATCGAGCATCCTCGTATCGCCTGATTTTGCCCTGTTAGTTGACACTGCGTGTGGGGTGTTGGACTGGGCTGTTTAACCTTCAAAGGCTATCCTGCTTGCGCGCAGAAGATTTTTGTATGCCTGCAGGGCCGCCATTTAGGAAATTCTCTGTATTGATTTGCAAGTTGTTCGATTCCTCGGTTCAGGTGCAAAGGCAGCGAAGTAAATTGACGTGGATGGGTTCTCGGCGCAAAACGGTCGAGGGTTTGATATAAGATGCTCGGGACCGGGACTTGAAGGCGAGGTCGATGTGCCAGCCTTGTGCTGGTTTTGGCTGTTCATTGGTTAAAACCAAAACAAAGTGGAGACGGATTCAGTTCGAAAAAAATATTCTGGAATCTGGACCATCCGAAACCTGCCCCTCCAAAGAACTTTCTTACTATTTTCTTCAGCATATCGGAACCTAGACGACACAATGGCACCCATTGTGGTACCGCTACCATTGCCTGCCCTCCCTGAGGGCTGGGAAGCCGAGAAGGACTTCAAGCCGGTCGGAAAGATCACTCAGGATGGGGCGACGCAGCGCACTCTGGAACCTATCGGCCCTCACTTCCTCGCTCACGCCCGCCGCGCCCGGCACAAGCGCACCTTTTCCGAAGATGACCGGATACAGGCCCAGGAGCGCGCCAAGAAGGTCGAAGAGGACAACGACAGCGAGATCAGCGAGCCCGAAGACCCCATCATGCTTCAGCGGGATGCCAAGGACTGGAAGGTTTGTCGGCAACGCCCCCAAATTTGTTACCTGTTCTGCCGCTAACCCCCTACCTAGACGCAAGACCACTATAAGGTGCTGGGGCTTTCCAAATACCGGTACAAGGCGACCGAGGAGCAGATTAAGCGTGCGCACCGGAAGAAGGTGCTAAAGCACCACCCCGACAAGAAAGCTGCTGCAGGCCGCGCCGACGATGACAACTTCTTCAAGTGCATCCAGAAGGCCACCGAGGTTCTGCTGGATCCCGTCAAGCGTCGACAGTTCGACTCGGTCGACGAGGAGGCCAACGTCGACCCGCCGACCAAGAAGCAGTTGGCCAAGGGCAACTACTACAAGCTCTGGGGCAATGTATTCAAGTCGGAAGCCCGCTTCAGCAAGGTACACCCTGTGCCGTCATTTGGCGACGAGAACTCAACAAAAGAGGAGGTAGAAAACTTCTACAACTTCTGGTACAACTTTGACAGCTGGCGGACGTTTGAGTACCTGGACGAGGACGTGCCGGACGACAACGAGAACCGCGACCAGAAGCGGCACATGGAGCGCAAGAACGCCAACGCGCGCAAGAAGAAGAAGGCCGAGGACAATGCGCGTCTGCGCAAGCTGCTCGACGACTGCTCGGCGGGGGATGAGCGCATCAAGCGCTTCCGGCAGGAGGCCAACGCGGCCAAGAACAAGAAGCGGCTCGAGCGCGAGGCGGCCGAGAAGAAGGCGGCCGAGGAGGCCCGGCTGAAGAAGGAGGCCGAGGAAAAGGCCGCCAAGGAGGCTGAGGAAAAGGCAAAGGCCGAGAGAGAGGCGAATAAGAAGGCCAAGGAGGCAGCCAAGAACGCCGTCAAGAAGAACAAGCGTGTTCTGCGCGGGTCGGTCAAGGACGCAAACTACTTTGTTGAGGGCGACGCCCCAGCGGCGACCATCGATGCTGTCCTGGGCGATGTCGAACTGGTGCAGTCCAAGATCGATGCCGACGAGATTGCCGCTCTGGCTGGTAAGCTCAATGGTTTGAAGGTGGCCGACGAGATCAAGGGTGTCTGGAAGGAAGAGGTTGAGCGGCTTGTTGCTGCTGGGAAGTTGAAGGCGGGTGAGGTCAAGACGCTTGTTGCATGATGGGATGTGGAAAATGCATTGGGACAGCGAGTGATCATTGAGGTACTACATCCAATAGACAGGGGTTATCTGTTGAGCCGCTGAGAGTGAGACAGCTATCCTACCAGGGGTTATGAGTTGCGAGGTAAAAGTCCGTAACAGATGCGAGTGTCATGGAAATGTGCCATTGCAGCCAGGAGAGAAGTGGGGGTAGAAGAGAAGTGCCTCCTAATTCCTAAAGGCCTTAGGACCCCAGAGTCCAGGGGTTCTGGAACGGACCCCCAAGGCAAGCTCACCATTTGTCATTCTAGCACCACCCTACCTGCCGTCATTTCTCACTCGCAAAACGGCTCGGGGTTATTTACAGAAGACTGACTACAGACTCACTACACGACTGACCGCACAGCACACAAAACCAACTTTGCCCTTCCAACCCCCTCAACAGCTACTCCGTAGGGACATACCCTACCCAGACATCTTCCACAACTCACTCACTCATAAACATAGCAAAAGGGCCCATCAACCACACTGACCAAATCCCTAATCTTGTACACCTTATCCCCCACAACCCCCAAATCAACCAAATCATCAAGTGACTGCATCCGCCCACCAAACCCCATCATCGACGTGCCCCCCGCAATGACATTTGTCCTCGCCGCGAGGTCCTGGCTCTGCCAGATAGTCCATGTACGATCAATCATGGCATGGTGCAGCCAAAAGGCCGGGTCGTTGGGGCTCGTGTAGAAGTCGCCCGCGGGGTCGCCCGCAATGGTGAAATGCCCGCCCGCGTGCACGCCGATGCCGCCCGCCGCCCCGCCAAACCCGAATCCGCCGCCTTGCATCACATTCTGGAAGGTGGCGATGTCCCGGCTGGTGGTGATCAGGCTCACGATGTCCTCGGTGCGCGTGTACCGGCTGGAGAGGTAGTTGGAGATGTCACGCCGCAGGCAGCGCGGGTTGTCGCCGTACCCGTCGGCGCGGGGGTTGCGGGGCGGGGCGGGGTCCACGGCGGGGGAGACGGGGCCCAGGCGGACTGTCATGCTGTTTTGTTTAGGTTAGCACCTCCGCAAGGTGGAGGGACAGGATAGGGGCAGGGTGACGAACTTTTTGAACGGCCCTGTCTCGACACATCCGCCGCCGTTGCCGGCCGGCGCAAAGGCCGAGGCGCGGTGCTGGATCTTTTTGCCGTTGCCGCTCATGGAGGTATCGCTGCCGTCGAAGATGGGAGACTTCTCCGGGTCGGCAGCCCAGCGGCCCCAGTTCCAGTACTGGTTCAAGTGTGGTTAGTTTTATGGTGGATAGGTAGTGGTCTGGACGGGTGCTTACCGGCTGGGTACCGGTGTAGCCACACTCTTCTCGGAGGACCCTTTCGAAGGACCATGTGTAGAAGCGGTGCCAGGAAAGGAAGCTTCCCTGTGACGGGGTTAGTGTATGCCAACAGAAGGTGATTGAAGCGTGGAGGGATCGCTGACGGTGCCGTGGATATTGAGAGTCTGGTTCATGTGGACGGCCACAAAGTCGTCATATCGTGTCTTGGCCCCCGGGTACCTCGTCTGATCCAGCTTGGACGGCTTCTCCATGGTGCACAGGACAGCAGCGATGTAGGCCTTCTTCTCGGCAGCCGAGATGTCCCCCCTGTCATGGTGTTAGTCCTTGGGAATCGGTCACTGGAGAGGCAAAGGCTCACCATTCCCGGCGGACCTGCAGCTTGTCCTTGGTACATGTCCTCGACTTGGCTATCTGGGCGTCGATGCTGGGCCTGCCCTTCTTCTCAAGGTCTGCCACCGCATCACCAAACACGAGGCCCGTGAGCAGCAGCCATGGCACGGCAAGTAGCGCAACCAGAGAGAGGCGGGTCATGATGGGCAACGTCGCAACGATCTAGAAGCCTTGCTCGACAAAGAGGTTTCTGGCAAATAATGCACGGGGATGTCACCTTATTATACCATTGTTCGATTTTCCGTCTCTTTTCCCTCTCATCCCTCTGGCTTCTCCGGAAGCTTCCATTCTTTCCTTTCCGGATAGACCAATCGGCACCTCGGGTCCGTTATAGATTTCTTGGTCGTAGTATAGTGGAATCCGAAAAGGGGCAGTATAAACAAGGATCCAAGCCCAACAATGATTATTGCAACCTTCACCTGCCAAACTTCTCGGATCCCGGCAAACCTAACGGCAGTGAGCGAACTGTCGTGTAAGGCAAGGCCCTGATGGGTAAGTACCTACCTACCCATCCAAATGGCAGAGTTACTTCCGTCTCTCACTTATTGATCGAAGCATCCAGCCGGCTCTCAGCCGTCCGACTGGAGCCCGACAAGCTCAAAATAGTCAGCCACTATACGCCGGGCCCACTGGCAGGCTTGGGTGTCCGGCAGTACTGGGCTTGTGTAGGTATTGACATGACGATGAAACGAGAGCACCCGGCGAGGCGAGGACTGTTTGTCGTCTGGTATCCAGCTCGGTGGGAGAGTGTAGGCCGCAATGCTGCCGACTGGTCCGGATCATTGCCCTGGCAATATAACCCGTCCGCTGGCAAATCTGGGGTAAATACCCGTATAATTTTTCTGGGGTAAAGCTGTCTCTCCCCGCAGCCGGTTCGCCCGTGCCAATATGAGCCCTCGCCGGTGATTTGTCTTTTGATTTAAGCGTGCATTACACCATTGCTCTGAGCTGTATTTAAACTCTGGGCGCGTGCTCGGCTACGCCGTGACACATCACCCACAGAATTGCGACTGGTCCGGGACAAATGGAGTGCTAGTGAGCCTGGTTTCCCATGGCCCCCATGTGCTGACATCCCTTGTATGCCTTAGAAGATTGGAGGAATGCGAGTTGAGTGTGGCCGAGTTGCACTGTCGCCAACTCACTTTTCATCTTCGTCACGTTGTGCCCACATGGTGGCAACCCCATCTATTCCGTCGTTTTGTGCGCACTTGGCGAAAGAAATGTTCGGCTGTTGTCTGAGTTGCCCACGGTTCATCTGCTTAGAATTTGATGGGTTGTGGTTGGCTTGTGACCTTGCTTCCTGGCCGTGAGAAAGCCAACTCAACGCAGAAATTGCCTGGGCAAAACATTAAGTGTGGAATCCAATCTGAAGGGGCCAGGTCAGAATGATAACACCGCCGAGATGCCAGACCAATAGCCCATGTGTAGACAGACGCCATGGACCGCCGAGTCGCATGTTCTCTTGATGCTGAAACCGACGAAATCCATGTAGTCGGTCTCCGGAACCTTCCTGAAAAGAAGAGATGAGGGTTGTGGTTCTTGTTCAACTTCGGCTTCCAGGGCGCTGACACTGGCCTGGAGGAGTGCTGCTGGACGACCCCACGACAGTGTCTCTTACAGAGAATCCAATGAGAAAAAGGTCGAAATTGCTCAGAGGAAGGAATGACGTGATGAACAATATCTGGCTCTATATTCCTAAAGTGTTAGTGGCTCACCGCTCTTGCCGGAAAGCGCATAGGGTATGGTACGTATGTAGTATGTACCCGAGCCAGCATCCACGGAGGACCTAACTCGTTCCTTCCTACTTTAGGTACGCAAAAATTCTCCTCTCAAGTACCTTGACTCGTGAGTTGGGCGACAATCAGGCCGGGCATTGTTGCCTCCAGGCTCCATCCCCCAGGCTGGTGAACCTGGAGAGTTGAGATCTGGTTCGGGTCATCTGCCGAACCTCAACTGTGCACCTGAGGAGTGCCCGTGAGATATGATTCATACTTATGACTGTGACGCCAAGCTTCGTTCGTTTTGCCGCAGGCCACCAACACGGTGACATGGTGTGCTGCCTAGACCTAGGAATTGGGAAAACCCTAGGAAACGTGGCATAAGTAAAGGGTAAAAAGAACGTGATGGATGATAGTCAAAACTAAGACTGAAGTTCCGCCAAGCTGTAGGCCCTAGCCTGGATCATGGGCTACATCAATGAGCATAGGTAGACAAGCTATTCTTCAAAATTGTGCGTGTAGGGATCAATAATCAGGATGAACCAAGCCCTATCTGGGCCTGACGGTGTCCCAAGAAGAGGATTCGACCTCAGAATGCCTTTCCAAGGTAATTGTGAAATGTGAAGTGCTGAAATTGGGAGGTGGCCAAGGGGACTTGAAGAAGAGCGAGAGATACTGGTAGAAAGACATCAGTAGAGATGCAATGTCTGCTGCGGCCCTCTTAGATTATTCGCATCTCTTCCAGCGTCGTAGAAACGGACCAAGCTGCCAGAACCCAACAACGGCCTTCACCGGATGACGGTAGACGAACGACGAGCAAGCCAATGGTGGGGAAGCTTGGAGACGGTTTTCAAGCAGAGCAGCCTCGCTATCGATGTATAAGTTGAGCCGGGAAGCTTCTACAGTCGTCGTACAGCCGTCCTCGGTTGCGTCAAAGTACACCATCATGCCCATTGCTCCAGGCTGTCAGCTGTCCCGGACTCCGGTCCCGGTCGACTATTATCCGCTCGGAGCCTTTCCCTGCGATTTTTTAAACAGGATGAAGGAAGCTTAGTACTAACGGTGATGAAACCACTCTCTATAAATGCTCCGTATGCGGCGCCTTGATGGGCTGTCACGGTGGATCACAGAGGCGCCATGTATGCGGTCCTCCATGTTTGAAACTGAAGTCGCCAAGGAGGTAGCGTTCAAACTGAAGCAGACAGGGCCCTCGACTTCTAGGCGCGTCAGCTGCGTTCGAGGTTCTCGCCTACCTACATGTAATGGGCCTGACATCTGGGGATGTGTGGAGATGCTGGTCGAGTGTGAATATATCCAACGGCCCGGGGCGGGTGATGAGGGCGTACGGACCGTACGGTACCTTGCGTAAAAGACTCGGATGGGACATGAAGGGAGATCTAACGCACCACTCCACCTCCAGTCATCCGCGAATGCCTGCACTTTCCAGTGCCATAGAAGCGAGAGGGTAGCACGAAATAGATTCTGCGGCCGAATTTCATCCATTTGACACCCCATTACCCTCCGACCCCGGTGCCTCAAGCCTCTCACAAAGCCTCTACCCTTCCAAGACACAGCACGCAAATCTATATGTTACAGATCCAATCCAAAGCTCCCCCGTGCCTAGCTATGCCAGTGCCATTGCAAAGCAAGGGTAAACAGTATGTACAGTACAATGCATGAAGACAGCACCGCAGCCTCGAACTCCCAGAGCCAAAGGCAAGGAAGGGTCACCGGTTGTGAATATGCTGAATGGCAGCAAGCCATTTCTGTTCGTCCGACCTAGACGAGGAGAAGACGCATGTAAGCAACAGCCCAAAAAAAAACCGCGACAAACTGCAGTGAAGGAAACTTACTTGTCGAACTTAAGCAACTTCCCCAAGACCGGCACAAGCTGCGCTCGAAGCTTGTTATCCTTCTGCTCCAAGAACTGCAACAAAATCGTTTTCAGATACATCGCGTCCTGACCGCTGCCACTCCCTTGTCCCTGTCCCTGTCCTGCGCCACTCATAGTACTAGTACCGCCGGAGCGGGTCGAGTCCATTGAGCTCCGGCCGGGGCTCGCAACCGCAACGGCCGCCGGAGACGACACAAGCTTGGCCTGCAACGCCTTGGCCTCCTTGGCCAGCTTGTCGTAGCGCAGCCGGTAATCGTCCAGGGCCCTGCGGAGCTCGGCGTTCTTCTTCTCCGAGTCCCTGACCTGCTGCTCGGAGGCATCCAGCGTCGACCGCAGGTTGGTCACGGTCGTGCGCATCTCGGTGACCTCGGCCCCGGCCCTCTCCTCGTACGCTTCCAGCTCTTCGCGCCGCCTCCGCCATTCGCGCTCCTTGTGCTCGAGGTCATCCTTTTCGGTTGCGAGCGCCTTCACCTCGCGCTCCAGGTCGCGGATCTTTTGCCTGAGCTCCTCCGTCTCGCGCGCCTTGCGCCGTGCGAGAGCGCTCGACTCGTCCTCCAGCCGATCGCGCTCCTCGATGGCCGCGTCCATCTTTGCGCGCATCTCGCGCACCTTGTTGTCGGCGCGCTCGTCGACGTCAGCAAGCAAGCGGCGCATGGTCTCGGCTTCGCGCGTACGCTCGCCGAGCATCTTGCGTGCCTCGGCCAGCTCCTCGTCGAGGCTCTCGCACTGTGACTGGCTCTCTTTGAGCTGGATGCTTAGCTCGGCCGTTTGGTCTCGCATGCTGCTAAGGAGGTTCTGCGCGTTGCTGTACTGGTTCGTCTTGAATTCTATCTCCTCGCGGAGGACGTCCTGCTCCTTCTTTAGCTTGGCGGCTTCGTCCTCAAGCTCCCTAATGCGAGGCCGCAACTTGGCTGCCTCTTCTTGGACGCGCTGTAGCTCGCGCGTGGCCTTTTCTTCTCTTGCTGACAGCTCAATCTTTTCGGCTTCGGAACGACGAAGGTCGCGGCCTGCCACACGCTTCTCGTCTTCTAACCGTAGTCGCGCGTTTGTCTCTTGTGCGACCTTCTCATGAAGCGACTTGATCTCGGCCTCACGGTCGGATGCCAGCCGCTGAGCCCGCGTGAGCTCCGACTTTAGATCCTTCTCGCGCTTCTCCAGCTCGCGTAGTTCCGTGCTCTTAGCAGCCAGCTCTTCTCGTGTCGTCTTGAGTGCTGCAGAGTCCTGCCTAAGAGACTTGAGCTCGGGCTGAGCCTTCTGGAGCACCTCCCGCAAATCAGTGAGATCCTTGTAGCGAGTCTGGGCTAGCTGTTGCGCGGCGGCCAGGTCGGATTGAAGTGTTGACGACTTCATCTTGAGACTATCAAACTCCTGCTTCAGCGATTCATGCTCGCTTTGCAGGGCGGAATTGTTTCTGGTTGCCGAGGCCGCAGTCTCAACCTCCTTTTCGAGCTCAGAAATGCGCTCCTTCAGCGCCTTCTTCTCGGCCTCTAGTTCCTTGATCCTCTCCCGTGCCTCGACATGGTCTTGGCCAATCGTCAACAGGTTCTCCTGCAAAATTTCGATTTCCTCGCGGAGTTCTTCCTCGGTCTTGCGCTGCTTGGACAAGCTCTCAATCCGGCCATTTTTCTCGGCTAGCTCTGCCAGGAGACGATCTAACTCGGCCTGCAGCTCCCCGCTTGTCGGCCCTTGTTGCGGTGAAGGTGGCGCTTGGTCCGCCGCTACTGACGCTTCACTTGGAGTCGGCTCTGAGGAAGCAGAAATGGCTGAGGCGCCTCCCTTCTTCTTCTTCTTGTTCTTCTTCTTAGACCCGCTCGCGGTGGCAGCGGCAGGTGAACTCTCTTGAGTCGACTCCACTCCTGTAGGAGCAGCGGTCGAGGTGGATGCGGGTTGGATTTTCCTGTTGAGTTCGTCGACCCTGGATTCCGCTTCGGCATTGGCCTTTTTCAGCAGCTCAATCTCCGACGCTAGGCCTTGGATCTTCTTGTCCAGGGCAGACTTGGCTTGGTCCGCGCTCTTTAGCTCCCTTTCCAGTTCCTCATTCCGAGAGATGGAAGCAGTGAGCCGGGTTGCATTATCCTTAGCTGCTTCCGCTGCTTCGCGTTTAGCCTCCTCGAGCTGCGCCTCGACGTCCCTAAGCTTAGAATGTGCCTTGTCGAGCCGTTCGGTAAGGGCTGAGATCTCGGTATTCCTAGCCTCAAGTTGAGTCTCAAACGAAGCCTTGACTGCGGCAGCATCCTTGCTCTCGCTGAGTTCTCTGGTGGCGTTCTCCAGGCTCTCTACAAGGCCAGCGCTGTGCTCTTTTACCAGAGATAGCTCATCCTTCAAGTTCCGCACTTCGCCCTGAAGCTTTTCCACCTCTTCGGATTTCCTTGAAAGTTCAGCTTGGAGCTGTGGTATTTCATTGTCGTACGAGAAGAAGTCTTCCTTGTCGCCAGCGTCCTGCGAAACCGAAGGCTCCGATGGCTTCTGCTTGGGGGAGAAGACTTCCAGCACGCGCGAGACAGGGGATTTCTGCGCTTCAGCAGTACCGCTTGCCTCTGCACTCGTGGTCTCAGAATCTTTCTCATGCCCTCCCGTCGTGCTGGGGGATTTTGCTGTCTTCAACGCAGCAACTTCCTCCTTCAGCACGACAAGCTCCTTTTCAGCGTCGTCCGCCTTCCTTTTGTAGGCATCCTTTTCGGCTGTGACACGCTTGAGCTCTTCCATCACCATGTCGTTCCTCAGATTGACTTGGTTCAAGTACTCGACCAGAGCTTCGGGGTCCTTGATGGAGGTGAGCGGCGTGTTCTCCTTGAGTGCTCTTTCGAACGGCTCGATCGACGTTGCTCGGCTATGAGCGATACGGTAGGAACGCAGGAGCTCTGGGTATGTCTTTTCAAGCTTTTCAAGCTTCCGAAGACGGGCCCGTACCTCTGGAGGTAAGTTGGGCACAACGGGTAAGGAAATCTTGGCCGCTTGCCCTATGTTGGTAGCACCGGCTTCTCTCCCTTCCTCACTTGGCGGCGGGTCAGCAACGCCGTTGCTCGGCGCAGTGCCAGCACTTTTCTCCGCATCCTTATCGGCATCTCCAGTTTTTGAATCCTTGTCTAGTGACGGCGGCGTCGCTGCCCTTGAGGGGTCAGCTGTCTCGTCGGCATCGTCGATGACAAAGGCAGCTTCAAAGACCGCGGGGTCGGGGTTAGCAGCCCCGTCGCCATTCGCGTCCTTCGTCGTAAGGTCTTCGCTGGCCTTTTTTGTTGGTCGAGGCCTCCGGGCCGGTGACTGTGTCCCTGCGCCGCTCGAAGATCGTGATCGCCGTGAGGCGGAGTTGGCTGAGCCCGGCGCTTGCTTCTGCGCTTCAATGCTTGCCCTGTGTCTAGCCTGCTCTTCGGCGATGGACCGGTCGATTGCGCTCTTGAATCTCTGTCACGGCAGAAGTAAGCTAGGGGTCTGCACCAGCAGAACGGGCTGCTTAAATTAAGGAGCGCGCGCCCATACCTGAAACATGACGAGGAGAGCCCCAACATAAAGCAAGGGAAGTTGGTAGGTATTGGTGTTTAGGCGTGGTGTAGGAAAGTCCGGTTGCGGTTGCAGTTACAGTTGCGGTTAGTTGATTGCGGTTAGCGACAGCAGGAGCATACGAAGCACACGAAAATAATATAGGTAATTCGCCAATCCTAAGAGACAGCTGGGTAATCCTAGCCTGAGGGAACGATTTAGCAGAATAGTGTGTGCTATCGAGAATAACCACCCCTTTGTTGGGTTTGTCGCTGGTGTCGAGTGTTCCGCGGCGCAGGGTCTCGGAGCACTCCCATGTCTTGGAGCCAACTATCCGTACTTCGGCCTTCGATCTCAGCTCTGCCAAGAAGGGCCCAGCGGCTTGGATCCCTGTAAGGCTGCAACTTGTGTGGGGTAGCAGTGGGCGACCAGGGTCTTCATACTTGATATATGCATATACACGGAATCACGAATATCTTAGTCTAACGATTCTAACCTAAGATGAGTGCGACTCGGAATTTAGTTTCCTTGTCGCGAATTGGGTGCTAAACACAGTTAAATGATGCAGTAAACTACTTTATGTACTAGTTGATAACGGTCCGAGGAAATGATGGCAAGTCAGTGATTCGGGCCCCGGGGTCATGCATCGCGCAACGGCCCGGTGCAAAAGCTTCATTGACCAAATATCGTTGTAGAAGGTAATGAGGTCACTTGCTTTGCTGAAAGGCCAGACGCAAAGCAAACGACACACATCAACCGACTGTCAACTGCCTCAAGTCCGCCAGTCCATTTCTCAATGGCAGGACAACGTCGGGAGGCAATTTCCATCGCACAGTCACCAGCAAAACAACACAAGTAGAAATGGTTTCCTTTTGGCCATGGGGCGTAAGTACTTTCTCACCGTTACTGGCATCTGCAAGGCTTCGCAAACGACTGACATTATGTACCACTTGCAGAAGGATAACTCGCCGGCCTCTTTCGAGAAGGCGCTTTCGGCGCTTTCAGCCAAAATCGCAACCACCCAAACCCAGCTCGACCAGACGCGGTCAAGATCAAGACGAGTCAAGCTACTATGCACGCTCTACCTCGGGTTCGCATATCTGGTCTACGCCATCGTGCTCATGCTGGTGGTTGGGTGGAAGAAAATGGGCCCCTTTGAATGGAGTGGCATGGCTGGTGGGCCAGTGTTGATCTCTGTGGCTCGCTCCGCGACGACTACCTTCTTCGATTACCGCATCCAGAGCTTGAGCGCGCGACTCAAGGACCAGCAAACCGAGCGCGCCAAGACAATACAAAAGCTGAAAGAGGCGACCAAGTACGATTCTACCCTGGAGCTACTGGAAAAGTACGGTGGATCCGAGAGCAGGAACAAGAAGGGGGAGGGGAAGGCAGAGGAGGATGAAGGTGGACGACCTGGGGAAAAGGGGAATCAGACGAGGGGAAAGCGTGCATCATTGCCGCAACGTACCAACATGCCGCCACCACCCACGGCGAACATCCAGTGGGGCCCTGCTTCTAGCCCTGGCCCCCCTCAGCCAAGACCGCAGAGCGCGCGAGGTACGCCGTCTCATCCTCAACCGGTACAACCCGATATGGATGTGTCGGCAGAGTTTGCACCGAATGCGTTTGACGGGAAGAACCCTCCCCCATCCATGCACTATCCGCCGGCCGTCATGACCCCTTCTGCCGAGTCGCATTGGTACGACCGCATCCTTGACACGCTCCTGGGAGAGGACGAGACGGCAGCGAAGAACAGGATTGTTCTGATCTGCTCCGCTTGCAGGCTCGTGAACGGGCAAGCACCGCCAGGGACAAAGACGCTATCCGAGTTGGGAATGTGGAAGTGCATGGCCTGCGGTGCGGTCAACGGGGAGATGGACGAGGGCAAGCGCATCGTACAAGAGGTCTTAGGGGAGCATTCTGCTGGGGTCAAGACTGAGACAACAGATGAAGATGCGGGCAGAAGCTCAAGCGACCTTGTCGAGGTTGACAAGGACTCGCAGTTGTCTGATGCCGATCCACACAGCTCGGGAGCTGAGGGATCCGGGAAGCAGAAAGGGAAAAAGAAGCAGTAACGGAGCTAGCGCGCGGTCTTAGTTTCCTTTGTCTCGGCTAAACAACATTCCGCATTTATTCTTTCACCCTATCCTGATACCAGTGAAGTTCACCGGCTCTTGGTTCCTTTCACAATAAGGTCGCTCTACGAACAAGATATTGTCCTAGTTCAAGTCCAAACACGAAATTGCCGCTCAAGCCCAATAGACTCGGTATATTAAGCTCGGCTAGGCCCCGACAAATCCACGTCTTTTCGTCTTTCTCATCACGTTGCTCTACATTGACGTATCGTTGTGAGATCATTACCGTTGTTCTTGGGTGGTTAGAGCACACCTTGACAATCTACAAATTCTCGCTGGGGCGATCTTGCCTACCAGTCCGCTGTTTCTCACATCGTGTAAATCTTTGACAAGTGGAGCATAAGCAATGGCTTCTAGTTCGACGCAGATCAACGGATGCTCCAAGTGTGGCATCGGTTGCTCTGGCGGATGTGGAGGAAAGCCCGTGGCCTGGGAGAGGCTCACTCCTGACCCAAACACGATGATCAGATGCACTGTTTGCGGAAGCAGCTGCCTTTTCCAGTGCATGGAACGCCATGTTACTCGATACTATGCGTGCCACAATCGAGCCTGTCCCATGCATAACGGGGCTAGCAAGGTCGACCCATACAGGGGCGTGATCTATCCATCAAATGCTCCGCATCCGGCTTATCATCCAGATTACTACAATAGGCGAGCGGACTCCAATCAAAACTACCAAGGCTATCAGCAGGAGAGCCGAAATGACGCTCACCCAAGGGAGCGCCGCCCCAAGACCTCGGGAGAGGACCGCCCCAGGCCCAAGGACAGCCCAGAAGAGAGAAATTCAAGGGAGAGCCGCCAGAAGGAGAATCGCCAGAGGGAGCCTAGCCGCCCGAGGAACGTCTTGAGGAAGAGCCGCCCAAGGGAGCGCAGCCGCCCGAGGGAGAGCCCCCAAAAGGAGTCAAAGGACAGCCGCCCGACGGAAAGCATCCCAAAGGAGAACCGCCAAAGAGAGCCTAGCCGCCCAAGGGAAAGCCGTCGCAAGAGCTTTTGCGAGGATTTTTTCCAGGATATTTTCCAGGGGGCCCACCGAAGAGGGCGACGCCATAGCGAGAGCCACACCAGGAGCAGACCAGTGCCAAACCCCTGGCTTGAGCCTGAGGAAGATGCTGTCTTCAGTGCGTACCATGAGGATCCTGGGACGTATCGCGATTACCAGTACCAGTACCAGTACCAGTATTACTACTATTAGGTAGGTCAGGTAGGTAGGTACGGCTGAGATAACAGCCCTGCTCGGGCGATTATCCAATGGATCCCAGTTGAGCCAAAGCACAACCTTTGGGTGTTCTTGGGCTTCAAAGTTTCCTGTTTGGGCTGCAGGTGGGAGGCTGAGAGGTCACAACTGCCCGACAACGCAAGGTAGGTCAGGTTGTGCAAGTTACGTTCAGACCAATCAGCGACTTCCACATTCGTTCATCAATTTCCTTGAACACCTAGATTGATAGCTTACTATTCGATCATTACTTTCCTTTGTAAGCGCTTTGCTTGTTTGAGTGAATCCTGTTTTAGTTCTGTGAATGCCAGATATTGACTTCGAAGATGTAAATCGGTCCTTGGGCCGGGCCACGTCGTCGAACAGGTGTGCCAACCGCCGGCGGACTAGCTTAGGTCAGTTCCATACGATGATGGCATGCGTCCGACAGACCACGGCTTTCTTCACACTGAATCTGAGCGGCCTATCGGAATGAGCTTTGTCGGCCGAGGTTGCCTGTTCCATTCTCCACGTGGATGCCAGCTATGTCGTGGGACTCTGCCAATCAAATGACATGCATATTACCTTGTTGTCGACGGTGGACATTCGCTCCTTCCCTTCTGAATCCATGGAATTCTTTCACAGAAAACTGCCACGCAGCTTCAGGTTGCCTCGGTCTGGCTCTGCGGTCCATACAGAGGCACAAAGCCAACTGATGCCACACACGTCTCGTAGCCCTGTAAACTCATCCGTTAGCAACGTTGGATTCTTGCAAAGCTTTGAGATCTCAGACCTGATGTGTTGCCACTTGGGCTGTGGTTGCCAGCAGGGCACATGTCGGGCCAGCCCTCCTTAATAGTAGATATTTCATGTCCTGCACCCTCTTCACCTCGGCGACGTCCTTTCTTATTTTCAGTCATCTTTCGCCCTGGTTGCTCAACGACCTCGGAATCATTACAACCAACCATCTCCACACATACAACCGCTGCGCCAATGTTTGAGAGTCTTTTCCTCGTTCCTCAAGGAGTAGCAGCTGCGCTGCAAGAGAAGATTCGGCAATATGGACACCCTCGACGATCCGAGCTCTACCACCACTACTACCGACTACGATTCAGGTGACAGTGAGGGTGTGGACTACGTGTATGAAAGCCAAAGGTGTGCCGAGAAGAAATACGCCAAGCCAAGGGGTCCCAAGAAGAAGTCACCCAAAGCGAAACCACGGGGGGCGGCCAAGTGCGTGTGTGGAGCCGCTCGGAGGGATGATGACGGCGAAGTCACAGTCTTCGAAGACGATACAGACACCGAAGAGGATCAAGGTCACAGAAGCCGCCGGCCCAAGCCGCGGCCCTCTGGACCGGATGGGGCTTCGAAATGCGGCGAAAAGGAGCTGAAGAGAATCGACAAGAAGGGTGTCGAGAAGAAATACCACCGAGCCCAGTCACCTTACATTGAGGAATACCCTGATGAGACTCCGCGGCCATCGGTCCTCCTGAAAGAGCACAAGATCCCCAGGAGATTCTCTGCCTCTGACACCTTGCGCACTGGGGACGTTGAAGGGGTTTCGCCGTCGTCGGATTCCAGGGGTAGATCACCTGGCAAGCATCTTCTGCGGGTGTCTCACGGCTCCCCCAAAGCAAGCTCCAGGCGCTCCGGACACCGCAGGCGTCGGCTCAATTTTCCTAGAGAACACGAAGGTAAGTTCTGACACTCGAAAACTTGAGGCAGGCCACTGAGGCAGCTAACTTGTATCAATAGGTGAAGTCTTCGACTCAGATGTGGAAGACTTGCAGCCCCATGCAAAGGGGGTCAACCCCCCTACTGCTCGCCTACACGGCCATGAGCAGGACGGGGAACTGATTCCTGTCATTGCTCGGAGCTCAGTCTGGGCCGACACGCACCAGCCAAAATACTCTTCATCGTGGCCACAGCATGCGGGGACTCACTTGTCCCAGAAGCAGCCGCGCCACCATCGGAGCCAGGAAACCGACGAGGAAATCGAGGAGCATCCTTTCAACAATAGCAACAACTTTGACGACCACGGTCGTCTGAGACAGGCTCCTGCTGCCTCATCGCGCAGCAAAGACCGGGACAACAAAGTCCGGGAGAAAGTCGAGGGACAACGCGAAAGATCTCGTCAGCGTCTCCGCCCAAGAACCATTGTGAGCCGTTCTAGCATGGCAACAATGGACCGTGGCGGTCAATCTGTTGCCACCGAGCTCTGCGAGGTCTGGTGCGGCCGTCAGGAAGACTGGGAATCTCCCTATGTCTCGGGAATTGGCAGCGACTGCGACGAGTACTACTCGGATGTCGGCGAGCCCATGAGGCTCCTACGGCCGGAGGACTTGCCGCCTCGCACTTCCTCCCCATGCCTCCTCCCCCCACGCGGGGAGAGAAGGGACTTTGGGTTCCAGGTCATGAGCCGCTCACCTCCCCCTTTTCGGTACGCGAGGGACCCTTCTCCTGCGCCGTGCGCCAGTCTTTACCGGAACCGTGCATGGCGCGGCCCGGGTCAGTGTTTGCTGCTAGAGGGGCCTCCAGTTCTGACTACCGAGCCGGATGTGATGGGGGAGGAGGAAATGGACGATTTCCGGGCTCCCTCTCGCGCGTCGAGATGGTCGAAGCCCGGATCTTCCAGGGGCTGGACGGATCCGGGGCCCCCACGGCCACTGTCACGGTCGCGTGCAGTGTCTCCCATCTTCTCTGCTAGGAAGACACGCGAGTTTCTGTCGCCGAAGCCGACGAGGGCTGCCCGGTTCGATTTCGGCGCTTGGGGCTGCGATCGCGCCTCGAGGAGCTCCCTGTCTCTGAGCTTGTTTTAGTAAGCCTGGGTTCAGTGGGGTCTGGCCGTCATCCTGGGTTTTCTGGTTGGCATGGACGACTGAACTGAATGGCGTTTGGCAGGAAAAAAAAGGGGGGCGAGCGCAGGCTTATTCGGCGTTTGGGAGTTTTGGAGTTGAGGCGTTCTAGGAGCAGGTTGGCAACATGTTATGATAATGACTCGATACTGGTGGTGGCTATGATGGTTGGAGGAGAGTGGGAGTTTGGGACTGCCATGGCTATGATGGCATATGGCGCAGGTTAGACAAAAAGGAGCTGAATGGGTATGGATGGCGCCTGGTTAGATTGGTGGGCATCACTGCAGGATTGTTTGACTCGTTGGCTCTATTTGGTATCGGGATACGAAGTAATAGGAGGGAACTTGGGGGGAAGGGGGCAAGATGGGAACGTGGTTTCACTTTGGAGACCACACACTTACGCTCATTACCAGATATTTCCTTGCGTACTTGTGCTTTCGTTCTAGAGTATCGTAATAATAGTTCAGGGAGGTTAGTTAATAGATTGGGGTTCGTGGTTCCTTACAGTTGGGATTTCACTCTGAAATGAAGTCCAAGCATTTGCTGGTTGAGGCTCTGTCCAGGGGTAGAGCGCACAGCGTAGAGAGTCAAGATCGAGGAGATGGGTAAGTTCTACGAAGCAGTGGGTTAGGGTTTGAGGCGTTAGCTTTGGCGCTGGCTGGGTGCCATGGGTGGGTCAGGGTATTGAAGGACTAGTCCTAATGTAGTAAGTAACAAACAAACCAGGGTTGAACTGTCGCGCAGAACGCGCTTGTCACTTGTCACAGAAATCCCGTCGGCTTTACATCAAACGGGTGCCTTTTCAGGTTCTCAACACTGCACATTTGCGACGTGTCACGGGTTGTCGCGGTTCGAGTACTAAACCTTCGAATAGAGTCCCGGCCGCGACCCCCGTGATGATCCCGCGAAATCATGTCTTGGGCAACATTACCACGGGAGATTTTTTGACTTAATCCTCCGTCAAGTTTGTCACTCTCCCCAAGCTCTCTATCCCGTCCTGGCAATACTTACGGATACTGACACGGGAAAACCCAAAGCTGAGCACGAACGACCTCAAGTCCCTCTCCCGCACCTCAAAAGCCCTCCGCGCTGCCACCGCAAGCGCGTTGTTCAACAAACTATGCCTGGACCTGGGCGGCGGGAGTCCGTGGGATTGGGCGGAGCAGCCACGGGCAGGCAATGACCCCATATCGCGGTGTGCAGCGGCCATGCAGAACCCTCTGGCTGCATCTCGCCAGGCGACGAAACTGACGCTGAGGATTGCTGTGGATGACTTGGCGCTGAATCCCGAGTGGTGCTTTCATCCGGGGGAGGTTGATACGGATCCTGAGCATCCGAAGTATAAGGCCGAAAGACCTGTGCTGGGGAGGATATTTCAGGCGGCAAGGGAGATTGTGGAGGGGTTGCCGGAGGGGCAGTTGATTAGTTTCAGGTGGGTATTGTGCTAGCGGCCGAGTGCTTACTGATCCTTCAAGTTGCTGTTAGGTGGTGTAGGTCTGATGCTGAATGATCGATGCAGCTGGGATCTCGGAGCCTGTCTCCCGCCTGATTTTGTCGAGGCGCTGGCTAGAAGGCAACCGCGTCTTCGAGAGCTGCAGTTCACTACCGATGTGAAGTGTTTGGGTCCTCCTGAAGATGATGCTAAGAGGATCAATGGGGCTGGGGCTTGCTTCAAGAAACTGAGGCGGTTTTGCTGGCGGGGGTATACTTCCATGCGGCAGCCGATTCAACTGGCGGAGATTGTCGAAGCTAACTGTCAGCAACTTGAAGAGCTGGAGTTGGATTTTGGATCGCGGTGGCTTCGCAAGGAACGGAAAGAGCTTACTGGGGAGTTGGGGTCTCGAGGCCGTCTTGTTCACGTCCTTCCGCAAACCGTTCCGTCGGCACCAGCGAGCTTTGTTTTTCCGGCGCTGCGGGTCCTGTCATTGACTGGGGTCGATCTCCGGGATACCGCAGGGAAGCTCAACGGTGCGTTCGATTTCGAGTCGCTAGAGTCGCTCTCACTCCGGACCTGCTACAACTGGCAAGACTTCTTGGCAAAGATTGCGCGCTCGGGAGTTCAAATAAAACTCAAGCGTCTTGAGATAAAGGGCGCGGAGGACTCGGACCGTTACGGGTCTTCAGGATATTTTTCTGGGCATTGTGGCGGATGGAAACGACGATGACAATCACGACGTCTGGACGGGCTGTCTTGAACCGCATAAGGCCACTCTCAAAAGGTTGGTGTGCCACGAGCGCCGGTACATCACCGTCAACAGAAACACACTATCCGGTGGGCTGTGTGACTGGCAGATTGTGGACGTCTACGACCTGATCCTGCGTCTTCAGCAGCATCAAAACGACTTCTCAGCTCCTACAATCGGTCTTGACTGCCTGGCGCTGTCCGTTGGCCTAGATGACCTGGTTTGTGCCCCAACTCCTTGATGGAGATAATGACTGTGGTTGATCTGACCATCACATCTAGCGCGACATTCTGAAACTCAAGGCACTCAAACGCAGGCTCAAAGTGCTGCATATCCGGCAGACCGGCGGATACGCACTCATAAACGGGTCACTAGCCCTGGACTTTTCAGGACCGAAAGCCGGGTTTACAGACGGCTTTGAGATGTCCAACTCGACGGGCATAGTCAAGAGCGCTGCACCCTGGGCGCTGCAAGACTGCCTAAAAGATGAATTTCGCCGCATCGTTGAGTGGGCTTTTGGGCGGCGCGGAATGCCGTCCCTGCAGCTGATTGCGTTTGGTGACTTTGCCCATGGACGGAGCGGCTACGGCCCGCATAACATTTTTATCGTGAGGTACAAGGAGGATCTAGGCTGGGGATTCGTCGGCCGTCCGTATCGCGTGCATGGTGCCAGGGATAAGGGACATGAACATGAGTGGGCGCATATTGTCAGACCGCATTGGGCGTTTTTAGAGGCGTGTCCCGTTGCGCCGTTGATGGGCACTTTGCAGAGTGCGGTTAGGCACTTTTTCTGATGCCTTGCGGCCTCTATGGGTTGGGTGTTCTGTCACCGGCGGCGGAAGGGAGGGAGAAGTTCTGATTGTGTTTACATCCTGAGTGGTGTATGAGATTGTACGGGTACGTTCCATCCTTCAGCTGTATGGTATTTGGAGGCACGGTTGACCTGGCTTTTGGCCGTTGGCGGGCAGAACCGGCGATGCAAGTACCTAATGAGATTCCTGTTCCATCTTTCATACCTTCTCGTACAAGAAGGACCTGTGCATCTTGCGATTTGTTCGGAGGATACCCGATCCGTCTTACGGTATGTTCTTGACAAATCCGTCAACTTCTACTCAAACCCCTTAGCACTCAAACTCTCCCCGATTCCCCTGCTCCGAGTCCTTGCTGACCATGCGATGCCAGGTCAGCACTGAGTCATTTTGAAGTTGATGGAATACTTGATTAGATACATGGCCAAGCTTTGAGTGTGCAGTAGAAGTTGACATCTCTGTCGAGAATAATTGGGGTATGAGTCATTCGGTAATGGATTTCCGGCGCTCCATCGCCAAGTATTGACATCCACGAACTTGAAATAAGGTATAAAGACGCTACTTCAAGTTGCCGTTATCAGGATACCCCGCCATATACTCGAAGTATACACCGAGAGCAGCAGACACAGTCGATGACCCAGAACAACCGTACACTTGTGAGCTTTAAGCAATGGCCTCCAGAAAGAACTTCGCCCTGACGCGGGCATCGTCGAACGATCTTCCCGAGCTATGCCGCTTGCAATACAAATGCTTCCCTCAACAGATCAGGGAGATATTCATGGGTTGCAAAACCGAAGACGACCTCCCACGCCTGGCTCAGCACTACGAGAAGTCAATGCGGGAGAATCCCAACGATATCTGGATCAAGGTTACTGACCCGGCAACGGGCAGGATCGTCTCGGCAAGCAACTGGAGGGTCTATGTCAACGAAACCATCCCAGATTCGGACGATGCCGAGATACCGGAATGGTTGGACGCAGAGGACTTTGAAAGGTCGAGGAAAGTCATCCAGCCCCTCAGTGAAATACGGAGAAAGCAGAATCAGGGGGGATTTGTCCGTACGTACTTGTTCAAGTTCCTCCCCTCGACGATAATGTACATCTAGTTAATGCGGACTTTCCAGACCTACACATCTGCTTTACAGACCCTGATTACCGCCGGCAAGGGGCAGGAGGTTTGATGATGCAGTGGGGCTGCGACGTGGCCGACCAACTGTTCCTGCCGGCGTGGGTCGAGGCTTCTCCCGAAGGTAACTATTTGTACAAGCGGTTTGGCTTCTATGATCTGGGTAGAGCTTCGGAGCATTTCCCGGGGACAATCATGAGGAGGGATGCGAGAAGGACTGTCATTGAAGGGGGGAAGGGATCTGTGTAAGGTAGTGCGGGCCTTTGAGCCATAATGCATACGTCCATTCAATCTTAGAGTTAGGGGTTGCATTTGCATGGTGCACCGCATTTTTGCAGGCCGTGGGTATATGGGCTGGGAAGATCCTCAGCCGTAAACTTTCAGTTGACATACTGACAGTCACTGGTTGGTTATTTGAGTCATCTTCCATTGTTCTCAGGAAGCCGCGAATCTCTCAGACGGGATCGCTGCCCCCGTACCAGGGACAGGAGTACCGCCTCAAGTTGCGACTGCCTTGCTCCTGGTCCGGCTCTGAACTTCGTGCCTAAGGTACCTATGCAGCTGCTCTTACCAAATGGGTCACGATTTCCAAGCCGCTTACCTACTTCCAGGTTGAAGAGAGCCGTCGAGAAACTGACAATAGCCGCCTTTCTTCTGAACCCAAACTTTTGGCTGTGAGAAAAGGTTGTGCTGCTAAGAAGCAAAAGCACAGCCCAGAGGGATTCGGTTTCGAGTATCAACAAAAACGACGGGTAACTCTCAGTCTCAGCCCTCAGGTAAAGAACCCTTCGTGCATATGGCCAATTTGCCGTCAGGCATACTACTTCTGCCGTCCCTAGGCTGTAATACTGGCAGACAGACAGAGTTACCTACGCACCTATATCACAATGTCTTTGACAAGTTCCGAGTACTTGGCTCAACTGCACTGTGTCCAAATAGCGAGGATGATTGGCCTAAAAACGCCTTGCATGAAGCCCAACACCGTGCCGTGGCTGATCAGCCGCATCACAACTTCCCTCAGGCCTCAGCTCGGCCAGCTCAATTCTTTATCCATCTGGCTCCCCTCGGTTCCGTCACTACTCATCCATTTGTTCTGACATTGTGGATTAAAGGCAGACATGCAGGCCATAGTGCAAGCCGGGCAGGTCAAACCCGAGATTCGACTCCAACAAGAGTTGCGTGAGTATGAGAACTGCCTGAGCGACAACGAGCGCCGCGCTTTTTTTGACTAGAGGAAGGGCGGCATCCCGGACGCGACGGCAATCATCAGATTAACTGCTGAAATCGACTTTACTGCAGGACGGGAACATCGACACTGGCGTTCCAAAGGCCAGCGGCTCACCTCTATCCTCACCGCCGTTCACCGCATCGCGCCCATCGGTGGTATTGTCATTGGCGGCGCTCAGAGTCTTGCTGCCAGTGGTGTATGGGCCGCATTCCGCATCTGTCTACAAATATCCACTGGCTATCTCGACTATTTTGACAAACTGTCCACACTCCTCCTGGAGATCGGCCGCTCAGCTCCCATTCACGATGGACTGGCCCTCCTTTATCAGGACGACAGCGTGCTCCAGAGTCTTCTCTGCAAGTATCTAGTGTATCTAGTCCAGCTCTGCCGACGGGCTATCCTGTTCACGAAAAAGCGCCCCTTGTCGCAACTCAAGGCGTCTGTGCTCAACAGCTTCGACGTCGAGTTTGGCGATCTGCGAGAGCGACTTAGGATTCTGGGCGCCATCATCAAGGACCATGTTGACGTCAAGTTCAAGACAAGCCAACTTCAGGAGGCAAGCCGTTCCGCCAAGTCTCACTCTTTACTGAGAGTTCTCTCTCGGGATGCCCGACGGACGCAGTGCGAGGAGCGAATTTTCCGTCTTTTCCAAGCTTTGTGTCGGAACCGCAGCATGTTCGAGAGGATCCGGAGTTGGGAGCGGAGCAAAGGTACAGCGACCTGGCTTTTCTCCAAACCCGAATACAAGACCTGGAAAGACCAAAAGTCTTCGTCATGCCTTCTGATCAAAGGCAAGATTGGCTGTGGAAAAACGGTGCTAATGGCCAACATCGTGGACGACCTCATCAGGCAGCCCGAAGGCTCATCATCGCCGCCGATTGGTTTCTTCTTCTGCAAGCCTGAGATGCCCGAGTCGCTCGAGGCTCGCAGAATTATCGGTACCATCACTAGGCAAATCATTGGTCACCCACTATTGAGCCATCAGCTACACAGTTACGCAGATTCACTCACCATGACTTCTGTCGACTCCATGACCACGGCAAATATGGCTGAGATGATCCTCTCCATAGTCCCTTTCAAATTCGCGCCCATCTTTATACTGATAGATGGCTTGGATGAATGTTCGGACAAGGAAGTCGACGAAATCAGAGCATTCCTTCAACGACTATTGGTCGAGCGAGCGTGCCTTCTCTGCACCTCTAGCCGAGGAGACAAGTTCTCCAAGTCCCTTTGCCGGGCCCTCAGGACGGATAGTGTTCAATATCACTGGCTACCTTTTGATAATGAAAACGAGATCCGCAACTACATTGTCACGGAAATGGAGAGGCGATCCCAACGCTGGCCAGACCGGAGTATAATTCCTGAACTTTACGACGCCATCCAGACCGCTCTGACCAGCCACGCCGACGGAATGTAAGGCTTTGACCTCGTTGCCTCCACCATAACTGCTCCCACTATGACTAAAGCTTGTTGAGACTGACTGTAGTCTGCAGGTATCTTTGGGTTGCTCTAGTTTTAGACGAGATCTTCCCCCAAGATGAAGAAATGCCTAGGCCATCAGATCAAGAGATCTACGCAGCTCTACTCAACCTCCCAAAGTCGCTAGAAGAAGCATACGACAGATCTCTGAACCGAATCTGGAATCCACAACACAGCAACCTCTTGTTTCGAATCGTTGCTGGCGCTTTTCGACCGCTGTCGCTCAGGGAACTCCAGGAAGCAATGAGCGTAAATCCGGGAAAGACAGACTGGGATTCTGGGAGGATGCCTCGAGACATCGCTAAGCTCGTGCAGAGCGCCAGCGGCAACCTCTTGACGGTCAACGAACAGACTCTTACTGTGCACTACGTCCATCACACTCTGTTGAGCCACCTGCAGGAAACAAAGTCCGTTCTTTCGAAGTTCCACTTCACCGCTGAGGACGCTTCGCGGACCATGATGGAGATCTGCATCACATATCTCAACTACGATACCTTCCAGGCCGTGGTCAGCCGGTGCGCACCTGAGCTTACCGCGAACCCGACCAAAATCACTGAGCAAGTCCTCAAAACCGCAATTTCCAATGTATCTTTGCCAGCCCCAGTCAGTCGCCTGCTATCAAGGAAACGAATGCCTAGTACCACTCGGGAGATATCTATAGACATTGGGAAAATTATGGAAGAGGCTCGGATTTCGGCAATGCGACAAGAACAGTACACCCTACACACGTTCTTGGCTTACGCCCAGGAAAGCTGGCTCCAGCACTCCAAATCTATCAGGGAGGATTCTAGCCCGGTATATCACCTATGGCTCAACATTGTTCGCGGTCAAGTCGGCTTACTTGAGCTGCCATGGAGCGATTTGAAGAAAGAGGGCCTCGAATGGGCGTATTTGAACTCCCACAGCGCTATCTTGACTCTTTTCTTTTCATACTCGGATCCGTTGAACCTGTGGCTGTGGGACATGTATGGGTGGTTCCTTGGACGTGACAACATAGCCAGACTTGGCCGGCTTTGCGATTCTCCAGAGGCACGCCTACCTAATGTCAAGGACATTGTCGCTCGTGTTCTGTCCCTGAACTCCCTGAATGCCAGCCGGGGACAAGAATACTGTGACATCAAAGACGAAAGCAAATGCGTCCCCATCGAGAACCAGGATTCGCACTCCTATCGGGTGCCATCAGACCGTGACGTACACCTTGACGCGATTAGGAGCATCATCAAGATTGCTACTGACATTGATGAGCCGCTGAGGGATCGTGGCAGCCCACACACCGGGATGACACCGCTAGCGGTGGTCTGCAGCCAGTCTCAATTCGGGCCACTCGGCGTCGGGCTCGGCGAAGCTTGGGCAGGGGATCTCGTCAATCTGTTATTAGAAAAGGGAGCGGATCCTTCCTTGGCCTCGATAAGATCGAACGAGACACCCTTGCTGATTGCGACACGTATGGGCTGGCATGAAGGAATACGCCTGCTCCTGGAATACGGAGCTGATCCCAACAAGGGCTCGCCGACCCTGACCCCGCTTGAACAAACGATCGATAATCTACAGTACATAACTTTCGACGACAGGGCCCCAAATCCAATCATGGCGCAGTTTCTTCGTGCCGGCGCTAACCCCTTCCTACCTGCCCATAGGAGTCTTATGAGGCGTCTTCTTTGCATCAAGTCACGGTCGGTACCAGATAGGAAAAATTTGGATGTTGCACACCTCATTCTCCTGCGATGCCGGCATTTGACAGAGTTCAGCTCCGCCGGCGACTACGAGGAAGCCTTGACCGAGGCGAGGGAGCTCTTGTTCACGATCCGGCATCACCACTGGCAGTACGAGCACAAGGTTGCTACTATCGTCGTTTTGCTTAAGAGGAAAATTAAGAGCAAAGACCACAAGACTGTTGAGCCAGGGAACATCGAATTATAGGACTTTGTGGAACAAGGAGATAGCGCGTCGGCCATTCCCGATAATACCAGTACATAGTGTTGGGCGTAGAGAAGATGTTCACTTCGTTCGGCATAGCCCCTGAGGTTCTACGCCCAAAGGCTAACAAGCCATAAAAAAGCAAGCATGAGCGTGCAAACTTCTCACGGTGCGTTGGATGAGGTGAGTCATGTCCATGAAGGCAAGCACGTTGAGTTTTCTGAAGATGCGTCTAGGAAGATGTTGCGCCCCCTGCTGGAAACACAGCGGTGAGAGAGTCGGTGGACATTACATGTAAGTAACCAGGGTTGGAGCTGCCCATGAATCTACAAGCAAATGGTGGCCGACAGAAGGCTGATCACTACCGTGACCCCTTCCGACTTGACGGATACATGGCATTGGTACCGTATTTACTGGTGATATACAAGAAATTATCATATACACAAGTCGCACAGGGCAACGCCCCCGCAACCCCCTTCCTTCCCCTGAGTCCCTCCCCCACCATCTCCCCCTTTTATTTCACCACAACCTGCACCTCGGTGGTCTTCAATATCCCCGCGTTCCTTCCACTTCCACTCTGAATACCATCGGATCCTGACCCAGGCCCCATAGCCACCGCATGCGCATGTGCCTGCGTCGGCGCGTTCATGTTCACACCCAGAATCATCTCCTCGGACCCGGACCCATCCCCCGAATTCTTGTAAAAAGTCCCCGCCGTCGTGGTCGTCGAAACAGGACTGCTTCCCCCCGCGCTCATGCCCTTGATGTGTGTATGTGTGGTGCGCCGCTTCTCGGTTGGACTTGTTGGCTGCTCCTCGAGCTCGAACTCGTCCGAGTCGGCGGGGCCCTTGATGTGGCTGCCGGTCGCGGTGCGTCGGGTGTTTCGGTTGTTGGTGTCGTCGCCGTCCTCGAGGCGTCGTGTCCCCCGTCCGTATCGGGATCCGTACCCGGCCATGCCGGAACTGTTGTAGTAGTGGTCTTGTGTGCTGCCCAGGCCGAGGATGCGCGTGAAGAGGGGTTTGAGGGAGGGGGCGCATGCTGCGATGATGCCGACGTTGAGTTGGATGCTGTTGGGTGGGGGGGTGGGGTGGTTAGTGCTGTGGTTGATGGTCGGGATCATGATTCAGGGGTGAGGGGGGATATTAAGAAATGGGATGACTTACAAACCCCAGAACTGGACATGCATGGTAAACTTGATGTCGGTTTCTAGGGTGAAGTTGATCTGGTAGTAGGCCTTGACGATGCCGACGGCCACAGCACTGGGAGAATTGTTAACCGAGTGCAACAATTACAGGCCCGTGAAGAGAAGGAAAAAGACTCACAAGTAGCCCAAGCTCATGATGCCAACGAGATAGATGCGGAGCTTGCGCTTCATCTGCAGCGTCCAGATGATGGGGACGGGGAACACGGCGAACAAGACGTCGGTAAAGATGTTGAAGGCCGTGTTGATGGTGCCAAACTTGACAAAGAGGTCGATCGAGTAGCAGCCCGTGGCCTGCGAGTAGTCCCAGTTGCCGGCCACCGTGTCGCAGTGCAGAAACATGGTCATGCAGGCCATGAAGGTGTAGGCAATGACAAAGGCAATAGTCGCCCGAAGTGACCACTTGTACCACTTGCTCGTGCTCAGTCGAAGCAGGTTCAGCCCGATGGACACCTTGACAAGACCCAAGCCGACGAGTAAGGCCAGGATCGTCAGCCAGAAGTTGGCCTGGTCGAAGATGAGCAGATCGGCTCCCTGGACTGTGATATCGTGCTTGCCGAGGCCGTGGAATGCCATGGCCAGCAGAGTGCCCCATCCTCCTCCTAATGTGAAGAGCTAAAAATGTTGCAAATCATGTCTAGTCAGTAAATGTTGATCTTGGACGTTCTGCAACCCCTTTTTGGCTCTGAAACTTGGGTCATCTCGACTTACAAGGCCAAGCACCATAACAAGATCATCGATGCCGGGTGATTTGACAAGGACGACACGGCAGTAGACACGCAGGACCACGGTTATGAGTGACAGGAGCTGGAAGAGAGTGATGACTGCCATGAGCTTTGTCGCGTTGCTCTCGGCCGCATACTCGGGGTCGATGATGGGCGGCGGCCCGCCCATGCCCGGAAACGACGCCATAGTTGTGGACACTGCGCGGCTGGGCGATCGTGGAGATCAAGAATGGGCCGCGCTGGTATGAGACGGGCAACGATCGACGGTGCGAGGAAAAAGCATCAAGACAGGATCGACTGGATTTGCCCAGGGATGCCAGCGACCCTGTGGACCTTTAAGCATTCCCCAGATCCCAGATCCAGATCTCGCGCAACCGCACCCGCAACAACTGACTGACAAACTTTGACAAGATGCACGCCCATCAAGACACATGCAGGCACATGCATACATGTATGCAAGGGCAAACCGGGGCGGGTTTCGGTACCCTTAACCGACTTCTGGAATGCTGCACCTATGTGAGGTTGGTGTCTCTTGTCACGGCCTCTGTCTCCCTATGTCTCACCGAGTGTCTACCGAATAGGTAGGTAAGGGTACTAGTATACCGCTGTAACTCCGAGTCGGCCACACTCTGCAATTACGCTTGCAAGCTCTGCAGCAGCAGACACACTCCGAAAGTCTGCAGGCCCAGCCGGTTAGTTATTCCCAGCTGAGGAGGGAAGGATCAATTAGCACACAGACCCCCTCCTTGCCTCGCGAGGTTCGCATCGCATCTGTAACGTCTCTCGTGATACGGGATACTACCTACATAATACATTTTGTACGGACCGAGCATGCACCACATCAAAAGAAGCAGGTACGTACAGTACCATACATTGCATATGAAGTACATGAATGCAGAGTGACCCGGGTTGCTGGACACAGTCACCTCGCATGTTAGGTGTGCGTCGACAAACTCGGACCATCTCTCTATCAACAGACTCTTGTTGAGAGGAGGAGACAGGGAAATCTGACCACGTTTCTCGCAGAATCATGCCATTATCGTAACTTGTACGAAGTAAGCTCAGTTCTGGGAAAAGGTCCCTAGTGAAATGAACGATTCACTGCCCTCGGCTGAGTTTGTATGCGGTCCCTAGGGTCCTCAACTCGAACCTCGGGCCTTACCACACTCACAAAGCCTCCGAGAGTCCGTATAACTAACCGATGTAGTCTAGTGCGGAGCCAAGTGCTTACTGTCCGTGAGAGACATGTTACAGCACTAGGAGTTTAGCGTAAACCCGGAGAGGTCCCGTACATACCGGTTAAAGTTCCATACCAAGCTCATTGGCTGTTTCCTCACCACGGAACGTTGTCCGGCGCACCCGAGCGGTGCGCTATCGCGGATGCACTAGCGCGAACCAGGCGCTTTGCCTAGTACGGAACTTATAGCGACGGATAGAACGGTTGGCCCGGGCTCGCGTGTAAACGAACGTAACATGAACAATAAAGAACGCACAGTGGCAAGTACTACAATACTATGGGTGGTTAGCTGTCACGGGTCTATAAAAGTGTAAGTCGACTGGAGTCCTCGCCGACTAGAAGAATAGAGGGAGTGATCTTGTCTCTTAAAAAACCAATGCTGTTCAAAACCCTGCTTGCTCGCTTACAACCGAATACGGTGTTTTTGTATGGTTAGAGAGTCTGTGTCGCCTGCGTGGCGCCGGCATGGAATTTCTGTCATTTGTCGGTTGCACGTGCATGGTAACATAAGGGTTAAAGGGTCTCAGAGTCCCACAGTCCCAGGAGTACGGTATCCACTCACCCCGATTCAGTACTACACTACTGTGCTAACGTCTGGACAGTGGTTACAGTCTTTTCCGCTCCAATCTCCAGCCATTCTCTCTGTCTCTCAAGAGAATGTTTGCTGTTGGTCCCATTGCTCTGGCCCAAGGATTCAGGCTAAAGTGGTGTAGGGTTACACCACCTTACCACCCTAATTAATCGATATCGAGAGGCTGCTCGTGTGTGGATATATACATGTGTTCTTCCACCTAACTTCCTCGTCCAATGTGTTAAGGTTCGGTGGCTCCCGTCTGGTCCATCGAAGATCATCTCGATTCCCGTTGATGTTAGTGAGATGTGCTGGAAATCTGGACAGGGTACCCAAGTTGACAGTTCTCCGTAACGTCAGAGCATACTAAGGTACTCTCTAGGTAATACTTACGCTCTCACTCAATAGCTGAGGGCATCGTACCTGTAAGGAGTTCAGGTTTTCTGAGTTCAGTCGCCACTCCGTAGTTCTCACATCTCTATGCAGTTGGCGGTTCAACTGCCCTGAACCCCCGGTTGCATATTGCCCCTGAATGAGTATACCCTTCTGGACCGGCCCGACCGGGCTAACCGACCACAATCAGCCCCTGTTTCTAGGGTAGCCGCGCCGCAGACATACCTCAGGCTAGCGAGACTAGTGCCGAGTATACATTGTGTGCAGTGTACATAGCAAAACCATGCAAGCAGTCTTGTACAGTACCTATCTCTAGACATTCTTGCGAGAAGAGAGCGGGGCTTCTAGCATAATGTCCAATGTCGTTTCCGACTTCCATTTGTCCTGGACAAGCATCGAGCAATGCCCCTTCTCGGCCTTCTGTTATCAGGGGCCCAGAGCCGTAGTGTGTGTACCATACTGCACTATTAGCTGCAGCAACCCCAGCAACAGCCCAGAATGGCCTTCTAGCCCGGGAATGGTTCCATGGAGCCTCGGGTGCTGTTGGAACCGACAGGTCCTGTTGGTGCCAGAATGTCTCCATGTCTATACCGGCGAGCATGCCTCGGATATTACACGCAAGGTTCATCTAATGAACACATGCCCGTTGTAAATGCCGAACGAGGCTCAGCAGCGAATCCCCCAACCTGAAGTTGCCCCCCTCGCAGGGGCTTATCCGACATCCGTGGTTATGGTTGCAGCAGGATCCAAATAGTCCGGTCTCTGCCACGTGGGTTTGGTGCAGCTATATGTAAGCACTTGGCCGACCACCCGGACTTCTTTCGTGTGTGTCCCGTCCCAGCGGTCCCGTGGTTCCGACTCAGAAAAACTTCCGAGTCACTCTCGTCAAGATGGTGTACTTGGCCACCCAGTTCGTCAGTCTCCTCGCCCTCTTCTCGGCGGCCACGGCTTGCGAGGGCGCCTCTTGTAGGACGCGTCCGGCGCCGACCAAGGACACGGATCTGCTCGCCAGCAAGGCTCTAGCAAACCTCGACCGTTACCAGAAGGCGACCAACCCTCATGGGTCCTGCACAGTCGCCAATGCCGCCCGGCGCAGGGAATGGTTAGGCTTCCCCTATCCCTCCCTTCCTCTCTGACATAACTGTCTTGACTAACAAGTCTCTGTCAAACACAGGGGCACGCTGAGCAAAGGCGAGCGCAAAGACTACATCCGGGCCGTGAAGTGCCTGATGCAGAAGCCGGCCAAGTACAGCCCCGATGCCGCCCCGGGAGCCAAGTCACGCTACGACGACTTCGTGGCCGTGCACATCAACCAGACCATGTCGATCCACGGCACGGCCAACTTCCTGTCCTGGCACCGCTGGTTCGTCTACGCCTTTGAGCAAGCCCTGCGCAACGAGTGCGGCTACAAGGGCTTCCAGCCGTACTGGAACTGGGGCCGCTGGGCCAACGACCCGCTCAACTCGCCCATCTTTGACGGCAGCGACACCTCCATGAGCGGCAACGGCCTCTTCGTCCCGCACAACTGCACGCCCGGCATCCCCAACGGCCTCAACTGCATCCCGCCGGGCAACGGCGGCGGCTGTCTCTTCAACGGCCCCTTTGCTGACATGTCGGTCAACCTCGGCCCTGTGTCGCCGACCCTGCAGGCGGCGGGAGTGGTCCCGGCCCCGGCGCTGCTGGCGTACAACCCCCGCTGCGTGCGCCGCGACATCACCAACTGGGTCAGCAAGCAGTGGACGTCGGAGCAGAACACGACCGATCTGATTGTGCAGAGCAACGACATCCTCACGTTTCAGAATACCATGCAGGGCGACTTTAACAATGGTGTGTATGGCGTGCACACGGGCGGGCATTTCACCATTGCTGGTGACCCGGGCGGCGATCTGTTTGCCAGCCCCGGCGACCCGGCGTTCTGGCTGCACCATGGTCAGATTGATAGGGTTTGGTGGATCTGGCAGAACCAGAACCCGGCTCAGCGTACACAGGTGATTGCGGGGACTATTACCATCATGAACACCCCGCCGAGCAGGAATGGGACGCTGGATGATATTATTGACCTTGAGGTTAATGCTGCGCCGCTGCCGATTAAGGATGTTGTCTCGAGCTTGGGGATTGGGGGCGGGCCGTTGTGCTATATCTATGTGTAATTTGCCTGTCTGTAATACGGTTGCGGTTGGGGAAGATAAAATAGACACATCTGGGTCTAGGGGATCAGTCCTGTCATCGGTCACCTCAGACATTCATTCCAAGTCCTTTCATTGTGGTTCGTAGTACATACACTTACATATACGCCTACATATACACTCACATATACACTTACATATACACTTACATATACACTTACATATACACTTACATATACACTTACATATACTAGTAGATGAACTAGAATATCCTTAGATCTTGCACTCTAATACATATACTTTATCATCGTTACCTGATACCTAGTCGTCTTCTTCTCGTTAATAGAGAGCTTTCTACTTAGTTGCATGCTCATTTGGGGAGAATGCAGTGGTGAATATTCTGTTCCTTATTGTTGTATCAACTTGATGTGAAGTGCTTATAACCAGTATGAGATCCAGCTTGGTTGTGGGTGAGGGAAGAAAAGAATAGGTGAGTGTAGGGCTTACATGGTGTGGTCACGACATAGCAGGTACTGTATGGTGATGAGGCTGTTTGTCCTGGGTTTACTCAGTGACAGTGAAAGCCACGTTTGTAGGCGCAACAAAGGCCAAAGCATCACTGTCCTACCAATATGACTGTAGGTACTCGCACAAGAGAAGGAGTCAGGAACAGCTAATCTGTGACGACCCAGTTCTCCTCTAATAGTCTAATATAAAAAAGGCTGTTTGCATCCAAGTCACCCACTTCTCTCTACTCTCGATTCCCAAGTTTGGATCGTCACACTGGACTCCCTGGAAATCCTTGAAGGCCAATTCCTCTGCAATATCAGTGACTCTCAGTTGTATCGAGCACCATTAGCCACTCCCGCTACAGAAGAGACATCGAAGATGTGTAATTGCCCGTTTCCAATACCTCCTCGCGTGTCCTCTCTTCCACCCAGCAGGAGACAGCTTCCAAATAGGAATGCGCCAAATGACAACGCCGTTCATGTTACTAACAGGGCAGCAGGCAAAGCACCGGACTCACATCCTCCTGCCAAGGGCAATGAGCAGTCCCCTTGCTCCCCATCTGACCTTCCACTACCCCCAGTCGCCGGTCCGTCCAAGAGTGCACAAGACCATAGATGCGGTCAAAACGTCAACACCGTGCAAGCGCAAAGTCAAACCCCAAAACACGAGCCTGAGCAGCACATGCAAACAGCTTTCACGGTCAATGAAGATCAAGACGAAGCCGAAGCTGACAGGCAGCTCATGGCAATACCTGAGCAAGTCCTCCACAACTTGACCTGGCACAAACGCATTAGAAACGCGGAGAGAAGGCCTCAGCTGGTCCACTTTGTGCCTCCCGAGCCCCTGACTGCGGCCATATACGATGTACGGGTCGACGGAGGTAACATACCGGTAATGCCAGTACAGGGCCAGGGCCTTCCTTCTGTGACTACGCCTTCCGGACAACAGCGATTCAGATAAAGCTACTTGCTGGGTTCTCGGGGGGAGGAACTTCAAGTACCCTGTTTTGAGTGAGCATCAGAGGTAAATTAAGGGCTGGGCTTGCTGAGCTTGTTAGCATGGGACTGACTTAGCACTAAAGTTCTGAGACTGAATACTAAGTACTGAGTTCTATATCGTTTTGCCCGCTTGCCCTCAACGGTAGAAGTGATTTCATCTTAAGAAACATATAGCGGATAGGTCTGCGAGGATCTTGGTCGCAACGCCTGACCTAACATAAATGAAATACATGTACATAGGTAGGTACCTGTAGCACGTTGGCAGGAGACTAAAGAACTCACCATAGGTATCAAATCTGACCGAATGTGAGCCGATTCCAACTGATCATCACTCTTATCTAGAAAATTACTCTACCAACTCGCCACACTCGTGGTGTTTCATGTTCCTATTGCTTGGTGCTTTAGTCCATGGATGACGTGGTATCTGCCTGTGGCCAAGATACTGACAGCTCAGCCTTTAATCAGGCGTGGCATGGACAGGTGTAAGTGTTGTTTGCGATTAATTGCCCTACGTATTCTTATAAGTACCTTAAATAGTCCATTCAGGTACCTAACTTCTCATAAGTACCTTGACCAGGGACTGCAGTGCCATGGGTTGTCATTCGCAATGATCTAAACAACAGCGGTCTCTAAGATCTAAATTCCTTAGAAAGTGAGACAAGCTCGCAATATTTCGTGACAGTCCATCCGTAAACAACTCGAGAGCTAGCGGAAGATGGGGATTAACACGCGCCCATAATGTCTGGATGTGCTTCTGCTTGAGGAATTCCCAAGGTACAGTAGTCGTTTCCAACTTGAGCTTTCCCGCGTACAAACGGGTTTTCGCAACTCATGTTGCCCATCCCGTTTCCCAGGTCTCTTCAAGAGTGTATCCTATGTCCTTGAACTGTCTGACCCAAAGTTTGCCTGTGCCGTCGAACTAGCTCAGTCCTCGGTCCTTACAGAGATTTGCCAGCACGCCCTTTGGCTCATGGCGCCATGGGTCGAGGAGTGACGGATGGGCCATAAGCTGCTGAAGTGCCCTCAGAAGTTCAAGTTGTTGCTCCTTGCTGTCAAGTCGACGCCCGTTTCGGGGTATAACCTCCTTAACTCAACCCAACCCACGCACTCCTCTACCCCTTGTCCTTTCCCCGTCTTTGATCATGATCGACTTGGATATCCCCGACCACACTGATCTCCATCGCCACCTTACCCAACCCTTCTCCCCTTCTTCCCGCGACCCCTCCCCCAGACGCAGCCATCACCTTCAAAACCGTCGGCTCAAACATTTCGTCTAGCTGGTCAATCAACTCATTCAGCTCTTCATCCTCTCGGCGCTTGCGAAGCATCTCCTCCCACCTCCTTTTCTCCTCCAGATTCGACTCAAGCTTCGACACATCCACCTCCTCAAAGGATTCAAACCCAGACGGTCCTTCACTGCTGTCGGTAAGCGACTGGGCGTCTGACAAGTTGGCGATACCACCTCCGCCGCCATCCTCGGGCTCCCCGAGCAGCGAGCGGTAGTCCTGAATTCGCGAGGCCTGTTCCGCTGAAATGACAGAGCTCGAACTGGACGTTACGCTGTGCACCGCGCTGGTCAGGGCTGCTGTGCCGGCTGAGGCGGCTTCGGAGACCTTGGACGCCGCTCGGGTGGTGAAGTTGTAGAGGTTGTATGCGGCGTGGAAAGCGCTGGATGCTGTACGAGCGGCTTCTCTCTGGGAGAAAACTGCGTGGTTTTGTGTCATGGCTCCGGTTGGGTTGATTTGGTTTTCGACTTTGGGGGGTGGTGGTGAAGTCCCAGAAGTGGTGATGGTGATGAGGGCATGGCCAGAGAATGAGTTGAGAGATGCGCGGCGAGAGGCAAAACACTGCAGTACTGCTTTATTAATGGAGTTCTTTCAGACTTGAACAGTCACAGATTGCGAGCGAGGGTGACTGGATGTGTTTGTGACCCGCCGAGAGAAGAGAACAGCAGGTCCATGCCTCATGGCGAGGCATGTTTTTGAAGTTGAGGTTCAGACCGTGATGACATATTCGAATTTCAGTTGACGGCCAGCCTACTTTAGTTCCAGTCCCGTAACAGTGTTTACAGTACTAAATCTGTGACAACTAGTGCTGTCAACGGCAAGTCTCTGAGTCCAGGCGAAAGGATTGGTCACGGACAGTCCAGTCAATGCTCAAGCTAAACTGTCATGGGCATTGTTCAGGTATTTTGACTGGCGTTACTTGGTGTTAAAAAACACAACCCCTGAGTAGTAAACAAAGCTGTTCTACCATCCAGCAAAACTGTTGGAACCCATGCGTGTTCAGAGTCTAGGAGCAAGTATATCTCATTGCTAGTTTTGTGTTCTACATACATGTAACTCGTGAACATTCTTTAAGTGGCCCCTTGTGAGTTGGGAAGAGCTTGCTTGTTCGTTTGTTGGCTGACGTACACGGTACTAGCATCATTGATATTCTTTTGGCTCCAAACATCATGTTACCAACCCTGAATTCTTTGTCAAGGCTTCGGTCATGTCAGCAACGCAGCCAGCAATCCATGCTTCAGCCTTCAGATCAACTACCTACTTCGTGGCTAATGAATATTCTCTTTCACCTGCCTTACACCCTACATACCTGTACCTAGCACCTTAGGAAGATCAAACCAGTCTGAAATCTGAACGGGTTCGCTGACGACCGGATGCACCCGCCCAATGAACCCTCCCCTTGATCTCTGCCGCGAGCCCGATAGGTTATGGCCCCGGACTTATGTGTTCTCTTGTCATACTCTCAGAGCTACATTATTCATTCGCCTTCTCTTTCCCAAAGAAGCAAGGTACCGATATCTGATTGGATCATAGGCAGATGGGGTGGCTACTTAGGTAAGTCCCATCAAGGCCGAGCCTCGGGTCCCCGCTGCCGGTTCTATGACATTTGGACACACAACTTGTTTGAAGAAAGGCACAAGGCCCTATGCAGTGCATTCACCCCAGTCTAGTTATGTACGTCAAGCATGTCATCAGCCTTCATGGCAAGGCAACATGAACCTTCAGCCTTCCCGCCGCATCACCCACCCACAGCCTCCACTTCATGTATGTATGTACAGTACAGTTTTAGCCGTCTCGATTCCTTCCGAGTCCACCCCTAAACCCTCACGACGTAAGCCTCTGAACCGTAGCCGCAAAATTGGGGTTTTGGGCCTGGGCAAAGTCGTGTGACCAGTAGTCGTGGACCTCGTGGATGGAAATGGTCGACGTTGCGCTGTTGGGCTGGGCGGGCTTGGTCGGGGAATAGGCAAACGCCAGCCGGTTACCTCCGTACGGGTTGAGGTAGCGCGTCGTGCCGTCGGCAGTCCACGAGGTGCATCCCTTGCAGAGAGCGGTAAACTGCCAGTGGGTCGAGTTGGTCTTGGTGCCGGTTTTGAAGAGGGTGTACTGGGCTCCGGTATAGGCTTGCGGCATCACATGGCCGCTTTTCGCGGTGAGGACATGTTAGCAGGCCACACTGGGACCAAGACGGGACGCGGCACGTTGAATCAGGTTTGCACTCACTTGGCCCAACGGGATGACAAAACGACATTGTTGCTGGTGCCCCTCCAGGCGATCAAAAGGGGATTCCTGGGCATGGAGCCGCCCCAGGCGAGGCCGGCCCAGCCTACGTCGTTCGGAACGACCATCTGGACGACGGCATCATATGCGGTGTAGCTCTGGGCATCGCTTGGCGTCGCGACCCGGAAGGTTATCCCGCGCCCATCGGCCTTGTAACGCCTAAACATGGTCGAGAAGGTGAGGCCGGTATCTGGGTCCTGATAGACAGCATCCTCCGCGAAGGCTGTTGCGACGTGTCAGTTTGCCCCATCTCCCGAATAGCAGATTTACTGAAATACATGCCTGTCCCCACCAGGGCTGCGATGAGCCCGATCCAGAAAGTCCACAGCATTGCGCAGCGCACGTTTGCTCTTTGACGTTATCGACCTGCCGCAAGGGAACGCAGGGAGCTCTAGCAACACTCATGTCAGCCACAGAACCAGTCGAGACTCTCTCATCTCCAATCTTCGTTTAGTGACCGCAAACATAAAAGGAGTCAAACATACGTGGCGGTAGTGACTAAATCGAGTCCCAGGAGGATGCTTGGCGGTGAGAGGAGTATGAGCAGCAGGAGGACAAGAAGCGGGAAGACCGGCCTTTTAGACGCCCAACCACTGGAAGAAGCCTGGAGATAAAGCTGACCAAGCCGGCCGAGATATGGGGTGCAGAAGAATTCCCGCCATGATATAAATAGAGAAAATAACGTAAGTGTCGGCAGCTCGAATCCCCGACGCACGGCGCTGATCCAGGCTGGACACAGGTGTTGGAAAGAGCTATGAGCCAAGAAAACTCCACGTCTAGCCGTTGGGCGGGTGTAATCGCGCGTGACGCCAATTCCTGGGCGCTGTTAATCTATATCGAATCGGAGAATGTTCCTCCTCGTCGCGAAGTCCCTATGAGCAGGGGCAACGCATGCTCCATGGTTGTAGCGCCAGGTGGTTTCTTAGGCAAGGCCGGCATATCGTAGCTCTGGGGACGGGCAGTGCGGGGCGGTGATGGGCAACGTCTTCTTGCTCCTTCCAAAGATGAGCCTTCCATTTAGCCGCCCATATTGGATCGCCGAAGAATCGAGGAATCTCAGAGGCCGCGCTCCGGGGGGTAAATGTCGTTGATATATTAAAAGTAGTCTTGTTATATAGCGTCCCAGAGCCGCAAGTCCGGACTGGGAAAGGCGCGCCGTTGGCACGAGGTCTTGATTGTCTCTGGAGCCGATATCAAAAGGGGTTGCTCGATTCCGGGTCACTGCGACCTTGCTCTTTACCAAATGCCACCCTGCAGTGAGCATGCAAACCTCCCTTCCACGGCCATGGCTTGCGTGCTTGTCTTTGTCGAATCAAGACCCTGGAGTTTGCAATCCGTGAACCGCGGAGGCAATACTAAACCATCAAACGGTAAATGGCTGGTGACCAACCGACGTACCACCAGGGCCCTATGAGGTCCTGAATACAACCCAGCACGGACTATTACCTTGCCCGCCAATAACTTCCTCTTGATCCAGCTTCCACGACTAGCAAATGAGCCGTCAAATCATCACTCGTGGCGTTTGAGGCAAAGTTCTTCTAGAAGGTCGGCGTATCACCAACCGTGGCCAAGCCGAGTCCCATATTCCGGGTTCATGCCTCTTGGCCTGTTAATTTCCCAGAGCATCGCCATGTGGTTGTGATGAATCCACTATCCCCGTAACCGGACTGAAGGTCTGGAACTTTCGCGTCATGTGCCACTCGTTGACTGTCCAAAGAGCTTTGGTGCAATGATGGTCCTGTGCGCGTAGTGGTGTCTCACTTCTCCTCGCCGGTGACGTCGTTACCTCTTCTACGCTTGTCTGGCTCCGGAAGCTATATGTCGTTGCCGTCAAGAAACTAAAGTAAGAGCCAAGGGCAGCTAGGGCAAACACCCCTATTTGCTTTGATCTTATGGGGAAACTCACCTCTGTATGACGGAAACCTAGATCTTGAGCTCTCGTGTAACGTTGCGGCGTGGCAAAAGCGCAATGATTGATAGAAAGCTTGACTGACTCGACGGGTAGAGAGTAGGTGTGTTCCGGTCCACGTGGGATCGGCTCTCTTGCGTACCTGCCTGCAAGGAGCTAAACGATGACGGCCGGTCTTTCCAGCTCTTCACGCTGAGTTGCCGTGCCTGCTCGAATTACCACCTACCGTGGTCAGTCATATTGCGTACCGAAACGGAACCTTCAAGGCTGCACTTACCCAGTACTCAGCATGTGCCCTTCCAAGTGACATTGGCTTGACTGTTGATTTTCGTCGACCTTCATCTATCCGTGATGATGCTGGAGTGCTGCGAGACTCGAATTGTGGTGGGGTAGTTGGCGAGACCGATCATCGGCTCGACTCACTACCGCAGCCCCTCGGAGATGCCAGCATTGAGGCCACAGCCCAGCATTTCGGTGCTTTCATCAACCCCAGATACACCCCTGGAGTTGGCTACGAAGATCGGCATTCGGAGCTCTTTCGGCGCGATGTGCAAATCGGGTCGGTGGTGTTCCCCGAGCAAAACTGTATTCAGGTTGTCCGGCCCACAGAGCGGGCGGTCCCGGTTCCGCCTCCGATGTGGCCCCACATTTCCATCCGAGATTAGGCCGCCAAGACCGGCCACGCGGAGAATGGGAATAGCAAGGCCGGCGGCTGTTCATCACAGGGCCGATGCATCGCCGACCGGTACTTTCTCAAGATGGACCGGATGTCTCTTGATGCCGGCGTAGTCTGGTAGGATAATCGAGGGTTCCGTCGAACTCAGCCCATGGACGAATTGGAAATCCAAGCAGATCAAGACGCAAACCGTACCAAGGGATGCGGTAGGCACCTTGACTGCGGCGAGGAGACCCAAAACGTTGGGGACGGTCGTCCGGCTGTGAGATTGCCTACCCGGCTCGCCTGGTTCCAGTTTCCGGGCTGAGCCGGGGAGGCGCGTACCGGGGTAGCAACTGCGGTGCGTCGATCACGATAATTTTCCGTGACAGTTGTGTTAACATCAAAGTACTTTCCCGCAAAATTCGGGGAAAGGGGACCTTGACTGCATCAAACCGGTTTGCGGGCAGCTCCGGTCACGCGTTTTGTGGGCCGCATGGGCAGCTTTTTGGTCTGGACCTCCATCAGCCCACACCAGTCGATACGAGCCAAAGTCGGCCCAGAGGCAGACGCCCGCGGCGCTGGATGGCCACACTTACACTCTGTACCCAACTGCTCACGGGCCTTGCCGTACTAAGGCAAAAGTTTCTCCGATGCGTCTCAGACTCTCAGTTGTTGCGATGTGCTTGGCAATCTTTGTTGGCATTGTACAGATCTCCAGTTGCAATGACGTTAGTTCTGTCAGTTGCCGTGAATGTTGGAATACCTAGATGATCAGATACCGTATAAACTCGCCAAACTGGACAACTTCTACTGCACGCGCTAATCTCAGTAACCAATCCCAGGCTTGTACTCTGCAGTGCGCTTCAACCTTTCCGATGCCATGCGAGCTCAAAGTAAGGGTTTGAAGTGGGTGAAAGTCTGATCAAAGTTGTTGCCTGCCTTAGTCTGCGCAGTAGAGATTGTCCAGTTTGGCGAGTTTATACGGTATAAGTAGCAGGCATCAGAACTCCCCTACCCCGTACTGAAGCCCCCTATGTCCTTGTGATGCATGAACGGTCTCGGGCCGGAGCGCGCTGCGGCACCTCCGTTGAACTGGCAGTGGAAGGGTTAACTGTGGTGAACTGTGTATTGTTCACAGGCATCATGAGCATCGCTCGAATGCCATTGGAAATGTTAGCAGCATGGTAAATGTTGGGAATGAAGGTAGAATCCCATGCGAAATTTTTGCTTCGGGATTCTGCAACTCGCGCAGGAGAAAAGTTACCACGGACAGAGGGTCATGCCTTCCCGAGCACCAAAAGTGTGACTGCCCCAAGGCAAGTTCGGTCGTCCACGGACTCCACTAAAACGCTTTTCACGGGGCCACGGGCAACTCCGTGGGGCTGCCAAAAAGCGGCGCGTGGGGCGCTAACGTTATGCCGGGACGTCTCGATTCTTACCAGAACTGCTGGTCCCTTCTCGTACGAGAAGCGAAAACAAATCGTCAGTTTCTCAATTCTTTTCTCGTCCCAAGACTTTTGTAGTGCCACCATACACTACATACCCGAGAGACGGGCCTTAGCGATGCACTCCGACAGATGCCGGCCGCAACGCCTTCCAGCGAGGCTGCTTATGTTTTTAAGAGCGCCGAAACCCCCGGGCCTGGATAGCAGATCACCACATGCTTCAGCACCAAAAACATAACGCCACTGAGCCCTCTGTTTTGCACCATCATTTGCCACACCAGTCACCAGACACTTCAACCCATAGCACCGCCATCCGTGGCCGACAACATTATGCCAGGTACAACCATTGACCCGTTGATGATGTCTCTTGACTCATTCACCACATTGCCCTTCGATGCTACCCAGCTTGTGAGTACCCTGTCTCCAGCGGGCCTTTCCCTCGAGTAACAAACGCCAATTGTGCTAACACTCGTATAGCAATCATACTCGGACTTTTCGCCTATCTCTCTCTTTGACCACACCGACGAGTTCACAACCGACTTCACCTCTGACTCGGCGGCTTCACCCGCCTCGCCACTTTCACCGGCGCTATCGGCCAAATCATTCGGTTTCCAAGCAGCGGACAGTTGGGCTGCTTGGGACACGGCGGAACTCTCCCCTGAACCTGACGGATTGTTTGGCTGCCAGCCGTTTGACGGCTCGGCGTTAGCCTCGCCGAAGGCTTCGCCATCAAGCCCCGCGATTAACCCCGTGGACCTAGCCGCGCCCTCAGTCAACTGTCAACCCCTTTACCAGTCACCACAAGTGATGATGGCCGCCATGTCAAGCCAGCAGCAGCAACCAGCCCCTCTCACAACAACAACAACCCGGCCCACAACAACCGACCTCACTGCGAAGCGCTACCCCTCCCGGACAACCAAGCTTAAGCCATCCAGCTCCTCGTCAGACGATGAAGCACCCGCCGCCAAGACGATGTCAGCGTCAGTACCAGCAGCACCAGGCACATCAACCCGACGACCGCCGTCCAACTCCGCCCAAACATCAAAGCAAAAGGACCCGCTCGCGCCCAAAAAGACGGCGCACAACATGATCGAAAAGCGCTACCGCACCAACCTCAACGACAAGATCATGCAGCTGCGCGACGCCGTGCCCGCGCTGCGTGCCATGCAGCGTGCCAACGGCGACGGCAGCACTGTCGAGGACGATGGCGGCAACAGCGGCGAGGACCAGCACCCGCCGTTGTCGCCCGTCCACGGCCACCACCCCAAGCTGAACAAGGCTACCATCCTGAGCAAAGCAACCGAGTACATCCTGCAGCTGGAGCGGAGGAATCATGGGCTGGAGACGGAGAACAGCGCGCTTAGAGGACGCATGGAGGGGTTGGAGATGATGTTGATGGGTCGGGGGGGCTTGGCGGGGGGTTGGAGTTGATTTTGAGTGGAATTTGACTCGGCTGCTGCCGGTTTGGGGGGATTCGGACGGAAAAGGCGTTACGGTTACGGTAGTTGGGTGTGGTTGGGTGATGGGATGGCAACTTGCAGGGACTGTTCGGTTATAGTAGTGATGACGATACCGCCTCCTGCGATACAGCGGCTGCTGGGTTTTGTTGTTTGTGGGAATGGTTTCCATCGAGTGGCGTTCAGGGATACTACTGCTTGTGTATGAGGTAGTGCTGGGGCGTACAGGTGGTAGACGCAGGGCTGGGCAATGGTGGGTGGGCATCTTGGATACTTGGATCTGTGGGAGGATTTGCTACCTAGAATAATACGAAACCTCACCTCGGTCCTGTCTATGCTACTTCGGTTCCCTTATGCTTCTGTTGGACATCGACAGAGTGGCAACCCCTTAAGGAGGGCGTCATCACAATGTCACATCGTCACATGGGACACGGTATATAACTCGCTTCCAGGACTCATTGCTAAGGAAGCAAGGAAAATGCTTATATGTAGTCAAAGAAGGTATATATCGAGGTCATGCCAGTGCTGGTAGTTTCAAAGTCCACCACTCAATATATCGAGTCAAACGAGTCTGCAGTGCCTTGCATAGAGGCTGTTCAGTGGGTCTTGTACTGCAAGAGCTTCTCCTTGTCATTCATTGTGGGCTTGAGGCTTCCGTACTCTCTAGGAGAGTCAAGGGAAACGGCACCTCTGCGGGGCGACGAGGAAATGGGGACGGCGGGCGGTGTTGGAACCCATTTCCGGAAGAAACTGTTACTGTTGTTGTTGTTGCTGCTGTTATTGGGCGGCATTTTGTTGCAAAGGAGTTCGGCGGAGTTGTTGTTAGTTTTCGTACCTAAGTTGTGTGTGTTAGGTATTATAAGGTGTGTATGCTTTAAGTCTGCGCTTCGGACTGGTGACGCGAGATAGTTTCGGACATACAGCTGAGTCAGGGGCTAGCCTACAGAGCGTCTCCTGATTCCTTTGTACTGTACGTACAGTAACGAGTTAGCTGAGTGAGCAACTGACTACACTGTTGTATTTACCTGGTTTCCTTTTTGGGGAAGATTGCCTGGGTGAGCCCCTGCCAAGCATTGCTAACAAACGATTCCAGCTCAACATCAGAAGCGGCCCAAGTTGTACTTACATAGGGATTCACATGGACCGTTTAACTGGAGAAGACTGACTATGGAACTGCACAGATCGGAATGCTAGGTAAGTACCTAGTTGCACAACTGCATCTCTCACTCTGGGCCAAGACACTGTTAGGGCCTACACTACAGGAGCGCAACCATGGGGAATCCGAAGACCACCACCAGCAGTACATAAGGTAGCGAAGAACGACAACTTAAAGAGACTCGCTAAGAACTACAAAGAGACTCCGTGGTGACGGTTTCTCTCGATCCCTTGTCCCCAGATTTGTCCTTGGGCTTGTGATAGTCATCAGGGAGAGCATGATGCTTACGGTCTGGGCATGCCTCGTCTCCCGCAGCTGCGGGTGGGCATGTTGATTGCCCTCTTTGTAAGACCCTCAAGGTGTCACTGTCGAATTCCGGTTTCAATTCAAGACTGACGCTATCGCAGAGCATGATACTCTTTTTCCGGTTTGGAAACGGCGTGGCTACGAACTCGCTCTCCAAAACCCTGGCCGGGATTACCTTATGACTCCCGAGGCCCGTCGGCAGCGCCCTTCCCTGGATCGCTGTCTTCTGTGCCGAAGTTGATCAAGCTTGGATCCATCTCTCTTTGTTCAGTAAACATCACTAACACCCTGCTTAGACACGGACCTGGTGATTGTCACTGGTTGATTATTAGTGCAGTTCGATCCTGCTGACAGCCATTGCTCGCCCAGACCAAGGATAACACCAAGCCTACGCCCTATAGTGTCTTTATGAACAGCCTAGACTTCCCAAAGACCCCAATACCCTCTCTATGCGCCATTGTAGTATCCAAACAAGTCCCACGCAGCCGCTCAGCAGCAAACATCAAAGCATTCCAAGCAGCATTCACACGTCTCTCCGCACACCCAACAACAGCAAAGGGTGGCAATGCTATAAAGAAAGTGTGGCGTGTAAGACATTGCGTGAACAGACGCGGCTGGGGGAAACTCGAGCAAGTCTGGTAGCGGCTTACCAGGTGTAGAAGCAGCCGTGACTCTTCTCCTCCCTGGGAGGCGGCGCCTCCTGGTATTGCATCGGCTGTTGGGCGGGTGGGTAGCCCTGAGGCGGGTAGCCTCCGCCCGGCGGCGGAGGACCGTAGGCCTGTGGGGGAGCCTGGGGGTAGTAGCCACTGTGCCGGTGAGAAAGAGTCAGCCCTACCGAGATTCTTGACGTGGTGATGAAGGAGCGGTTTGGATCTGGAACCTGGGAATCTGGGAATCTGATGGAGCAGGATGGGAGGCCGGGAAGAAGGGACGGGACTTACCCCTGCTGAGGAGGATATTGTGACATGCTTTGGGTTCGTTGCGGTGGTCAACTGGTCAGGCCTGCAGCGGCGTCGAGTTGCGTTCTGTTCAAGGGAGGGAAAGAGTGACGGAGAAGCAGATAAAGGATTGGAAAGAGAGAAGGAGAACCAGATGAAAAATTGGAAAATGAGATGGAGAAGGAGATGAGGCATCTGATAAGGATTGGAAACCGGAGGCCGCTCGCTGTTTCCACAATCCACACTGCTGGCGGGTATTACGCGGATGCAATTCCACGTGGGTAGGGCACCAGTGACACAGTCCCACAGTCCAGTACAGCCCAGCCCAGACCCGCAGGGCCTGACCAGGAAGTTGCAGACGGACGGGAACTTGCCTTACTCAGGGTCTTGCAGGTCCAGATCCAATGTCCAATCGATATGCAAGCATTCCTGCCAATTAATCCATGATCATAATTGATTCGACCGCGCGGGTGAATGAGACGTTCATTGCAGACTTCCAGCGGACGTGGGAGGCATCCAATGCAGCCCTCTCGCCTCGGCCCTACGGAGTGACTCCGTCGGAGTCTGCTTGCAACCGCTCGGCCTCGGCCAGCTGGGTCCGGGGTAGGCAATCTTGGCGTAGGGCGCAAGCGCCTTGTCGGGCTTCAAACGAGAGAGATGCCCGGCGAGCCAAGAGAGCCAAGACCTCGGCCGAATTCCCGGGTCGGGTTACTATAAGCGCTCAAAGGGAGCGAGAGAATCATTCTCTGTGGCTCAACACGTGATGACAAGTCCTGCGATGCAAGGAGCAAATTGGTTGATACTTTACCAAAGCCTGATTGCCTTCTGCGGCATTGTCGAACTCACAGAATTGCGAGAACTTATGGACAACCCGAGCTAGGAACAGGGTATCCTGCCGGCCCGGGGCAGGGCTACCGGCAGGCACCGCCCACTTCCCTTCCTTCATGCGGTTCCAGCTGGTGCCAAGCCTATCACCATGGGAGAAGCTAGAGGGGGGAGACGCACTGTATTTTGCATCGCCGAGAACAGCCATACCTTTGCAAATCTCATTATATGGGCACTGAAGTGGCCCTTTAATTGGCCCTGGAAGTTGGCTTGCCGTTAGTGGACTGCAGTGGCGAGTGTAGGTGGCTCGGCTGGACTGTGCGAACCCCACTGTGTAGGTAGGACAGAAGCCTCGGCAGTCTCGGCAAGATGGCCCGACCTCTGTGCAATAGTTATGCGTCCGTTGACTGACTTGACTCCTGCTCGCACCCATTCAGGGGCCACTTCAAAAGCCAGTTAAAAAAAGGTTATCACTTCTCTTGCCGGATTTGGCGGAGTTTGTATGGGAGCAACAACAAGTCGCAATTCAACTAACTAGCGGAGTTAGCTCGCTGACGCTCGCCTGTGGATTTTTCAAGCCAACCATCGCCAACTATATTATCTTGGGCATTATCTTCCTGCCAACTATACAACTATACTATACTCTTTGTCCTACCTCTATACAACTACTATATACAAATAGTCAATTTTACAGTAATATATACTGTTCAAGATATTCAACACTTATCGTTCAAGATATCCAACGCTTACCCGTTGGCTCCACTTTCGCTACACTGTGACGAATCTCGGTCCCCTACCACTGAAAGGGACTCCTCAGACTGCAGGTTGACTTGAACGGGGTGAGGTTCGGTAGAGCCAAAGGGTCTACAACAAGTGCACAAGCAAGTGTTCACACAGTAGTAAAGACAACTGCTTGCATTGCTTACTGGAGAACCTTCTGAAGGTCCTCCCGAAGAGTGACTAGCTAGCTCGTATATATACATTGTTCTTTGATGAAGCGTGTACTTGGGTTTTCCCCTGATCGCAGTGATCGCTTCTCGACCTCTGCGATCCGTGGTTGCTCGTCTTGATCGCAACTCGACCGTTGCGATCATCCTCTGATTGGTCCGTGTCCCTTGCCCCATTGATTGGCTGCCGGCGCGTCCCGCGCCCCAGCTGCAGCCTTCCAGGTCGCCAATGCGGTCATTCCATGACACTATGATATTTTAGGTTAAATCTATTTTAGGTAGAGTAGGACTATTTTCCTTAAGAAGAACTATTTTACTACCCTAGATAGGAAAAGGAAAAATACATACTACCTTTTTCTTTACTACCTTTTTTTTACCTTTGCCTACTTTACCTTTTTCTACCTTGTTTTCTTCTCAGGAATTTACTTTCTTACTACTTCTTAAAGACTTGGAAAAATTTAATTACAAGTGGAATCGAACAGAGAACCTTTGTATTTTCTAGCTAAAAACTAACCACTATACTATACTACAATAGTACTCATCAGTACATTCCAAATCCTAACCTATATACCATTTGTGCTTTGCACAGTTGCAGTGCCCAGGGCCTTGCCCAAATCCAGTGCAGTGCCAGGGCTTGCGCAGTGCACCTAGGGCATTCAGAGGATGCAGTGCCCAGGGCCTTGCGCAAGGTAATTACCATACTTCAGAATAGCCCCAGAGTCGAAATACAACTTATTGCTAGAAGATAGATTCAATTGAAGATGCCTTTACTACTTCAAAATGGCCTTACAGTCGAAATGAACTTACAGCTAGAAAATGGATTCGTTTCAAAATAGCTACAGTTAGTATTTCAGGAAGGAAGGTCTTGTCAGTCGAACTTGCCCTTCGAGTGATATGACTATGTTAGGTCCATGACAGTTACAGTGACTCTGTTACTGAAATCAACATGGTCTTGGCATGGCCAGAGCATCTTGGAACTGAGAAATACGGACGGTGACGATTTTGCAAAACCGGGTGGCGCGCTATGGTAGTTAAACGTTCTGATAGGTACCGTAGGATGACTAAGGCAGCGCGTTGGACCCATGATTTGACTTGGGGGAAAGCTCGTTTCGGCAATGACGCCGATAAGCAAGATCCTATCTGCGCGTCGAGCTGCGTCTGCCGTTCAATCAGCTTCATGCTCTCCCTTCATTGGAGGCAAGACGGTTGCGGCATCACAGCATGGCGCTTAAAGGGTAGAGCTTCAACCTGGTTGTGGCCGCCATTCCCACCGACGCACATGAGTTCGGGCCAGCCCGCTTGGGCCGCATTCCTTCGCGAATCCACAAATCCGCAAATCCATGTTCTTCAGCAATCAGCACAGGAGCAACCTAAGGTACCTCACCGTCCGTCCCGTCTTCCTGTCGGGCGGACCTGATGGCCAAGCAGGAAAAGAGTCCATGAAGTTACCGCCGACACTGGCTAATGGCTATATCCCGAGTTGAATCTCTCTTCCTTCGGAAACCAGAATGAAGCTTCAGGGTCCATGCCGATGTTCGCGTCAAATCAGCAGGGCTAGTTGGCCAATAATCTGCCAATCTTGGTCAGAACTTACGGCGGGAAGGTGCATTTTCCAAAACAAGAACCTTCACCCGACATTATGCTTCCCTAGTGAGTTAGAGTCGAAGTATTGAACCTTAAGGGAAAACTTTGGCCGCGTCTTCTTACCATCTTATGATTCTTAGGCTCAAGAACTGGAATACCGCACGAGCGAGGTCGGAGCGACACGACAAGATCCCCCGGGCTCAGCAAGCCGCGACAACAATACAAGCCGCAGCAGAGAAATGCAGTTTTCCTCACCATTTTTCTGCACACGACGTATCCTTCTAGCCGCTGCCTCATCCTCCTTGAGAGCATTGGATGCGAGGGACTTTGTTGTCAGTCGCCCGGGGCCGGAGGCATTAGGCAATTTGGTTGACACGCTTGGGTAGTCGGGGCAAACAGTAAGCTCCCTCACGTCCTCTTATTCTGGGTCGACTTTGACACGCTTCCTCAGCCAGTCTTATTCCTGGGTGATATCAAAATTCCGGGCCAAGTGGCTTCCTGGTCGTTGCTCGGCCATGTCCAGGAATCCCACAATGTCTTTGGTCTTTCATGTCCTGATCCCTAGACTTATTTTCCTTCGGTTGCTTTGAACAGTCAGTTAGCCGTGAAAGGTGTCGTCCCTGCTCAATTCTCCGCATGCCTGCGCCAGTAAGTACCGTTGGGAGGAGACTGAGGAGTTGATCGAAGTCATCTCATCTTCCTCCTGAGCTAACTGACCTATTCATGGAAACTAGGCTGGAGCTAGGCTAGACCAGCTGCTATTTATGCTGGTATGTGGGGCAGTGATCCGCTATTCCACAGGGTCCGAATGCCGATTTCCAGCGCTTCCGTCAGTATCATTGGTTCACGAACGCGTATAAGCCGTCAGCTGCGGCGTGTTTTTCACCCGCAATAGGGGCGACGATGGATCCTGCCTTGGACGTTAAATACGGCTTGGGTTCAGTACTGCTTTTCTTCATGTGTTTTGTTGCACGACAGATCGCAGACGCCATAAACTGCCGCGATGCAACTCAAATTCTTCCTCGCCGGTGCGCTTCTGCCATTGGGCCTCATGGCCAACCCTGCAGCCGAGGCTGAGGCTGCCGCGGCCGACGTGATGCTTGGCAGTGCCGGCGAGGCCCTCGAGGCCAGGGCATTTTCTCGGCCGCAGCAGTGCACAATCGTCGGCGGCTCTTCGACGGTGAACTGCCGCAGGGGCTCAGGCACGAAGTGGTCGGTCACAAGAAAACTCCGCCGGGGAACGACTTATCGGTTTTGGTGCGTTAAATCGGGGGAGTGTGTCACTGTCAATGGAAAGCGCAATTGGTATGTTGAAACCGCCATCACTGTTCGCCGATAGCTGGGGTTTGCTGATGTTTGTTGTTGTACATGCGCAGCGGTTGGCATTACTCTAGGGATCTTGACTGCTTCGTCAACGGGCACTATACTGACAATCGGTGCACTGCGGGTATGGGAAACTGCTCTTCGATTCCACTGCTAGGCCTTTCTCAGTTTGTCAGTTTGCCAAGCTAACGGTTCTAGCTCGACTTGGCGGATGCGGCGGCGCTGATGATGACGATGCGGCGGACCCCTTCTAGGAAGCAACTCGAATTCTCTCATCCCGCTTCTAACTCTGTTTTCTATACCACTTGATACTTGCCACAGCTTGAAAGGACTTGGAGGAATCCGCGCCACGTGAAGGCGGTGGAGTTGGCCATCTTTTGGTCACTGTGGTAAAGACGAGATCGGTGGTTCGAGCCCGATCTGGCCGCCAGTTGTGATAGTTGGGGGTTTGCTCTGAGATTCATCGAATTATCGGGTGCGGTTGCCGTTTTCAGAACCACAATAATCTGTTATTCAAACCCCCATTTGGTGGTGAATAAGCGCCACGTCTTATTCACATTTCTTTGTGATCTTCCAGCCTTGTCTCCTTCCCCTGAAGTCCCCCGGCAGGTCGCACTTCCCTTTATAAAGAGAAAACTTTAGGGGGTATCTGACGGTTTCCCACTGCACCTCCTGCGTTGTGTTTTGAAACCTTTTCCATCTCATCGCGCGGTGGGAGATCTCAAGTCGAGGACACTAACCCGATTCGTCCGCGGCAACACCTCGCCGAGCACATGTAACCAGTGCAACAGGCTAAATAGGATCTTGTTCACCACGTTACTACCTACCTCATCGGCCAAGATTCGCGACTTCTCACATCTTTTGTTGAAACCCTTTCCGGCCTTCGAGCACCCAGACGACGCGCGACTCATTGGGTCATTGCCAACGGACCCTACCCGATCTCGACGGAGGGGACACTCGGGAGATGGTTGTGTCGACAAGAGCTAGCAATCTAACAAGAAGGCCAGAAGGAGGACAAGAAACTTTTCCCCGCGTACGCCTCTGCTCAGAGTTAGAGGAGGCACTAAACTGGCCTACGATGGACCTGAAGAAAGCCGAAACCAATGAGGAGGAGCAAGCCTTTCTACACAGCTCTGGATCCCGAGACGGCGTCGCAACCGACTTTTGCTCACCAGAGTGTCAAAGACGCAGCGCCACAAAACGCCGGAGACGCAGGGTGACATGGTGGCTGCGATTGCTGCTGGATATCGGAATGGCGGTTACCATTGTGTACCTGCTCGTCTTCAAGCCCTTCAGTGTCGGACGCAAACTTATCCGGCGTACACCAGTGCCTGAGTGTAGGTTGGCCCATCTGTTCCATCTGGTATTCACGCCATCGCTGACTGCTTTATTGCGGCAAAGTTCCACACAAGATTTACAAATTTAAGATCGACCCTCAATATGTCAGCGAAGACATGTGGTTCAACGAATCGCTGACACTGGGGAAGCTTCATAACTGGGTCCCATTGAGTTCACGTAAGAGGACAAGGAACCAACTGCCCTATCTTCGAACGAACAGCCGCTAATGAATATGGAACCAGAGAGCCGAGGCTACGTAAAAGTCCCCGACGATCCCTCACGTTACGACCTCCCCAAGCCGATCCCATTAGTCCTTGACCCAGAACGCCACGAGGGGCCGGGATACATGGTCGGCGTCTTCCACCAGCTCCACTGTCTCTCCTACCTGATCGAGCACTACCAGCAGGGGTACGCCGGCGTCAACTTGACGGACGAGGTCGCCTTTCACTCGGCCCACTGCTTCAACTATATCCGCCAGGCCCTCATGTGCAACGCCGACACGACGCTCGAGGGCATGACCGAGGAAGGCCCGGGCGAGGGCACGGAGCATGAGTGCATCGATTACGACGCACTGCTGGAGTGGGCTAATGAGAATGCCATGCACATGCAGAGATGGAGGACGGGGTTGGTGCCGGAGGAGGCAGACATACTCTGAGGATGATGGATTGTTCATTAAGTGCAAACTGGAACGATCGTCAAATTGATGGGCCACAGCATATGTACATATTCAGCATGCTTCTGCGGGGATGTCGTATGGGAGATGTCTCGTACAACTTGGAATCATCTGTCAAATTCCTTCTTCTTGGACGGCGTAGGCACTCTGCATGATGGCATTATTATTAGTGGACGGATTCTTAAGTGCATAGTTCTACTGGGGACCTTGGTATGTTTCGTTGAAGGTGCTTGTGGGATATTCGATAAGAGTAGATTCCAGTGTGTAATTGCCCATATGACTACAATAGACTGCTTGATTGGTCTATATGATGACATGACTTGGTCAGGTAGGTATTTGCAGCATAAGCCTCTGTACTTCTGGATTGGTTGAGGTTGCCAGTTCCGCAGTGCTTTGAGTTAACAGCTGGTGCAGTACTACATTGTGGGAGGCTAGTAGGGCGCCCTTTGGTTTGTTTATCATGTTCTTGCCGTCCTGCGAGCGCCCGACAAGTCCCAATGCCCCTTCTCTGGCGAACTCAAACGTCCATCAAGCAGTGGCCCTAACCAATCCGGTTGCTGTGACTTACCAGTTCGAGAGCAAGTTTTGTTCTGGGATTCAGTCCTGTTGATGACTTGGACTGGCTGATACTCGGTAATTTCGAAGTTACCCCAACGACAATTGCCCATATGCAGCCAGTGTCCGAACCGGCATACGAAGGCACATCGGGGATGGCGCTTTCCGCATCCAATGGTTCTCTGGTCCCATCTTCTAGGCTCTTTCACTGCGTATATCGATGCTCAACCATCGTGGATGTGCTCAGCGTTATCCCATGAGAGGGCTGCGGCAGGCGGAGCGGTGCTGCCTTCTCGGATCTTCCCGATGAGCATATCAACGACATTACCGTCCGAGCGACAGATGTAAATGGGGTTGCTGCCTCATGCAACATGTTTAGCCACACCAGCGACTTCGCGGTTAAGGAGAACGGGTTGAGGTTGGCAGCTTACAATGATGGAGGCAACTGGATATCACTCTGGCTCAGGCTCCTGGCTACTCTCTGCTGGATTTCCCGCAGCGCGGCATCCTCAGCAGTCGGGCCATCTCCGTTCCTAAAATGGACAATTGTGATTGCCAAAGAAGTCCGCATCAGGGTCGGGGTGGTCTCCCGCAACTGCTTTAGAAGCACACTGATAGGAGTGGCGAAGTCGGGTAAATTGGCCCCGAACCGGCCATCGGTGAGGATGTAAAGGCTGATGGGCTGGTTGCACGTATGGAGAGAAGCGACAATTTTTTTGGTCACTTCCGGGGTCTGAAGCCAATGGCTCAGTAGCCAACTGGCTTCATGGTCACCGCTGAATTGGTGGCTCCTGACAAGATCCGCCAGCACAGAACTCTTCCGCAGCGTGTACACCTTTTCTCGAGGGTCTCTCACCATAGAGAGACTGACCTTGTCGTGGCTTGCCACCCTGCTTTTGAGCAGTTTAGTCAAAACCCAAACTGTCTCTGCTGTCTCGTTCTGAAAATTCCGCATAGACTCGGAGTTATCCACCAGGAAGTGCTGCATGGATTAGCTCCGTCGACTGTAATTTGGTCATTAACGATTGAGGGCGTTGCGACCTACATGCCTTCGCCCGCTGACAACGCTAAGTTCGTTGCCGAGATCTGGGAAGTCCAACTTGATGTTTTCGTCGAACCGTACGTGTCCTCCTCGTACATGCCGCCATAACCCTGTGCACTGACGGCCACGAAGATGGTTGACAATGTGGCTGACAGTTGCGGCACCCCACCTCGGCGGGTTCTGTACAGCAGACGATCTTGATGGCGGTGGTGGGGGTGGAGGTAAGCGATTGGTTTGGTGTCGTGATGGTTGCCTTAGATCTCTCTGATACCGTGGGGGATCCAGGGCAGCAGAAGGGGCCACGATTATCGATGAGAGAATTCCGGCAGTGTCCCCTCCCGCAATTCTCAACCATACGTTTTGCCACTCGGATCGGATGCCTGCCGCATCCTTAGCCCGCGCAGCTTTCGGCTGCAGCATCTGGGTTAGGATTATTTTGCTTACGGCCTGTAGCACTTCATCTCCGGGGCAAGCCGTCAGTGCCCCCTGATGGAATTGTTCCACGCAGGATAGTCGCTTGGTCCCATCATGGAAGCATTGCTCGGCCAATCTCCTCATGATCGTCCCTTGATTCTCGGAGCGTCGAGCATCCCGATATCTCCTTACACCGTCTGAACCTAAGCTTGACCTCACCAACATCTCGCTGTACAGGCACCCTAGGGCCCAAATATCGGCGGCCTTGGTGTACGGTCGTGGTATAGCCTGCTCAACTTCGTTGGCTCCACAGCATTCTGGTGCCACTGAATGGGGCGTCAGATCGAGACAGTTCCAGAGGGTGTATAAGAGGGTATCGTTGGCTCCCCGGGCTCGCGGATTGGACTTACTATAGGTGCCGGGGCCGGATTTATTGGTATCCACGGAATCGGTCCCAGATCCCGTAATCCTTTTGAAATGGCTTCTTCCAAAGTCTGCCAGTTTGAAACAGGGCCTCTCACGGCTACCCAAGGACCCATCTTTGCGCATGTACAAGACATTCGATGCTCTTATGTCCTGATGTGTCCTGGGTGAAGACGTCAGTTTCGATGCGGTCTTTGTGGACAGCAAACGGGCTAAGACGTACCCGCCCAAGTTATGCACAGCAGCTAGCGCCTGCAGGAGTTGAAACAAGTGGTACCACAAATCCAGCCTATCTCTCCTTGCTCGGGACATGATCAGTTCTAGCTGCTGTTCGCAAAAGTCGACCAAGGTACCGCCTGGGGCGTATTCAAGCATGATGATCTGAGTCCTGCCCCTCAGGTCATTCCGCACAATGGCTGGGTCCTCATGATCGTGATTTAAAGGTGAATATTCGTCACTGTTGGCTGTGTCGATTTGCTGAGTCCACATAAAAGACCCCAGGTACCTTACTATATAGTCAAATGCCGACGATGCAATAGCAGTGTCAGGAAGCAGGCTGCTGGTACCAGATGATAACGAGCCGCCTGGGCTGTTGACGATGACGTTGTAGGCATTGATCTCGTTCTGCCAAAGGTCGATGTCATCGATATGGCCTGGGTTAAACATTTTGAAGACAAGCTCGTTCGAGTTGACAATGCTTCTCATGGTCGGATCCATGCAGCAGGGATGCACAGATACCTTGTAAACGGCAGCCTCGTCGCTGGCCGGGGGTGTAAGCCTTGTTTCGTAGACGATTGGCAAGATCCTCTCCATGGGCAACTCCCTTCGGTGAACAATGCTGTCAAAGGTGAGTGGCTTGAACTTCCACTGCGCCTTGTAAGCCTCCAGCCACACGTTGGAGAACCCTGCGTCGTCGGACAAAGGGCCGCGCTGCTTGGCAGGGCTGGCGAGCAGGCATTTGTCGTCAACCTCCCGGGTCATAAAATAGTTGATGTAACTGGAGCGGGAGATGTAACAGAGAATAGAGAAGACCTGGAGGAAGTTTGTTCTAATGTCCTCGACGTTCGCATCTGTGTTGCGATCGCGGTCCAAAACGGCTCCAATCTTCTTATGCGTCCAATATTCCTCCAAAGCTGGTCTGCAAACAAATACCTTTGCTTCACCCTTGCCGTTGAATCCCTTGTGTTTGTGTGCGCCAAGTCCGGTGTCGACATATTGTCGGAATGCTTCGGCTGGGTGATATGAGAGCTCTACTTCATGTTGTACCCGTATCGGAGTCTGATCCCCTGTGGATCGGGAGCTGTCTTGGGCCTGACATTGAATTAACCTGTGTGTAAAGGTTCCCCTGGCTTTGCCAGAGGCCCGATACGGTTGACTGCTGCCCGGCGATCCGTTCGGCGTCTCATCTGACGATCTCCGCGGCGGTACTGTTGGAGACGATGATGTTACCCGGTCATCCCCGAGTGAAGTCCCAAAGGATTCCATAAAGGTCAAATCATCAGCACAGGTTATTAGCCTTGTACAAACCCTGCCGAGCGCTTGGAAGCTGTTAGCAAGTGTTACAGTAAGACGGTCTGGCTGTGAACAGCCCAGAAACTGTGGATACGAAGTTACGAACCACAAGAAAGCTGGTTTGGCAGTCATCAGCCTGGTTACAGCGGTCGAGTACGTTGAAACAGTTACAAGCTCCCATCTCCCGAATGGTTCATGAAAGTCCAACTCCACAACGCGATATGCGGCTCACGTTGTCCTGGGTCGGCGGACGGGCACGGCGGGGCTCAGATTTCGATGATGGCCGTTTCTCACTTCGGCCGGGTTCGGGGCGTGATGGGCAGCACAGCCCCGGGCTGCACGCAAAGATAGGCGCATTTGCGGCATTTGCCACTGCTGATTAGCGCCATTTCTCGCAGTGCCGAGAGAAGATCAAAGCTTGATGCTGAGGCTTAGGCAGTGAGCCTGAAGGTTGCCTTGCAAAAAAGCAATACTACTGCATGGCGTTGAATATATGGTAGGTAAGCGCGCCGATAATGTTAGGTAAGATCCGGAGGTAAGGGTCGCGCACAATGAGGGTCTTTGAGCTAGGCGAAGTACCCTAAATAATTAGCTCGAGTCCCGTAAAGCGGCAATGTTATGTACTTTCGTAAAGCGACTGTGTTATGAATGGCCAGAGACCCGCCTATTGGGCCACAGCGAGCAATGTGGGGCCAAGCGAGGGGCGGGTCTAGCGCGGCAGTATTGGGTCCATTTCGAACTTCGTGGTTTTTCAACGATTTATCCACCCAGAGCATGCTCACAAGGTGTTGCAAAACCCGGCCTCGAGATAATTCAGTTCAATTCAACCGTTGAGCTGTTTTCTGCATTGCATTTCTCGCGGTCCTTTGGTGTTGGCGTTAGCGGGTGGAAACAAAGACGCTCTATGGAAGTAACACAGTCGCTTTACGGATCTCGAGGTATCTGGGCGTAAGGCAATCTTGCGAGGTAAGGAGTAAATTTGATAGAAAGGGCATAGGTTTGGTAGGGCTAAAAGATAACCCCAGATCTAAGGTTTCTAAGTTATAGAAGGATGTATTTGAGCCACTTGAGGCTTTTTGAGTGTCTATTTGGGAGTCGTTTACTTGCGGAGGATGTTTGTATGGTCAACCCTAACCCTTATAGCAGACTAGGGGGACCGGTGGGACTCCGTGGGCAGTGCCCCCTATAGTTTGTTGTTACTCTTATGAGTGCACATAGCTACATAGTTGTGTGTTGTGGTCTGGACCCTGTTACCGGGACTCTCTTAACACTGGGACTCTCTTAACACTGGTAAACTCCCCCAGACCGTTGCAAGCTCTCTTTTGTATGTATATGATCGCCTAAGCTCCCATCCTCAAGTTCCCTTTGTCACCTCGAGGCGCAATATCACTACTTACTACAGTCTCATGATCCGCGGATTCCCGCGATCTTATCCATTATACCTATCCGCTATTCTATCTACCCCCTGTGTTGCAGTACTAGAAGTTTAGTTTCAATCCCTACAGTGGTAGGCAAGTAAGGTAACTTTAGAAAACTAGAAGGTCTCAAAATGAATGATCTTATGTTCGAAATACTTCATCAGCCTTCATCATCATCATCAAGAGCTTGTTTCCCATAATCATCCATACGGAGTATAGCTAAGAGATTGAGTTAGAGCAACTAGTATACGTAACTTAACACCATTGATTAGAGAGGTCTATTAGAACCACCATCCAAATCTTGAGATTATTCCCCCCGTACACCGGTCCAGAGATCATCAATACATGTACCCCATATACCTGAAATTCCCAAAAAAAGCAACAGTGATCTTGGAAAATCTCATGGTGGCCTAGATGTGTTGCCTTTTCAGTTTCGGCAGGCATCTGGGGTCAAATCTCGAACTATCTATGCTGCCAACGGATCTAGACTGGAGGCGCGGTGTGCAAGTGAGCACTTGAGTTGGATACGGGAGTCAGCTTAGCTGCAGTGCCTGAGTGCCGGCTGAATGGCTAGCAAACTTATGGAAAAGAGCCGCAAGTAACGTCTCCTATGCCAGTGCGTGCGGTGCCAAGTACTGGCCGTGGAAAGAGAAATGACATGGTACGTGGCTCCCTGTGGTGGATGGTCTTGGTTTGACGTTTGATCCTGAACCAATGGCCCTTCAACATGCAAGACATACCGCCATCCGGGCTGGCGCTGTAAGTGGCTCCATGCCGCTTCTCGAGTCCCTTCCCATTACACACAACATACTACTAATGTTGTGCTGGACCGCATTCTTGTCACCCTGGTGTAACCAAGTTAGTACCCAGCCGCAACTTGTCGCTCTTGTTCCCCTTACCCAAGACGCCATCTACTACCCCATCTCCCACATAGTACAAGGGGAGTCCGGATCCTGGCTTGATCGAGTCGATCCTTTGTACCTCCGGGCACTACTCTGGTACTTGCCTTAAGATAAGTTCCAGAAGTCCCGATAGCAGCTTATGCCCATCCAATCCGGGCTTGCCGTCATTAGCTGGGTACCTCCTAAGCGTTAGTGCCTTGGAGTAGCAGTTGAGCCGCGTTCCCGAGGACCTCCCCCGGCCAAACACACATCCATGGATGCATGCATCCGCAAACAATTGCACTTTCTCAGCCTTCTCACATCCGCGACTAGGACGTGGTGCTGGTTCAAGTGGTAGGCTTGCGCTCTGCTTTTTCACCACCCGCTCGTGAGAGTCAAGATATAGTATCATTAGTCCAAATTATACATCATGCATTGAGCGGATGTGGGCGTCCTGAACCTGGAAATCAATGATGCCCGACGGCGTGCGGTTCTTCGTCAAAGATGCAGTTCATGCTTCTCACCATGAAGCACATATAATCCACCTGTTTCTTCGTTGTAAACTACATGTAGCATCCGGTTATCCCTAAGCCCACGATTTAGTCTAGAACCATTCGTACGAGGATTTGCCTGTCCGATAATAGTCTCGGCCTGCGATCAAGCTGAGAGCATCTACATTGATGAAGCCCTGCCGAAACCCCAATATCTTACTTGCCCATGGAGACCAGCTACTACACGCATTGGGAAACTGTCAGTGCCTATCGTCTTCGACGGGATGTACTTGAGAAATGGTATGTCCCTGCTTGTCTATCTCTTGATTTGTCTGTGAGTTACTCACCGAGATACAGGCTTCGCTGGTTGTTCAATGACAGCCAGATTACGGTTCATGTAAGGATTTGAGTGCTGCTGATCCGTCGGTTGGAGTGTGCGGCTGGTAACTGGATCACTCGGGCGTGGACTTATGCTCCGCCTAACAGGCATCCGAGAACGATCAATTTATCTACGGATTCTGGCTAACGAGGCCTTTGAATGAGGTATGTACATACACTGATACAAGCATGGTACGCATCAATGATGGCTCCTGGACAGATGATCGAATCTGCTGGTTAGCCTGGTTCCCACCATTTTAGAATCCATTGGACTAAAAGTCAAATTCTCATATAGGAAGAGAAAAGAACCATCCGAGTAGAACTCCGCGGTCTTGTTAGTCTGTAAGGCTCGGGTTGAAGTCGAGTGTGGTGGCTGCGAGAGGTGGCAGCTGATGCGGGCAAGACAACCCTTGGTACCACAACCTGTTAGGCTGTTACACAGCATGCCCAATCACATCCCTACATCAATGCTGGAGAGTCCAATCACAATCCGTTCACTCGCCGCATTTCCTTTCTTGGAATCTTGAACTCTTAGTTTCTCACCGGTGTGATGCAGCCCGAAAATTGGGAGTGCGTGGCGTGGCGGCTACCCGGCATCCCGACCTTAGGTACCCAATCCGCTAAGAACACTCTGTGACACCTACCTTATCTAATGAAAAGTTTAATTATTATTCAGTGCCCTATAACTGCGAAGCAATATGCCCGTGGTTACGGGTCATCGAATAGCTGTCATCCCGTCGAGCTCAAGGACCTATCCTCTCCGGATTCTACACAAGCACTGCGGTACGACGTCAGGCATCTTATGGTGGCTCTCATCTCGTCTCCCCATCCCGTTTCCTCCGCCCCCATGTGGGTGGTGACACGCTTCACCGGGCTGGGCTGTCTTGTAATGGCACTTCGCTGGCTTCCTTTGGCTACGAGCTCGAGGCTAAGGTTGCCTTCATGGAATCTACCCGCGCATCTCTTCCTGGCATGGGCAACAAAGGGGCGTACATATCCGATGCAGCCGCTGAGCCTGCGGAATATCTTTAAACTATACCTACTTAAAGGTACCTCAGCCTTTACCAGATAACTTGCGAACATGGAGCCCACTGTGCGTGCATCTAACTTGGAGTACGCCTTCATGTTATAAACCATGGCAGAGCTTGATCCATGCGACCGTCTCCTGGAGGCTTGCACGGATTCCGATCAATATCCGTATACTTTGTTGAAGAAAACCATTTCTAGCGAAGTTTTGGAATTGTATCACTACCACTTACAGCAGAATGACGGAGCGCTGTTCGCGGCTTCCCGAGAACGCCTTCACCTCTGGGAGATATGGCCAGGAGAACACAGTAAGCGCTCAAAAACCAAAAATTAACATCCTACAAGTCCAAGTGTCGATACCTGATATCTGCCAAAGAATTCCGGTTCGCAGAGCTCATGAACTCAAACGAACTTCGGGAGCATTTGATTCGGGATGAAAAGGACCCCAAATGCCGTCACATGTGAGCCCTCTTGAATCCCCGATCTGCCAGTACTACTACAAGTAGTATTCCGAGTACCGCTGAACCCCTATCTCCAAGTGACCTCGTGGACTGAGCTGATAGAATTCAACTTTTGTACACCGAATAGCTTCATTGAGTCTCATAACTCCCGAGCTCCGCTTAACTGCTCTGCGTCCACTCTTAAAATACTCTTGACGTTTCACCGTAGGTAGTCGTAAACGTGCCTTGAAATGTACAAAACCCCTAAATTTGGAACTTGCTGACACAGTTCTGCAGAGGTCGACCCTTCCTTCCTTGACGCCCTCTTCACATTTGGCGACTATGACGAGCCTCCAGACGCAGGACTGGCCTATTTCCACTCGGACGATGCGCTGGCGGTTCAAGATCGCTTACCGTTTCTGGCATCCCTCGGCCGGTCCGGGAGAGAGTTGCGGCATTCATTCCTGCTCAGAACCGTGGAGCGAACCAACGGGTCAACGGATCCATGGTCCGTCCGTCAGGTCGCAGTTTACCACTCATTTGATGTGCTCAACGGCCGGACCGTCTGGATCACAGTGAAGGGAAACGACTATTTCGAAACGAGGATCGTTGACGACACAAACGATCTGCCCGTTCAGCGCGGCGCCATTGAAGGCGACGTTGGAGCGTCGTTTGAGGCGTCACTGGCCACGCATTTAATCTTTTTTCACTGGTGCGAACAAAATTGGCGATGGTTCATCCGTGACATAGAGGAGCGCATTCGGAAGGCGCTGGTCAAGGCCAAGACGCTCCCTGTTGATAGCGAGCCACATTTCGCCCCGGCACCCCAAAAGACTGTCATTGAGGCAGTCACGCCTGCGTCTTTCGGAGGAAGTTACGTTAGAGCAGCAGGAACTTCCGCATCGTCAGAGAAGTACGGCATTCTTGAGCGGGTCAAGACACTACGGCGGCCGCCTTCGGCCACGTTCGATCTTGCCCAGGTAACGACGTGGCAGTCGGCACAGTCACGCTTTCCCAACACAAAGCAAGTACCAGAGGGAATGCTCGTGCTGAACATGTTCAACTACAAGGAGCTTCAGACGCTTAGTAGACTCGCCGAACAACTTGAGGAAGTTACGCTGGTTGTCCAACTCGACATCGGAGTGCTACAGGATGTGGACAACTACTACCAGCGCCTTACTCGATCTGACGACATTGGAGACAATCTCAAGCAGAATCTGGACAAGTCAGTTTCGAGGTTTTCCTCTAGGGTTCGGGAAATAATCCGAAGCCTGGAGACAAGGCAGGCGCAGCTGGTCTCCTTGCGGAAGAGGCTAGACGAAGGGAAAGCACTTGTAGGTGGACCAAAACCGGATGCCGCCCAAGCTGTTACTTCTGTTCTTAACATGCGATCCAGTATGAGAACCTTCTACAGCTCCGAAGCTTGCAGATGAGCCGCATATTTGCTGAGCATGGGCACCGGTCTGCCATTGTCATGCAAGACATCGCTCACAGAACAGAGCGGGAAACTGTCTCGATGCACACCATTACTGTGGTGACCTTGTTGTTCCTGCCCGCTACGTTTCTCTCTGTAAGTACCCATCCTCTGTACTCCGATTTGTGATCCACATAGACCAGACGATCAGTAAGCTAACCGGCAATGCTTCTTGAGTCCTTTTTCCAATGCGGTGTTCTCCAGTGGAAGGAAACCCCGGAGGTCAATGTCATTGGGGACTGGCTCTTTCGCGCTGAAGTCTTCAAACTGTTCATCTCTGTCTGCATTCCTATGACGGCAATCACTCTATTCTGTTGGCTCGTGGTAAACTACTTGGGTAGGAAGCGGAAAAGAGTCTTTCCGGACGCAATCACACTGCACCAGCCGATGGTTAGACCTGCTGGCCTGTCAGTGTGAGACTTCGTACGCTGGATCTCACTATAACTAGTACGTGTACGTTAAGGTCGCGGGTGGACTGACATGATCCTCCCCCATTGTTTGTTACTGAAGTGCTGGCAAAATGGGGGAACGCTAAATCTGTCTGAAGGATTCTGAGTCCGTGGTCTTTTTAGTTTTAGTACGGGAATCAAGGGAAACCTCCATGAAGGTACCTAAGGTATTGCTTCATCTCATTTGATCTTTATCATTTAGCGGGACGACGGCAAAGCACCATGCCGCCAACCCAACCTGTGAAGTCACAGCTGATGGTAATATAGTATGCCGTGTACGTTGGCGTCCCTTCCCCTATTGCAAGATGTCCAACCGGCCTTTGCAACCGTCCAGCGTAGCCAGTTCCATATAAAACATCTTGAAGCTAGCGGTACTGAACCAGGTCCCACAGATTCCCATATAGATCCTTCCACACGACCACTTCTCCATACGGCTCCGACCTTCGTGGCCCTACCCACTCGACACCCGCCTCCGAAAACAGCTTAAAGTCCCTCTCAAAGTTGTCCGTCGCAAGGAACAGGAACACTCTCCCCCCGGTTTGGTTCCCTATGAAAGCCTCTTGCTCTGCGTTGCTGGGACGGGCCAGGAGAATGAGCGTTTCCCTCGGTGAGAGCTCGGGCGGTTTAGCCGATGCCTCCTGCTTGGCCCCGCCACCACCACCCTGAGAATCTGAAAATTCGGTGCTCTGCTGTGCTGCCGAGGTGCGCTCCGGATATGGAGGAGGTGGTCGGACGGTGACCCACCTCTTGCCCTGCTCTGGAATAGGGGTATCTTCCACTAGTTGGAACCCCAGTTTCGAATAGAAAGCGATTGCCTCGTCATAGTCGCGGACGAGGAGAGCGACGTTGGTTATGTATGTCATAGCAATGAGTTGTTCTGAGATTCGGCGAGAGACAGAGGGAATTCTAGGTTGGGATCATGTATGCCGACGACAGTCGGTGCTGGTATTGACGTGCTGTACAGGACTGGATTTGTTGAGGTGGACTGGTACGAAGCTCCCTGGGCAACTGAGACTGATCTGGAGGCGGCTTGTATGTACGTTGTTTTTCATGTTATGCGCTTCCCTTCAGGATAGGACTTCGGTCAATGACTCACTCTCTGCTCTGGCCCACTATATGTACGGGGCATGCAGTGACCCATGTCACAGACTTACAGGGTCGCTCTGTGCCAACCCCGTTTGACGAGACTAGAATCCATGGTACAACATCTCCTCCTAGACCAGGCTAGGTAGGTAGGTGTAGTATTCAGCGATGTTTGAACTTTCTGATTCCCTTCAAATCTCCACCACAGCAGAAAATATATCAAAGAAGAAAGCCAACTCAAAGCTCATCGGAGCCCTGTCTTGAATCGAACCTAAGTCTCCTCGCAAGTGGTGAACATGAATTTACACTAATCCCAGTCCAGTCAACACCGTTCTTCATCGCTCATCAATCTTCTTCATCTTTGTCCCCCAGAAGCTCGTCCTTCTTCTGCTTGACATTCATTACCATATTGATAGAACTACCATTACAGTCGGATAATGTAAGGTATCCGGAACTTTTGAAATCTCAAGCCTCGGAGGAACAGAGAGTACATGACCAAAGGAGCTGATACATGTGACTGATACAGGAATGTTTCTGCATTTGCCTCTTGGGCACATCTCAAAGCAGTGTAGCAAGGCACGCAAATGAAAATGCTCAGCCATCAAGGTGCGAGCATAAGTTCGTCGCGGTGAAGATCCAGGAGTGCAGGCTCAGGAGAATCGGGCGCAGTTCCCGGCCGAATGAGGTTGCCCCGAATGAAAGGTCTCTGCCACTCAGTTTTCCATTATGTCCCTGACTTCAGTCCGTTAGTCCGAGTCTTCCGACCGTTGCCCAACGGTAAGGCGTAGCGAAACCATATTCCGGTTCTGGAATGGCCGGCGGGTTTAGGAATTCCCACAGGAGCCGTTTTTACACTTCTCGCAGAGGTTTCCGTCGTTCCCAGGCACCATGACCGGGCACCCGTGGGTGTAGAAATGAGCGCAAGGCTTGTCAGCCATTGAGTTTGGACCAGACTGATAAAACTGGCCTTGATTGCGGGGCCCCTTGTGTTGGAACGATGGTTTTGATTTGGGGAATGCAAGACTTGCAGCATTCGGCAGCAATCACTGCTGGCAGCAGACTCTCGCCGGCTTTACAATCAGGCAAGGCAGGTGTGTGTGCGTGGTAAGGCAGTAAAGATGGCAACTCGAAACCAATTCCGATCCACGTAACGAACTGCTGGATGCCCTCAGCCTTAGATAGAGCCGTTGAACGAAAGACAGATAAGTTCTTTCCCTCGCCGCTTGCTCTCTCGCACTGCCGAGCCTCGAGCTTTATGCACATGTAAATGTAGCTCCAGACAATCATGGGCTCAGGCCTTAGGGTAGTAAACGATCCCCACTAACCCACCACCTTGGGACTGCATCGACCCATCCCCCAGATGGAATCGCATCTAGAATGCATGAAGGTTGGGGGTTCTCGGTGGTGTGCAGATGGTCTGCCGGTTCGGTGTCGTCCAACCGTAAATGATAAACGGCCGTGAAGTATGTCCCGACACCCCACGTAACCATGCAGCCCGTCGTTGGCACTCATACCCCTACACATTGCGTGCGACGAGTACCTGTTATCCCACTCCAGTCTCCGGGTGTGTGTGCGCCGGAAGGGCTCCGAGAGGTGCAGCAAGGCATAACGAAGCAGGTGCCACCGCGTCTTTAGTCGCACGGGAGGCTCTCTGGGAGCGCCATCAATATGTAAGTGATTGTTCAGTTTATGCCCTCCGGGTCTTCCCCTAGCGTCGTCTAGCCATGAGGGTGGTCCTGGGTGGATGTGTAGGCAATATACGAAGCCAATCACGGGTAGGAACCTCCCATATGGAATCTGGGAGCATGATCAATTGGTGCTGGGTCCCGTGGCGGGATAGGCTGCGAGTGATTAGGGACTCGATCCCGCCGTAGCTTGCTGTACGTCCGTATGCAGGAGGCTGTTTTCTTCCACGGTTGACATTGGGGGATGCGGCGGAGATACAGGTTGATCCCCATCGATGCTTGGCGAATTGAATGTCTTCATATGATGCACTTGTACATACGCCGTCGACGGTTGCAGTTCATTTTGATGATAGCTCATGGCGAGCCTAACAGACGAACAGATAGGAGTAAGCAACTCTGAGCCGATCGATAATGGGCCTGCTCCTTTTCATACCTTGGCCAAGCGCACTCGGAAATGGCGACAAGATCGTGGAGGCTACCGCAAGCGAGCGATCTGATATCGAGCCTGAGGGTGTCAAAATGCTTGGCTGAAATTAACCGCCTCGGCACTGTGCTTGGCAGATTGAGGATGGGGGTGCCTCGACGCAAATGTTGGGGTCCATATGAATGTTGCTCGGCAGTGTATTATTGCCGAGGCACGTCATATATGAAGTGTCTCGTGAGATACATCATTATGCAACACTTTATAACTGCAAGCGCACATGCAACTTTATCATGGCGGTGCTCAGAAAAAGCAGCAATCAAGAAGCCAGTGCATCAAACATCATCTCGGCGGTATGAGATGGTGGAGGATTTGATTAGGACGCACCTTCTGTGTGCGATCCCCCCACCTTTGTGTGGAGACGAGCTGGCTCGCTGTGGAGGAGACATCAACCCTGGAAGATGGGCTCGCTCCAGCCCCCGAGCGCCTTTGGTCGTGTGCGGGGTTGATGAGTCCAGAAGGTTTCTACCGAAGCTTGGCTTGGCATACTCCCCCGTAGGTTGGCGACGGACGGACATCCCGATCCCAGTCTCGGCAGAAACATCTGACCTCACTTGAAAGGCGCCTTGCAGCGTCAAGGTACGCACGTTCCGTCACTGTAACCGTTTGCGATGCACATGTCGAACCCCTGAAGCGAGTCGAGGGCAAGAGAGCTTAGGTCAGATACTTGAGTCTGGCAGACGGTACTCGAGCCGCTGAGTTGCTTTTGAGAGCGCTACTGTGGTACGTCTGAAGAGCTTGAGAAGTTGAGACTTCAATGCCTATAAAACTTGAAGCTCTTCTCAATGGCAAATGCCATACTCAGGCCTCCCAACGTCATTAGCTTCGAGAGTCAAAATCTCGGCGACCCACTCTTCCAGCCCTCCGTACATCGTCTGCTGCAGGATTCTTGCCATTAATAATATGGGTGGTCCCAAGACCTACGAACTTGGTCTTGAAGCCATCAAGGGCGGGGCATATTTGTAAGTTGTCTACAAGCTGTGCCGGTGCACGGCTGAAATACAACGCCGACGGGCCCTGCATGATCCTCCCCATTCCCAAAAGTGTCCGCTTCAAACACACTATGGATGACGCCATCAAACTGTATTTATCAGCGTGGCACGCGGCTGTATCCGTGAGTTGTCGCACCAAGAGACTTCATGTCCTTATTAGTAGACGAGGAGGCCCTTTCACGTACTGATAGCTGAGCATCGTTAGCTTCTGGATTCCTCACCTTCAACCGGACGCGAGACTCGACAGAACCCTCTCTCCTAGGCCTCCCTAGCACTGAGCAGAACGGAAACCGGAAAAGATGGCCCAAGACAAGATCATCCTCTATACGAACCACATTTGCCCATGTAAGCAAAGTTCCCGGCACGAAACCTGCCTCATCACTGCACCTACCTAACCTGATCCCCAACCAGGGGCACACCGGGCGCATATCGCCCTGGCTGAGCTCAACCTCCCGTTTGAGGAGGTGATCATCGACCTGGACACGCCGCGGAGCCCCGAGTACCTCAAGATCAACCCGCGCGGGCTGGTCCCTGCACTGTCTTACAACGGTGAAATCATCACCGAGTCGGCCATTGTCGCGCAGTTCCTCGCCGATGCGCACCCGTCGCACCTGGTTCCTGCGTCCAACGCACCGGGCGGCGCGCTCCGACGTGCGCGGATTGCCTTCTTTGTCGATACCTACGTGACCAAGGTCAACAGCACCTTGTACAGCATCTTTGGCGCGTTAAACGACGAGGAGAAGAGAAAGGAGATCGCTCAGAAGGTCTTGACGGCCATCGCGACGGAGATCGAGCCGCTGCTTGCTGATGCGAGCCCGTTCTTTGGTGGGAGCGAGAAGCCCACGCTTGCTGAGGTAATGCAGCTGAGGTGCGAACGGAGGGTCTGTTTCCAGTGCTGACGAGGTGCAGGTGTTGACCGGGTCGATGGTCATCCGGCTCCCCGCCTACTACAAGGCGGGACTCATACCCAGCGCCGTATACGCATCTCTCCCCGAGAAGGCACCTAATTTCGTCAAGTGGTCTGAGGCCGTCACGGCCCACCCCAGTGTGAATTCGATCTATGATGAGGACAAACTTCTTGCGAGGTTCAAGGCGAGGTTTGCGGCGGCCGCGGCGTCAACTTGAACTGTGAGATGTGCGTGTCACGGAGCGAAGTTCGGTGCTGCAAATGAGCGCCGAAACAACTACTTCTGAGGACAGTTAAAGCAGTAGAATCTCAATTCGACTGTCGAATGGTAACAGCGCTCGACGTGCGGCAGCCTATAGGACGTTAGTTGACTATACCGTAGCACCTGAATGAAATGCTTGTCACTTGTGGAAGTTGGCAAGAATCTGAAGTTCTGAACGAGAATTTGAGATTTATCTGTAGAGGCGCCCAAACTAGCACAACTTTTGCCTTAGGCACCAACTCAGGGGCCCACGCGCGTGCCGAGGCATCGGGACGCAGAATCGCAGATAAGCTAAAGACGCCAACTCGAGGCCAACACCAGATGATGCTTTATCCGGCATTTCGTCACTCCCTCAACCATTCCAGTTTGCCAACATAGTGATTGTACCTAATTGCCCTGCCGCTTGCCAGTTGCCCTGCGATACTCAGGAGCAACCTAATTATAAAAACAACACCGCCAAACACTTTTACAGACCTTCAATGCCGAATCTCCACAGTTCCACGCCATCTCCCCAGCCAGAACGTGCCCGTGCCAAAGGCGCCTCGCCAATGCAACCACGATGGCTGCGCATGTACGATGATTTCATCACCAAGAATGCACACCAGGTGTCGCAGATCGAGTCGACGTTGCGATCCCTAACATACATCATCCCGGGTGAGCAAACACCCTCCCACCACCTTAGAATGCCGTCCCATGTCTAACCGTCGTGCACCCACCAGGCCGCTTCCGCGACGCCGAGATCGCCTCCGAGTCCATCCACAGCGGCGTCCAACTCCTCTCCCTGTACCACGACACACTTCTCCGACGGGCAGTAGCCCTCTCAAAACTGCCCCTACCCTCATTCTCTCGCGTCCCGCCCTCCCCGCACAGCCGGTACACGCGCTTCTGGGCGCTGCGGAGCGCGCTCTACCGGCGGGTCGCCTACGTGCTGCAGATCGTCAGCTATGTCGAGCTGCTGTGCGAGATGGCGGCCAAGCGGCGCGGCGAGCGCATGCGCTGGCACGTCGTCGTCCTCCTGGAAGCCATCAAGGCCGTCTGCAAGCTGCTGCTGCTGCGCATCACAAAGTCGCGGCCCGTCGTGACACCCGTGTTGCCGGAGCGGGAGCCGCTGCCTGAAGAGCCGCCGGAGGAGGGAGAGGAGGCTGAGTTTGGTGTTTGGGAGGAGGAGGATGATGAGGACCGCAATGGTGTTGCGGCTGCTTCTGCCAACGGGCATACTACGCACGCGCACGCGAACGGGGCCGTGGGCCATGATGCATCATCATACAAAGTACGGCCACAGCTAGGCCCCAACGGGGAATGGACCATGCCTCGCACCGGCATGTCCCTCCCGTCGCTTCCCGCGCCGGGCGACACAAGCGGGTACCTGCTCGCGAGGGTGTTGACGGCGGACGACATCAAGCCCGCGACAAAACTGCTCAACAGACTGCAGGGTTCCGCCCAGGCAGCGGAGATCCTGCATATTCTGGCGCCGTTGGTGTTTGCGGTCGCGCTGGCCCGCAGCAAGGACAAGCGCAGGGCATGGACGCCGTGGCTGCTCGGTGTGGGGGTGGAGCTGGCCGCGCGGCAGCTACGGGACCGCGGCCTGCGGACGACGCCTCTGGAGCGTGAGGAATGGAGCCGTCGCGGCTGGGCTATGGGCTGGTGGGTCATGCGCGGCGCGTTCTATGAGAATGTCACCAAGGGCGTGGTGGCGGGCGTGAGAGGGCGGATGCCGCGGTTGTTGGCGGGGATCTTGGAGGATTATGAGTATCTGTGGGAGAACTACTACTTTAGCACCAGTTCTTGAGGGCGTTGCGGGACGACTCTGAATCTTGAGAGACATCACTCCCATGTTCTCACTATTCAAGATATATTCAGCTTTGTATACTTATCTCCTAGCCTTGCGATGCAGCAGGCTGTGTCACTTTGGTCTTCGATCCCGGGGCCTCTCGGCTTGGACAGATATGGAGCCCGTGTTGCCATGCGGAGCTTGAATTTAGCCCGACATGGACCCAGAGAAGTCGCATTCCGGATGATGATCGCAACTTGGCGGACAACTGCGGTACATGGTAGAAGGCTCACTAACCACCGGCTAATATCCCGTTGAACGGTTGAAGGCAGATACCGTGGCTACTTCAAGTTTGAAACCTGACTGACCTTGGCAGACGCTGTTGGCAGCTCTTCTTAAAGCAGGGAACAGCTCAACCAAACCATCCAATATGTCTCGTCAAAACTCTGTGGCCCAGCTGGCTTTGAACCTGGGACGGGGAGGGTTGAGCCAACGGCATCATGCCGGGTCTCGTCATTTTCAGCTTCATTATCTTGCTTGCGCCCCAGATTCTACCAGCTTGGGCACAATCACACGTTCAGAGAGGTCCGGTTTCCTCTCAATGCAGCAACAACTTCGCAGGGCCATTGACACCCACCCCAAACCACTCAACATGCCCACCACTGGTGGACGATGAAACCGTGCTCCTCACAGGCAGCTGGCACCCTTGGTCCATACCCCCGACTTGTACGAAGCCAAAGACGAAGGGCAGATCCAAGCTCTGTTCATTCACAACCTCAAACCACTGGGCCGGAGGCGGAGTGAGCATCATCACGACCCCAGAAGTGGCTGCTGGCGTAGCTAGCCAGCTACACGACCACAACATCCCCTGGCTTGAGAAAGAGCGAGGGTCTCCGTTCAAGACTGACAGCACGGCGGCACCGTTTGAAGTCAGGGAGCTCTCGGAAAAGGGGCTTGGGGTCGTGGCCACAAAGTTCATACGCAAGAACCAGGTGTTGATGCTGGGCCTGCCCATCATGTTGCAGATCAGCAACTCTGGTCCCTGGGGTGTCTACGATGTCTTGAAGCTGCTTCATCGGGCGGGAAACCAGTTGCCGCAGAAGGAACAGGGTGAGATGCTGCGTCTGGCAAGGAAAGGAAAGGGGTACATCATAGACGATATCATGAAGACGAACTCGTTTGATGTCACGGTTGCTGGGGTTTCACATTCGGGGTTGTACCCGGAGATTGCGGTATGTTGCTCCTGGTTGGGTTCTTTGGGTGTCAAGTGTGCTGACTGGACACCATGTAGAGGATAAACCATGCGTGCAAGCCAAAGTTAGCATCACTAGTCCAGAACTCAGGAAATCCTGCTCGGGTGGCATGTCCCCAGCTAACTGCCAGACTTGCTGAAGCTGTTTCACTCGATACTCCCCGAATACCTTGGTCATGGAGGTTGTGGCATACAAGGACATTCAGCCGGGCGAGGAACTCTCACTATCTTGTCAGTCCGAGATCTCCTGCACGGATCATCATGATGGTGCAGCAATGCCAAGGACTTGCTTCTCACCTCTCGTACAGACACACCCCTGAACGTCCTCTCGACCGACCGCCGGGACATGCTCAAATTCTGGGGCTTCAACTGTACCTGCGCGCTCTGCAACGACCCCGACGCCATCAAGACCTCCGACCGCCAGCGCACTCGGATCCAGGATATCCTCAACGAGCTGGACGATCCCAAGAACCACACGCCCGGAAAGGTGCGCGCAGCAACTGCCGAGGTGGAGGACTTGGTAGCCAAGGAAGGTAGGTGACAAGCGTACTACAGGAGGTACAATCAGCGGCCGAGCGCTAATCGATTTATAGGCATGACAGGCCAAATAGGGGACTTGTATAGCATCATTGCCAACGTCTACTTGACCATGGGTGAAATGGAACTGGCCAGAAGCTATGGCAAGCTCGCCATCACATTCCTGCGCCAGTATGCTGGGTTTGATAGCCTCCGGACTCAGGGGGCCATGGAGTTTATGGTTAGGTTGGAAAAATTGGGACCGGAAGCTTGGCAGCGGACGAGGTGACGATTAGAGGTGCGGGGGATCTGACATGAAGCAAGCAGGAGTTCATATATAACAGTCTCCTGTCGGTATCAACAGCTATTTCAGTGTCCCGATACAAGCGTAGGCAGTCAAGTTGAAGGGAACTACCTAGTAGGGAGAGGGGGGGTCTCTGCCCGTACGGGCAACATTACTATTCCCCCTGACATTGTAGTCCGGCACTAGCAAGTACCTACCATTATATAATCATTATAACACCGGCTAGGAAACATTATGCTACCGGCTGGGAAGCATTATGACACCGGCTAGGTACCATAATGTTGTCATTACAGTTCAACATGCTAGTGCCAGACTTCAATGTCATGAAACAGACTGTACAGTCAGAGACCCCCCCTTCCTCCGCTGCTAGGTACAGACTGTATTGGGTATATAATGCAAGTCTCCCTGCCTACTTTCAACCCTCCACGGGTAGAAGAAGCAAAGTGGTAGTAGTAGGCAGTACTCTCTCCCAAGCTCGACCGAGGTCCCGTGTTCGATTCACCCACCGATTTCGCATATACGCCCAATTCGCTGCTATCAGGTACATCGCGATGAAAGAGAAGATGCCAGTCAGAGCCGAGAATCATGCCAGGACGATGGGCCTCACTTGGTTATACGACGGGTCGCCAATCCCGGACTTCTGGAAGGGCACCGATCTCAACAGCCTGGAATGGCGAGAATCGAAATCCATCATTATGAAAGGTGCAAAGCAGCACGATGACCTGAACCGGGAAACTGAGAGGAAGCTCTTGAGACTGATGCGTTCTGTGTTCAAAAATGAGTCGGTCGAAATGAATGGCTTGGAGGATAAACGCACGTGGACGGGACGAATCCTTTTCAAACTCCACAGATACGTTCCAGAATCCAACGCAGTCCAACCACCGAGACTTGATCAGGACAAAGATCGGCAGAACGTCCCGGAAGATAAGCCAAAACAGGTGTCCCGCGAAGATGTAGCGAGGGCGCTGTGGGAGCACCTTGAGGTTATGTCGACGAACGTTAGAGGAGGGAGCTTGGGGAGGAAGGGTCATGCGCGCGTACGGTGTTACCTCTGTAGGAGTTGGTACTTGTACAACACTACTTGACGCAAGTACACCGCTCCTGCCATCATTCAGATGTAGATTCACGCGCACGACACTGATGCCCTTAACCCTTGGAATCACAGCAGGCATCCGCACTCTTGATGCTCTCCACTATCCTCATGTATTCTTTACAGTCTGGCCTACAATTCCATATCTCATATCAACATGGCAGAAACAAACCTGATAAGCCTATGGATACATTGCACTTCCCAGCCAGCCAGAGGCCTGGAATCATGGATAGTATAAGTGAAGTTCCCAATCTTACTTTCACCCCCTTGGGTAGTATAGAAGTTGTCAAGCGGTGTTTTCACCTACGTGGTCCCCTTCCACACTCTCTGCTGTAGCCCTCAGTTCGATTCACACGTTTGCAACTTGCTTCTACCGTCAAATGGGGCCTATAGGTAACAACACCAATTGATCTAATACCGCCCATCCTTGGATACTCGTTTTTCATCTCCGACAACAGGGTCAGAGCAAGAGCCTCGAAGTTCGCAGTGTAGGATTGCGACTCTGCTGACCCTGGGTCGAGAAACGGGTCTTCGGACGTGTCGTCGACGGCTCCCGTTTACCGACTCGGCGTCCGGGACCTGGGCATCACTCCCCTCGTCATCCTCATACTCCTCGTCGAGTTCTTGATCCCGCGAGCACTCGGCAATGAGAAGAGCTTCCAAATAGTCATTTTCGTCATCAGCGTCTGTACTCTTCACATCGTCGAGATCGGAGTTGGGCTCGGCGGGCTCTGGTACTACACTGTCGTTCTCTTTGATGACGGTCTTGGTCCTTTTTGGCCTTGGACCAGGGGGAGGTGGTAGTTGGTGTACTTTTGATGGATCAGGAGAAAGGACATCTTCAGGAGCCGCGGGTTCGTAATTGTCGTCCGATTCGTTGTTGAAGACCACGGGCGGCATAGCATATTTGCTCTCTACCCAGAGTAAGTAATAGACATGGAGCTTGGGGTCCACTGACACCTACTCCTTCGAGGAGGCATGTTGAACAAGTTCAAACGTCTAGGATGTCTTTGTGTCAAGACGGGAAAGACGTTTGGAAGGGGGGGGAAGGGGGGACTATGTCCTCGTCGATCGAGTGATAATAAGAGGAGCGGTAGGCAGACTCAATAATATCACTGATGGAGTCTTGCACTTCCGTAAAGAAAGCGATGAAGACAATCCCAAAGACAGAGAACACAAAAGGAGCTCGCAGTGTGTTTTGACCTGCATCTTTCGCTGCAGAGAAGGAGCTCCCCCGGCGTCCCAGGGGAAAGGGAAGGGGCATCTGACGCCCCCGGAAGGCGCCATGGAAAAGCGAACGGCCTGGGACAGTTCGTGTTAATGTATCAATCGCTAACATAATGCCAATTTGAGTACTTGGTCTGCTCTATATCAAATTATCAATCGGTGGATTACGGGGGTGTACACCAGAAGTCTCGCATCTCGTTGCGTAACCCCTAAGCCGGGCTCGACTTTGATGCCGGCTTCATAAACGACGAACGCGACGGCCATTATTGCCTTTTCCACACCAACGGTGCCCGCTCCGGATGCAACATCTGCAGCAACAGAACACTGCCCGAATCATTCTCGATGAGATCAAGGACCCGCCTGCGCGCGGCCTCGATGGTCTCGCCCGGTTTTGTAACGGGCTCAACGCGCCAGCCGCTTCGGAAAAGCACAGCCAGGGCCGCGACGAACTCGACCTGCGAGAACTTACGCCCGGGACAGTCGCGTGCGCCGTCGGACCAGCCGATGAAGGCGCCGCGCACAGGCACGCGGAAATCCTCCCCGTCGTCACCACCGCCGTTACGCTTGACGATGAACCGCGAGGGCTTCCACTCCAGCGAATCCGACCCCCAAAAGCGCGGATCCGTCTGCACGGAGCCGTAGCTCGGGGCAACCATGCAGTCTGGCGGGAGCACGTACGTCTTGCCGCCGACGACGAGCGGCACCGCTTTGTCCGCGGTCCACTTAATGGCCGGAACCGGGGTGTACAGCCGAAGGGTCTCGTAGAGCACGGCAAGGCAGCGCTTGAGGCGTGGGAAGTCGGCGCGATAATCCCATGCTTCGATCGGGCGGTCCCCGAACACGCGGGTGACCTCCTCGGCCAGCCAGTCTTGGACAGCCGGGTTCGCCGCGAGGAAGAAGATGGAAAAGGTGAAGCTGTGTGCGACGGTGTCGTGCCCGGCGAAGTTGAAGACGAACATGTTGCCGTAGATCTCGGCCTCGGTCATCCCGACGGCTTCGGCCTGCGAGGCGCGGATCATGGACCGCATTAGGTTTGAGTCGGTCACGCGGCCCGCGGCGTAGGCGGCTTTTTCCTCTTCGTAGATTTCGGTCATGTAGGTGCGAAAGGCGAGGTATGCGGCATAAACGTCGCGCAGTTTCTTTGGCAGCCAGGGGTTGGCAATGAATTTCGTTCCCAAGGCGAGGATCAGGACACAGTTCTCCAGTATGGTCTCCAGCGCTTTCTTGTGGTTCATGCTTGATGCGGTGGCCTTGTCACCGGAGGCCCTCTGGTGATCCTCCTGGCTTTCGAATTTGAACGACTTGCCGAAGCCAGCGCGTGACAGGACATGCAGGGACAGAGTCCGCAGATCGTCAGCGGCCGTGTTGATCGACGGCTTTGAGGTCCAGTAGCTGAGCACATCGCGAGCCAAGGTGAGAGCCTCCTTCCAGACGATCTCGTTGTTCTGCTCATTGAAACAGTGCAGGGCGATTTTCCTCTGCGTTTTCCAAGCCTCGCCAGTTGCCTACAGGATCTGGTCAGCTCGATTCCTCGGTGAAAGGATCGAAGTGCGGTCAGAGATTGAAGATGCTTACAGTGGCAATATTTGGCCCAAAGACCTCGAGGATCTCTGTGGCGGATGGAGCAAGTCAGTTGCCTATGTAGATCGTGGGATGCTTCACGGGGGACTGAGGGGGGCTTCAATGCAGCTTTGGTTCGAACATGAAACATACCATTGACAAAGACAGGCCGAGGAAAGTCGGACCCCCGACGAAAAATAGAGTTCAACGCTTCAGGATCGTTGACGTAGATCCAGTTCTTGAACGGAGTCACCAACACCCAGAGATCGCCTATCTCTTGATGGGATCGATACCTGTCAGCGACCTCCCACCCCCGCCAGTTGTACCGCGCAAAGCTGCTGTTTCGGAGAAAAGGTAGGCGGCGAAGGAATGAAAGCGCCTTGCGGTCTACGAGCACCCAGAACGGGTTCAGCGGACTGATGGGGATGAAGCGGATAGGCACGCCAATGGTGCGGGCCGCCGCATAGTTTCGGAGCAGACCGGTGATTGTTTGCACCACGAATGCACTCGTGAGCAGAAGTGGTGCAGCTATTAGAGCGGAGTAGAGCCAGGCCATGATGAGGATCACGCTCTGCTTTGATAATCTTCATATGAATATTGTCAAGGCAGACGGATGTGAGAAGAATACTGAGTCGTCTTCTATTCCATGATCACAATTCTCCGTCGACATTCTTTGGTTTTATCCCCGAGGACCGAGGCGGATGGGTTTATTGATACGTCGCAGAAGCGGTGTGTTGGTTGGAAACTGGAGGATCAGCACTAAATCCTAGGCCTGATCCTGCAGGAGTTCAACTTGTGCTTGGCGCGTGTATCCAAAGATGCAGATTATGCAAAGGCTCTCACGTATAACTGTCAACTGGTAGGATTCTGTCGCTTGCTAGGTAGTAATATTACCTACCTACCTACCCGTTGGCTCCCGTCGAGCTTCGTATTCGCTCAAGGGCCTACTATTTGGACACCAATGAGACTGCTGAGCACCACTGCACGACTGCACCTGGCTACTGGAGGTTATCAAAAAAAGATCCTAGAATTCCGAGAGCTGAGGAACTGCATGCGAATCATGATCGTGCTCCGTTGGTTATCAAACTGAATCATCTGCTCATTCCCTACCGTTTCCCGGAACTTGAAGACAACACCCCCTTTCTCACAAGTTACAGTCTCGAAGCAAGCCGGTTCTCGCCTGGCGCGTGGTAATCCGGGACCTTCATGTCGAGAGCTTCGCCGGAGTATCCGAGATCCTCGGCGATGAGCACAGCGGCCTTTTCTCCTGTTTTTAGTGTTAGATGTCTTCTTATTTTATGTATTCTTGGGAAAACGGACCAATCAATAAGGCCGTGCTGTAAGTATTGCAGCCCACATTGTCCGGGCAGATGCTGAGGTCGGCCACCTTGAGGCCTTTGACGCCGTGCACGTTCAAGCGCTCATCCACGACACCGTGCTTGACGATGCTGTTACCCTCTCTAGGTGCCATAGAGCATGTCTGATGAAGAATCAAGGATCAGCGCGGTTCCTCACTGCATTCACCCCTTTTTTTGGGGAAAGTAAAACAAAAGGGGTAAAACTAGACTTACACCAAGGCAATGCCACGTCGTTTCCACATGGCGCTTCACCCATTCCTCGACGGCCTCGATGTCTTTTTTGCTGTACTTGAGCTCCTTTCTCTTGGCCTTGCGGTTGCTGGTCACGATGCCCTGCTTGACAGGCTCGTCGGGCTCCGGAACGGGCACGCTCCAGCTGCCGTGCTGGATACCGGCCGTGATGTTGCCGGGCAGCGCGTACTTGTTAGTGTCTTCCAGATTCAGGTCATAGGCACGCGCCTCGGAGTCATAATCAAACACGGGATGGAATGCCTGGAGCTCGCCCGCATAGCAGTCCATGCGGCGGGCCGTCTCGCGCGACTTGATGTAGCCCCAGACCATGGGCGCCATGTCCCGCTCGTCGTTCATGAAGCCCGCGTCAAAGTCTGGCACGGCGTAAGGGTCGGGTGAGGAGATGTGCGTCCAGCCACGGGAGAAGGGGTATTCTATGACGACCTTAAGCTTTAGAACGAGATAAAAGGTAAGCTAGTAGATTTACCTAGAAAATGAAACATGGTCATGTAGTTACCCAGAGGCCTATGAAGCAGTCAGAACTGATTAGAATGGCAAGGGAGGATGGGGAGGAAAGGGTGGGAAGAGATGTTTAAATCAAGGGGGAGGGGAGGGGGTTGACTTACGCCAACATATGATCGCCAAACAATCCGCTAATGACTGAATAGTGCATCACTGGCTTATCAGGCTTGTTTTTGAAGTACGACTCCCAGCCTGATTTGAAGTGTGGTGTGGGCCAGGATTCCATCTCCCCCAGTTCTGCTTCAGTTGGGCGGATCTTGACGCCGGCTTCAATGCCATTGGTGGCTAAGGGTCCAGTGCCCTTGATATTCCATTCTTCAAAGACACCTGCGTTGGATCAGTATGTCTCAGGTTACTATGCAAATGTGAAGTTGGGGTTGGGAGGTGGCCGTACGCTTCTGCACCTCCGGGTCACCACGGGCAAAGTCGTCGAACGTCTCGGTGCCGGGCTTCACCCTGTAGACAGAGAAGGTCAAGTAATGGTCCTGGAAATTCAGTCCGACGCCTGGAAGGTTGACAATGGGCTTGACTCCGGCACGGCGGAGTTTGTCGGGGTCACCTGGGCATTTCGGTTAGTCTCCAAGTTATGGGACATTGCTGTGCTGGAAAAAAACATACCAATGCCAGACCGCTGCAAGATCAGGGGCGAAGACATCGTGCCTCCCGACACCACAATTTGCTTTCTCGCACGGAAAATGCGGGTGCCTGGGCTCTAAAAGGGGGAGTCAGCTGGTGAATTGTCACTTGAATGACAGATTATTGGAGTTAACGTACATCTCCCATTGGCTTAGTCGGACTGTAGGTACGTATATACTCCCGTTAGCGGCGGCATCACTGGAAGGAGCAGTCGAGGAGCGGACAGAAAACTTACACGGTCTGGACGGCAACAGCTCTTCCATTCTCAATGATCACCTTGTCAACCTTGGTGTTGCAGGCAAGGTACAAGTTTGAATGGACAGCGCGGGTCGAGTGAATATAAGCATGGGCGCTGTCGCTGCGACGACCGGTCTGAGAAGATGAATGTCAACAAAGCCCCTGACCGTGACCACCAGCATTTAATGGCCCACCAAGACCAAGTAGAAGCGCATTTTTACTTACATCGCGGTTAATCCACTTCAGCCTGGTAGGATTTAGTTAGCTTGTTGTTCATTTCCCTCATAAGCTAGCCAGCTAAGGGGCGAGGAGTTTGTTCATGTTGTCTCAGGGGTCCAATCCCTGAAGGCAATTTCACTCAGTACGCCCCTGACATACCAGTGCTCCCCGCCGTGGCCCGTGTGAAGATCTTGAAGATCATCAACAACGGGAATGCCTTGGGACTCGACAGCCCGGAGGAAGTCCTCCTTCATCGGATACGTGCTACCGAGTGGTGCATGTTGTGAGTACTTGGCCCCTTTCTGGGATTAGGGCTCTCTTACTAGTTGCCAAAGGAGACTTTGATTGGTCCCTCAAAACCGTGGGTGTCCCGGTTGTGCGAAGCACGCTGGTACGTCTCGTGCTTCTTCATCAGGGGCAAAAGCTCCTTGGTCGTCCACCCCTTGGCTTGGAAGTCGTCATAATCCGACGCAGACGCGCGCGTATACATCTCGACAGAGGTAAGCAAATGAGTTTTAACCATCTCCAGCTGTGTCGTCGGCCAGTACGTACCATGAAGTTGATGGAGGATCCGCCGCCGAGGATGTGGGCAGCCGGAACAATGGCGCCACGACCGCTGAGCCATGACGATGGCCTGGACTGGTAAAAGGTAGCAGTGCGGCTGTCGAGCTTCATATTTCTCGGGAAAACCGAGAGGAGTTCAGCAAGATTCATAGAAGAAAGGGGTCAAGGAACGTACTGCCAGGGCGGTACACCCATGGGTTGTTGAGGTTATTCTCGCCCGCCTCAATCAACAGGACCTTCAGATTGTGGTCTAAATTTGCGAGCCTGTCGCAAAACAAGCCGTTAGAAACTTCTGGACGGCCAGATGTTCTCACGCTGGTGACGGAGTTCATACCTCCCCGCCACCACACAGCCGCAGCTCCCACCACCACACACAATGATGTCAAATTCCTCGGGCAAGGGCGACATCTTGATCCCACGACGGTGTTGTCCAGTTCCTGAAGTTGATAGTGTTGAGAAAGAAGCCTCATACACAGGCTACTCTATGGGAGGTTCTTTGGAGACCGAAATAGGGGGATATCATCTCCCCTTATGTCCATCAGGCCTCAGCTACATATCGATACTGCTGCCTGATACTTGCCGAGCAACCCCGCTGTCAACAACCCCTCTTCACCTTCGAGGCGAGCCGGGTACCCCAACGGAAGTCCTCTTCACGAGGATCAAGTTGACGTTGTAGTGCCTCATGGAGGCCTGCATCTACACCTGGTTGGCCAATGGCTCAATGCCAACCCCTTTACCGGACCTCGGTTTGCGTTTCATTGCTCCTTCTCCTCACTTTTGATGACCATATTGCCCTTGAGAAGCGAATTGGATACCAGACTATGATGATGCATGTTTGGGAACCCCGCCTCTCTCCCTCGAACCGCTTCAGGTTGTGTGACGGCAGCTTGCCGGCCAGGACGACTCCTGGACAGCATTGAGGACGCGCGGATTCTGACGGCAATGCGGAGAGGAGTCAAATTTGAACCTGTGATTGGAGCCCGCTCAAACCATAGACCTTGGAGTAGGCAAGGAAAGACGGGTTTGGCAAAGCTGCTACGTAGGGACTGAGCTTTGATGCGGCAGCTCGTACTTGCAAGTGCCTCAATCTACATATCTCGATACGGTATTCGCTTTCAGACTCCACGAACCCCTTTTCCCGTCCGCCACACGCATGTCCCACCCCTTACGTTGTACAGTACAACCCATCGGCATATACAACTGGCTACCGTAAATTCCTGTGCTTCTCTCGAACATGGAGCGTTATAATTGAAGTCCTGCATAGGTGTGTCCGAGTGTCATGATATTCGAGCTGAGATCTGCCCCTTTATCCGGCAATCGTTTCCAGCATGATGTCAATCTCAAGAACAGGACTTAAACTTCTGTCTCCTATCTCCCTCTATTCCGAACCCGCGAGGTAAACATAGGATTGAACTTGATGTTGATTCATGTCACTGTTGCTTCTCCACACAGACTGCATTAGGTCTTCTTTCCCCAGAATCCTCCCAAGCTACAGGGCCGCAGACGTACATTAGCGCCATCAGTGTGAAGAAGCCATCGAATCCTGGCCCCGGAAAAGGAGAGCGGGAACGGGAACGGGGCTAATTAACGGCGGATCGAACGCCACTCCTTCTGGGGACTCCACCCCTCTCCTTTTCCAGAAGAAAAGGGGGGTCGTCAGCATGCAAGTCGTATAAAAAATGTCCGGAAACAAAACAAACCTGAGCAATCAACGACTCGCATCCACACATCCCCGGCGTTCCACCACATGGTCTCTGCATGCAACTTGCAGGGCCAAGAGCGGAGATTTGACAGCAGTAACGGCAACGCGGGGATATGGCGTGGTTTTTGTAAGCGCTACGGGTACTAGTACCTTGGCTCAGGAGCACTAGTAGCCAGTCCCCAGGTGGCATCCAACGGTCTCCAACACCTTGGAATCTAATAATAAGCAGGTTCATACGCTTTGAGTCGGCCGCATCATGCTCAACGGTGCGGAGATGTACGCGGAGAGGAGGTCACGAGAGAGAGACAAATGCCGGACCCCGTCTTATACCCGGGATCTAGGCCTAACGGGTTGGCTAGAAGCAACCGGCAAGGAGTACAGCGAGGTTCATATTGCACCGAAGTGTTCATTGATTGTATTCATGTACCAGTATCCTTTTGGAGACAAGGTGCATCTCCAACCGAGCGATCGGCAGGTCGTTCTGCCGAGACGGACTCCAAGTTGAGGCCGTTGCTGTTGTCCTGTCAAGCCTGTGACAACGATTGGCATCTTGGCTTACCTGCGAGAAGGAAGAACAACCAGAACTCCCACGCAAGACGACCAATCCTATACTACTAGTACTGGACCTAACAAAGCTTGCTGGTGGAAGTACGAGTATGATATCCATCCCTGATAGACTGAACTCTTACGCAGATTCGTCTCTCGCAATCGGGGTCAGTTCCATACATGTAGCTCACCTGACCACATGTAGTAGAATGTAAGGCTCTACTCAGCTGCAGCTCTGGTTCTTGGAGAGCTTCCCTCCCAGTCACAGTTCATAAATATCCCTTTCGGTTCCATTCAACTTTCCACCAATCTCCCGTCCGGATACCGGTAAACGTGCTCTGCAGCAACCCCAGTCCGGGCCACCGTCCCACTCCTCGGAATAGCATACCTACTCTATCCGGCGAGCATCACGAGAATGAGGTATCGAGGCAGCTCGAACCCCGAGTTAGGTCCGGAGTTTCCGTGTTATGCAGACATACTGACATATCCAAGTCTCAAGAACTTACATGTAGTCTAGTATCACCCCCAGTGCTTCGGGGACTGAGATTGGCAAATTGACGGAGGCTGTCCTCTTGTCAATGCCGACTGCAAGCGGCTCCATGCCTGTCGGGACTCTGCATGCCTTGACCAAGGGCGGCGAGCCTTCAAACTTGAAGTCCATTTCGCCCAGTTCGTGGGTCACCGTCCAAGACTCCAAGGGGCTGCCACATGACCACCTGATGCGGCGTTGTCAATGTAGAGCAACCCAGCCGGCATACTTGGTACAAATGAGAGAGAGCATCCTCAGAGTGACCTTCGAGTCACGGGTGCCTTGCGATTGTTGAGCATCTCAACGAAGGAGACCCGTGCGCTGAGCAGGCAAATACAACAGTCTTGAGCGAAGTACTGTATCCTAACGTACTAGGCAGGTACGTATAATCACTACCCACGTACACACCTGGACTGCATTTTCCAGTGCCATTTCACGTTCAATTGTCTTCGGGGGGTTCTGTGTCGGTTGTGTATGACCCGTGAAAGCAGTAAAGGTCCTGGCCGTCGTCGGCACACATCCGAAGAATACAACTTAACGATGAGGTCTAACTTACATATTTACCTAGGTACCTAACAGGGAGAGAGGGGGGAGCTGTGTCATCACCACCTGCAGCTACATACAATTCACCTTGATATGTGACCATGGTACGGACGAGATGAGCAGTAATGGCACCTTGGATAATACAACATAACCCTACATGAGGAAGCTGAGCCCAGCTGAGCACCCTTCTGTGCCATGATGTTGATAGTATAATGTTAGTCATCCATGATCATTAGGCACTGTTTCATTCACCCGTACCAGACTACTGTCAGGCAGTCAGGGTGAATGTAATGTTGCCAGTGATGCATCACAAGAGACCTTTGCCCTCTCTCCCTACTAGTAGTACTAGTAGTAGTACCTAGGTCGGTAGGTAAGCAGATAAGAGTATGTTGCCAGCATCTCAACACTGCCTGTCGCCAGTGCTATCGAACCTAGGCGGTCTAGCACCATCAAGTTGGGCTGATTGCCTACGTACTGTGTAGGGAAGATGCGGTACTGTACCTTAGGTAGATGTAAGGTACTTGCCAGGAGCAAACCCGGGCTTGGGCTTTTGTACTGCGCGGTGGTTAAACACGGAGATTTACTCCCAGTCTAAGGGGCTGCGATTCCAGGCAAGGCACCAGCAGAATACATCAATCAAGCACCGACACAGAACTAGGAACTCTCATAAACTCAAGAAAACTTAATTGATAGGTACTCAGCGAGACATGGCACGCGAGCTAGCATCATGATATGACCGCTCCAAAACTCAACGCCAAAAGCCAAACCAAACCGCTACCAAATATTTACTTTCCTTTTCGCCCCGAGTTATGCCAGCCCAATTGTTCATACAAATCAATTCCTTGTTATTGGATGCGCCGCCTCCTAGGGCTAGGGCAGTCCAAAGAAACGGAACCATCTACTTCCAAAGCTCGCTTGGGTAATACTTTCAAGACATAATTTGTCTTGCACATGGTTGGTGGTGTTGTCCGGGGGACACTTGGCGATCCGGGTTTCTTCGACGACGACGATGACTTGACGAGGTTGCGGATCTGCAACCTCCGCTCTTCGACTTTGAGGGCCCACGCAAGAGTGAGCAGGACCTCCTTCGACGGCAGTGCGGCTCCGTTCAGCCCCCAGCTTGCCGGCCCGCTACGGGGCAACTGTCGCTGCGAATCCCCTCCAGCAGCAGCAGACGGCGCCGACACGTCGTCTCCCGAAACCCGGTCGACCGCGCATCCCTCAGATGACACGAACCGCAATGCCTCCATCGTCGCATCCAGTAAGGGACGCGCCAGATTGGGGCTGCAGGTAAGGATCTTCCGAAGTAAACGGAGTCTCAGGGTGGTCGAGGAGGGACGAGTCTGCGACGCTGCGGCTGCTGGGGAGCTGCTGCGGCTGCTGCTGCTCGTTGGTGGGCGCGACAAGATTGGGTTCGCCGTCGGTGAGGAACTCGTTGAAGTCGAATTCGTAGTTTGTCGCCGTGAACTGGAACGCTTCGGTGTCGTCACCAGCCACATGATCGTATTCAAAATCGGACGAGTTGGGAGTAGCAACAAGCCCGCTTTCAAGGACATAGCGATCTGTGTCATTGGCCTCTGGCAAGCAGAAAGCATCGCCGAGGTGGAGGCCAGAAGGAACTGGAGGTGCAGGAGCAGGGCCAGCGCCGGGGGCAGTTGTTGCCGCGACGCTGTGAGCCACGCTGAAGGCTGTGCTTCCGCCGACCGACACTGCAGGTCTTGGCACAACATCGCTGCAGGATGTTGTGTCGCGTCGGGGGAGGCATTCGCCGTGGGCGTGGTGATGGCGGCGTCCGCAAGAGGTGCTGCGACCGTCGCGGCCTTGCTCTGCTCCTCGTCGGCCTCGGGAATGGGGCTTAGGGCGGGGGAGAGTGATGCCGGGTTAACTGTGGTAGTGGTACTGGTGGCGGAGGGGATGGACTGCAGGAGCTGCTCCAGCGCGCTGGTTTCGCCAGGTGCCGAGGGATGACCGTCCTGAGAACCGAAGAGTGTCTGGGAAAAGGTGACTGGGGATTGACGCAGGCCATCAAAAGCAGACGCCGTCCTGGATACGACGCCGGTGGTTTGTTGGAACTTTCGGATCTCCTCGAGCAACGCAAGGTTTGTTTGCGTGGCTTCGTGGAGGGCGCGCTCAAGGTCTTTATTCCTCCGTTCCAAAGCCTCAACTTCCAGGCGCTTCCGCTCTCGCGACGACTGGGCGGCACGGCGGTTGCGGAGGACGCGCTCGACACGGCGTTGTTCTTTTTCGTCCTCGGTCTTGGCACGTTTCCTATCAACTTGTTAGCATCCACGGCGCCAAGACAATTGAACGGTTAGGCCATACCTGGGAGGGAGGTTCGTTTTTGGCTCCGGAAGTACCTGGCCCCATGACTTCCTCTTCTTGACCGGCTTCTTTTCCGGCTCTGGTGTTGACTCAGCCGGGGCGGCCGGAGTCTGGGTGAGGCTGGTCAGGCCGGAGAGCATGCCGATGTCGGGCTTCTTCTCGTCGACAAAGGACTTGGGCGTCAACATCTCGAGGGGGTTGACGGTGGTGGTGGTGGATGCGGAATCAGGGCCAAACAGAGACGGATACATCTCGTCGGGCGTGGAAAGCAACGACTCTGCTGGAGAGTCGTCGATTCTGACGCTCGGTGAGGATGTGTGGGCGGCCCAATGATCCATTTTGGGATATTGGTGCAAGATCACCACCAGGAGGACTTGTGTGCTTCTGCGTATTGATTGTAGGGATTTGTTGCGGAAGAGCAGCAGAATTGTGGTATTGAGGCGCCGTCCCAGTTCCTCAATACAATATATTCACACTAAAAGAGAAGTGTCAAGGGTCGTGCATAGCGGATGACGAGTCCATCAGTGAGTCAAGTGACCCATCAGTCGTGGATTGGCTCACAAGCCTGGTTGCGCTGGGTGAAGAGGACAGATTGTCTTCTTTGGAGTTGGTTGACTGAGCACGGGTGTCAGACGAGGGACCAGGCTGCTTTATCATGTTCTGGCCACGTCTCCAAAATTGGATCCAGTTGTGGCCTGAGGCAGCAAACACTCGGATCCATCGATCCACAGCCGTTTTGGTTGGCAGGCCGTCTTTCGCAGCCTCCGAGCCAAACACGGAAATCGGAACGGGTCCAAGAAAGGGGCTGCCGAAAACCCCCCTTTCACCCTTTCTCTCTAATGATTATTACGGAGTAGACACAGGTACGGAACGTCGAAGATCTGAGGGAGTCGAGCTCCCTAGTACACTAACGTTCCATAGAATAGAGACTATATCTGATAATTTTCTCTTTCTTGAATGAATGCATAGAGTCAAAACCCATGGCATGGAAGCCAAAGGCCTACGTCGTCAGCAACATCGTTCTTTGTGGAACCAACATTGGATTACCTACTGCAGGTTCTCTGACGCCTTTCGGCACAGCCGCCTGTATCTCCAGCTTTGCAGTCTCACCAAGACTCCTCATTCGCCCCTTTTTCTCTCCCTTCTTGATAGCGCTGACTACGCCTCCTTCGTTCCTCCACTCGAGTCTCCGTAATCCCCACAAGTGTTGCTCGTAAACTTTCGCCCTTCCATTCTCTGCAGTCTGCACATTGGAGTCCGTTGTGCAGTGGCTCACCTTCTCAAGCTGAAGCACTGGTGGCACGCTGCCGAGACAATTGCACTCCACTGGCAGTCGCAATACACATGTAATTGACAGTGGATTCTTTTCGATTCCATTCACTCCTATCCGTATTCACTCCCATTTCTGGTATTGTATTGGCTATATAAAGAAACTTGGCGATATTCTCTCAATCAAATCAGTGTGTGACCGTTGCGGTTTGGCTGGAGTTATGCTGCCACAGCATTCGACTACCTATGGGCGGGCCGTAATATAAAGCGGAAGCCTGCGGAAGCTTGGGGGGCGATTGAAGTGCCATCAGGCTGAATATGGATCCCCGGAGTCAAGGGCTCAAGGCAGGCACAAAGAGATGCTTCGAGCCGCGCGAACAAAGCCGGCACTCGTCTTTACCGGGTGCAAGATCGTAGAAATCCGCCAAATAAATGAAACCCCATATTTTACGACTCGGCAATGCGACGGCCCGTCCAGACACGGATGCATCTTGTATGTAGGTTGAAAGTGCGTTAGGGTTTGGAGAAGTCTGTAGAACACTGGCAGCTTCTGTGCTCTTGATGTTGCTCCTAGTCGCAGCTTCTGCTGAGCCAACTCCTTAGCATGATATGCGGCTTATGGTGCTGACTTACTACGGATATAGCTTTTTGTACGGAGTACTACGGGAATAGATTTTTTGTGCTGACTTCGTAAGCCTGGGCTGACAACTTCAGTATTTGCCCAATATAGTCTAACCTGCACATAACGATCAGAGGCATAACGATTACCTGGCTTTGACGATTACTATCGCGATCCCATCGTTATTTGTATGGGAAATTGCTAGTTCCTGTCTACTACGATAATCGTTGGATTCTCAGCTTAGTAATCCATACAAATCGCTGTATTCAGGGGTGCCCAGGAGGTATCCTTACCCCTGAATCGCCCTGCCCGCAGGCCAATTTTGACCCTACCGTATGATCTCGCGAATAAGGGAAATTAAAAAGTGGCTAAGGCAAGCCCAGCTCAACCAGCTCAGCGCAGCAAAAGCGAGCAAAAGATGCAGGACAGCCACATCTAGCCACAGTTGCCTTGGTGCCCTGGTCCTCCCATTGGTGGATGTCTCGCTGTGCGGGCTGGGCATGTCCACCTTTAATTTCCCTTATTCGCGAGATTATACGGTATTTTACTGGTTTTTCCAAACCTGTGAAAGCGATTTCCACACAGTAAGCTTGGATCAGGATTCCAAGCAGTCTGCAACGCCAGGAAAGTAGTAAAATCAAGCGACTTGGCTGTATCTAGAGCTTCAGAGAGCGAATGAGAGCCCCTGACCTTCCGTTTGGGTAAAAAGTGGGTAACCTGGGCATAGCGATAACCTGGGATCTACGATTAAGATTCTGTAACCCGGGCCAATCGTTATGTGCAGGTTAGACTGTAAAGAGCGCCTGATGAGGATGCGTATGCGAATCAGGAGCTGTATGCATGATCGTTGGCTGCAATCCAGACGCTGGGGTTTGGCCCAGGCGGCACGTGCATGTGTGGTTTGCAGCTCAGGCACGACACTGCGGGAGCCTGGAGCTGAAGGCCCTCTGCCGTTGAACTCGCAATTTCTGTTGACCACACTATTGTTTCTTTTTCGTGAAAATATATCTCTGATATATCGAGACTCGACCCCATATAACAAGCGGCGCATCTCCGTCCTCCTTGGTATATTGACTTTAGACAAAGACTATCGATACTGGCTCCGGAGTCCAGATGCTCTGAGCCATGCAGTCGTCGCAACGCCGTCGCAGAGAGTGGGGTTTCCTGCTTCAGACTTTCGCAGCACAAGCGAGCCATCGGCTGTTTTCTCCGTCGGCCTCCCCACAATCAAGCCATGTGAGTGCGTCCAATTTGGATCGCTTCTATCAAAGCCGGCCCGCCGTCCGCGGCCGTTTTCTTTTACCACTCCCAACCCGATTCGGATCTGGGAGGGTCAACTTCGAGTCGTTGCATTTTCTACTGTACTGGTGGAGACAGGATCTGTATGGAATCTGGGGAGCCGAAGATGGTGGGTGGAGTGGACGGAGCCTACACTACACTAGAGGGACAGAGCCACATGGCAATTGATCCTCCGTACTCCGTTCCATCTTGCCCTTTCGAGCGAAGTGAGCGCTCGGGTGTGGGTGCCAGAACCAGAAGTCTGGGGTAGTGTCAAGCGGCACGCATTCCACGTCTTATTATAGCATCGCTTTTCGAATGATACTCGAGCCGATCAGACGCCGGGATTCACGTGGCTATCTCCTCCGTCTGATGCGGCTCCGACTGCTCTGTCCAGAGATATATTACATGCTGATGCGTGCCGTCCCCGACTGCCCAGTGTGTGCCATGGGTCATGTCAACCACCTCGAGGCGGCAGTCGAAAGTGTCAGGTGATAACGGCAAGACATCTCCTCATGTCTAATGAGCAGAATTTTAGAACAGGAAAATACAAAGATTCTGCCTCTAAACCGATACCGTCCGTCCGTCTATCAGACCACCTCACCCCGGCCCTTTTTTCCTCTTTTAGATTCTGGATCACTCCGAACGCCTCTTACACCGAACATGCGAACCGCTCAGACGCCACCCCGTCGAGATAGCGCTCTCAGGTTGTTGTTGATCTACTTTTCCGGCCCTCTCAAAAGACCGGATCCCATCCTGCACCCCACTGGTGAGGTCCCTTGATGAGTCCCTCAATATCGCTGGTGACCCAGCCGCCGTAAAAGTCCGACGGCGGCGGATGGGCTCTCTCATTGTCTACATAGCACTCCCAGGGACCGACGAAGAAGGCAAGATAGCCCTTGATCGCCTCGTACTCCTTTGGCGGCTCGTTGTACGACCAGATGCGGTTGGAGACGATGTCTGCCGCGGATATGGGGCTCATGATGGCATAGTATGTCGCGGCGCCGTAGAATTCGGAGAAGGTCGACCGCGGCGTGGTAGAGAGAGGCAGCCGAACCCTGCTGGGCGGAATGTAGTAGACTGTTGGGGAAAGGGTCAGCAGCCGTCGATGCACGCGAAACCACATCTCGAGCCCCGCAGAGGACCGAAAGAGCGGAGGGAAGGGGTTGGGTTAGAGGGGGACTGACCAGGAGCATGATGGGTTTCCAGCACCCAGAATGCCTCGCCGGGCGGGCAGTCAGCTAGTAGCTGGCCGTGCCACTTGATTTGGATGTGCCGGGAGGTTCTCTCCACGACCGGCGGACGGGGGAAGGTTGTGACGTTGTGTTTCCGCATCGCAGACATGTTTATGTCGCCGGTCCAAAGGGGATAGATGGTAGGTTTCTCGGAACTGGTACGGAGGGAAAGAGGAAACTTGAATGGGAGAGCCTAAGGCCTGACCGAGGGCATTGACGGTCGTGAGAAGAAAAATTAAAAAGCTATTTCGATTTCTCGAAAACTCGACTAGGAGTATCCATGTGCTTGACAGCGGGACCGCTCCAGTGTTGTGGCTTGAACACAGGCCCACTGATACCTTACCAGCACACAAGACCCTTGCCACGTGCGGTTACAAGGGCAAGTGCACCCTGGAAACATTGCCTAGGTTTGGTAACGTTGAAGTTTTGCGAAGGGGCGCACTAGCCACACCGCTGCGTCATGAGGCCACTCAAGCCGCACTTGCATGCCCCACCAGAAGCCGACCAACCGGATGTGGCCAGCGACGGGCTCAAAGCCCCTGTAACTTTGGTCTTTGGCCTCGAAGTCAGCGTAGTGGCTGCCTTGTCTTCTCAGCCGCCACCTTTTTGCCTTTCAACATCACGCTTCATCTCCGACATTCGCCAACGACAACTCAGTCGATCGGGCCTTTTCCTCCGCCTCCGACGTACATCTTGGTGATACAAGCACCCATTCGACACCATGGCAAACCGACAACTTGCCCGGGATATGCAAACAGAGTTTCAGGCGCGGGTACATTTGCCCCTCAATCTTGACCGTGACCCCGCGCTCGACGGCGAGCGTTGGGATGTCTGGACAAGAGATGCTGACGATCGAACAGTTCAACGCCAAGCAAGCGAGACGCGAAGCACAGAAGGCAGCGAAGCAAGACAATGAGCTAAAGAAGCAGATTCAGAATGTGGGTTCACCCCGGTCGTTATCATCATAAGTCCCAACCCACCTCACCGCCGCATTTTAAACTGACCGGAACGGCTCTCGAACAAACCAGCTCCTCAAAAAGGGCGAGACGGCACAAGCCGCGCAAAAGGCGCGCATGCTTCTCGCGAAACAGGCGATCGCGGCGCAGATGGACCAGGCGGCCGACATGGCGGAGCTGTCGCTGGCGCAGATCCAGGCCAACAACGCCATGAACCGCATGACGCACATGATGGCGCAGTCGTCGCGGACCATGCAGCGGGCGCAGCGCAGCGCGAATCCGGAGCGGACTTTGCTCACGCTCGAGCAGTTCCGCGCCCAGAACGAGGAGTACGCCATGTCCAACGGCATCTACCAGGACGCCATGACCCAGAATACCAGTGTTCAGGTTAGTGATGACGCGGTGCATGAGTTGCTGGGCAAGTTAGCGGATGATGCGGGGTTGGAGCTGGGGAAGGAGTTGGGCCAGGCGACGACTAGTAAGGAGGACCCGGTGAAGGAGACGGTTGAGCCGAATCCCGAGGTCGAGGATGCGTTGCAGCAACGGTTGAGGGCGTTGAGGGCTTGATAACTTATGGCCGTGGGGGGTATAGAGGGTGGCGGCTAAGAGGGGGTTTACAGAAGAGGAGGGTTTGCCAGGCTGGTCGGGGTATACGGATCAAGAGGGTAAAGCTACGAAGTCGATGACAATATTGCAAATGGGCACTTGGGGATGCTGCGGATGGGTCTCACACTTGGTCCCCAGCCCCGCTGGGAGGGCATGACATTTATACTGCGGCGTTGGGGTTCGTGTTGGTTTCATTTTCGTTGGTTTGCTGTGCGGAATCATGGCCTGTGGTTTATTGCTGGTGGTATGGAGGGTTTCCTTGTGGTCAGCCGCGTGATTGGGATAGACTTTCAATCGAATTACAGTCAGCAATCAGAGTTATGATGAGTCCTGCCTTGGGACACGAGTGAACCTAGGGGCCTGGCGCCAACCGACAGCCCCTGACTCTGTTTCCATCATGTATGGTGCCAGATCTGGCAGCACCCCTCGCGAAAGGCAGAGTCTTGCTCATTTTATTAAGTTGCCATGGGGAGAAGTAACAAGGTTGACATTTGATACCAGGGCTTTTCATCCATGATGTCCCTACCGAGTTTCAGGGGCTAATGGAATGACAGCCCTGGACCCGGCACCAGATTGGAGCAGGACTTGAGCTTCCAATGGCAATTCGCAAATTGCTAGGTTTATCAAGGAACGGTTTGGTAATGGTCTAATTAGGCTATGACACAGCATGGAGAGGATAACATATTCATTGCCAGATTGCCCCCTACTCCTACCTGAGTCTCGCATTATGAGCATTCTCAGCTTCTGTTTTCTCTGCCATCAGATGATAGATGACTCAAGTCGCTAACTTCAAGTGGATCAAGTTGAACAATATCTTACATGTACTTGTCTGGTGGTTGCGATCAGTGTCGATACCGTTAAGGTGATAACAAGGGTAGGTACCTTACCTTGGCCTGCGTGATTAGCCCAACTTGTATAGCAGACCGGTGTAGTATGACCTCCATGTCTATCTATTTTCTTAGGTCTAAGGATGCCTCTTCCCATGCCATGCTCATCCATTCTTGATCAATACACAATAGCCCAAACCGCAACCGACAGACCTATCCCTTACACGCCGTCACCCGACCTGAAAACCATGCAATGTCAAGAGCCCATACTTCGTAATCACTCCAATACCTCCCCCCAAGATAAGATCCCTCGCTACATATACAGACTCGCCACAGCGGTGATATCCCTCCTTATCATCTCCTGCGCAGCCGCCATCTTCTGGTACAGATCCGGATCCCCAATAATCCTCGCCGCATTCTTCACCTCGCGACAGGTCTCGTCCAGCCGGGTAATAGTCCGCACAATAGTCCCCTCAAGCACATCCGTCAAGTTAGTAATATTCTTAAAACTCATGCCCCTCGCCCATTCATAAACAACCTCCATCAAACCAAACCGGGGTTTAGTAACAAAATCGTTGCTCTCTTCGGAAGATTGGATGACCTGGTGCAGCGTCTGGACTGCATTGACCTTTTCTGATATCTCAACGATAGTCTTCATGCCGCGTTCTAAATTGCTGGTGAGTTTTGGGACGGAGTCGGTTTTTTCCTGGAATACAAAGGCCGAGAGTAAAGCGGCGATTTCAGCGGGCTCGTACTCGGCTAGGACGTTTTCGAGGATCAACTCGGTCAGGACCAGCTCGTCGCCCGAGTGGATCTCGCAGGCGACTTTGCCTTTGAGCTGGATGCGGCTGGCGTCGTCGATGAAGGAGAGGTCTTTGAGGACTTGGATGCGCTGTTCGTAGTCGGGGAGGAGTTGTAGGTTTTGGTCGGAAAGGGCTTGACGAAGCTGGGCGATGTGGGTTTTGACGAGCCACTGGTCGTGGCACATGGCGTAGTGCTTCAGGAAGTGCTTGCACTCGGCCGCGGGGGAGTGGATTGTCTTGATCTCAGCCTCGCGGCGTTTGCTGATGAGGTCGTGGATCTGCAGGCTCTTGATCCGCCCCAGGTCCATTTCGTCCCAGATGTCGGCCGTCCAGGTCTTGCAGATCTGGTGCAGTTTGTCTTTGGCCTTGGGGTAATCTTCGCCGCCAAAGATGGCGGGCAGGACACCCTTGGTGATAGTCTTGGTGAGGCATACCAAGTCGCTGATGGGGACGTGCAAGGTTTTGGTGTTAATGTGTCGCTTGGACTGGGGCAACGGCGTGAGGTACTTCCGGAATGCGGGGACGAACGGGAGCAGGTCAGTGTCGTTGCGGATTTCTCGGTTGGTCTTGATCTCGAGCACATGCAGCGTGGGGTTTGCCGCGCTGCTCTTGACGCTCGCTCCCTCGGCAAGAAGGATACCAGGCGTGCGCACGCCTTCCTTCATCCAAACAATGAGCCGCCCAGGGGAGAACATCTTGCGGCCGACGGGGTTGACCAGCAGTCCGCGGTACAGCTCCTCGGTCAACTGCTTGAAATCCTCGCCGGCTTGGTGGCACTCGTCCATATGGACGTCGCAGACCGGGCATGGGTCCCGCTTGACCTTTGCCAAGTCCGCTTCACCGAGCTTGACTGCCTTCTCGTGCTCAGGCAAGAGTTGCTGGGTGGCGTGTTCTGAGAAACTGCGCTTAATCATTTCCTCGATTTTCAGAGCCTCAACACGGAGAAGGTTCAGGATCATGTTGTACGTCAGACGGAACTGCGACCGGAGCTTGCTAGGCTCGCCGAGTATCATCTGCCGGAGGTCGGTAACAGGAGGAGCCTCGTCCCCGCCTGGTGGAACGATGATGACCGAGCCGACGGTGTCCAGGCCGCGCCTCCCAGCTCTGCCAGCCATTTGGGTGTACTCCCCAGGAAGAAGGTTCCGGAACTGGTGGCCGTCGTGTTTCCGATACCCAGAGAAGACCACAGTCCTGGTTGGGAGGTTCAGCCCCATCGCAAAGGTCTCGGTGGCAAAGAGAACTTTGACGAGCGTCTGCGCAAACAGGATCTCGACGAGCTCTTTCACAATGGGCAGCAGCCCACCATGATGGACAGCGATACCACGAGACAGCAACTCCCTCAGCCTGATAATCTGAGGCAGAACACGGTCTTCGGGCTTCAATCGCGCAATCGACTTTTCGATAATCATGTGAATAGCACTCTTCTCCTGAGCCGTGCAAAAGTCCTGGTTGCTCAGCGCATCTGCATTTTCCTCGCACCTCTTTTTGGAGAAGACGAAGATGCAGGCAGGCAACAGGTTCTGCTTCTTCAAAAACTGCACCAGGTGAACCCAGAGGTTCTTGTCCTGGTTTGCCGAAGTGAAGCCTCCAGGTCTTCCTGTCCGACCCATGTGGCCTGGGGCATGGCTTGCACGGGGCGGCCCGCCCCTGCCCCTCTGCTGGCCACCCCCTCTGCCACCACCACGTTGCTGATTAGCACCCCTCTGCGCTCCGCCCCGGGCTCCGCCTCTCTGGTTGCCGCCCCCTCTCGACGGTGGCGGGGCTGGTGCGATCGCTTTCGGCTTGTCCTTGCCTTGTATCGCAGCATTGGCATCCTTCCAGCCCTTCTCGAGAAATCGCTTCTCTGAATCGACAATCTTGAAAATGTTTTTGTTCCCCCAGAGATAGTGTTCCAGAGGTACGGGTCTCTTCGGCGTCGATATCACATAGATGTCCTTTTGCTTCGTCCGGCCCACCCAAGAGGCAAACTCGTAGGTATTCGGAACCGTGGCGGAAAGGAGGATAAGTGAGACGTGCTCCGGCAGCATGATAATAACTTCTTCCCACACGACGCCGCGTTCAAAATCGTTCACGTAATGGACCTCGTCGAAGATGACGAACTCAACGTCGCGAATCAGATCGGCGCCACGGTAGAGCATACTCCGTAGAATCTCGGTCGTCATGATGAGGCAGCTAGCCTCTGGGTTGATCTGCACATCGCCCGTCAAGATGCCGACTTCATCGAATGTCTGCCTGAAATCGCGGAACTTTTGGTTGCTTAGTGCCTTGATAGGAGAGGTGTAGATCGCTTTCGTCATGTGTTTCGCAGCCAGGGCGATTGCATATTCTGCAACGACAGTCTTGCCAGCCGAGGTATGTGCCGCAACGAAGACCGAATCGCCATTCTCGAGGTGGTAGATAGCCTCCTTCTGAAACGTATCCAGCTCGAACGGCCATTCTCTGGCCATATCCGGGACCAGCTCCCGGAAGTTGGGCATCTCCCGCTTGATGTCGACCATGTGCGCCCATTCGCGGCCAGCTTTTCTAGCGCTGGACGCTGCAAGCGTGCCACGCGGCTCCAGCGCAGGGAACTCGACCGGCAGCATGGAGTCGATATCTTCCACATCGCCCTCCTCTTCTTCATCCTGCTCAGTGCTATCGTCATTGACAGGCGGCTTCTCCCCATCCTCCACCTCAGCACTAGGCGCACCTTCGGGCTCTTGGTCCAGCACGTCCTCCACTTCCTTTGCCTGCCTCTCGCTCTCAGCGTCGGCCTGCTTTTTCCTCCTGCTAAAATCGATACCCCGGGAAAGTCCGGGCGCAACCTCCAACAGCCCACCCTCGCCAAGTTTTATGACTCTCTCCAACTTCTTCCTGCTATCCCCGTCTTCGGCGGTACTCGACGTTCGCAGCTGATCCTCCAGCGCAGCCGTCGACTCAATCCCCTCCAAGCCGCCCGGAGCGAAGGGAAAGAAGCCTGCCGCGCCACGAACGAAATCTGCCCGGCTGGCTGGCTTTCGGTGCATCGAGGTGCTAGTCTTGGCCGTGGCATGGGACGCGGGGACAGTGACATTGCGGTAGCCCGTGACACGGCCCTCCAGGCCATGGCGGATGAAGCGGGTGACGGTGCGCGACTGGGTGGGTGCGATGCGGAAGAGGAGGGAGTAGTCGGTGGGCGTGTCCCAGCGTTGCTGCAGCCTGTTCAGCCACTCGGTCGAGAAGGTTGTGGATGGAGAGAGGTATTTCGCTTCGAGTTCGGCTCGTAGCCTGGCTGGGTCATGTTGACGTGGGGCGCGGTCGACCTTCTCGTCGAGAATGTCGTCGATTACGTCGAATGTGGCTTTGTCGTGTAGTTGCAGCCTTTGCATGGCATCGCTGAGGTCGGATGCCATCGTGGCGGGAGTTCAGGCTGACAGAGCAACTAAAGCACGAAGAGATCCCACCAGACTCAGAAGAGAAATCAATGAGAACTATGTCGAGGCCTTAGAAAGTCCCGTCATGGCACCGCTGGGTGGTGATGCTTCAAGTCTTATTGTCAATGCTTTGTCTCGGCGGGGAGCAGCTTGACCCCGCCAAACAATTGTCATTGTGGGACACTGGGAAGAATAAGCGAAGGGTTAGGGTTCAATATTCAAACAAGGGGCAGTGAATAAGATCATTTAATCCAGACATGACTCCATGGCCATTGCCCTGCCTACCAAAGACCATCCATTTCCGCCATGACCTCTTCCTCGTCCTCGAAGCCCATACTTTGTCGTGCCGCGGCTTCACTGCCAGGAGGTGAATTAACCTGTGTGCTGGTACCAGCGCTTGCATTTCCCTCTCTTCTCGATTGAGACGCAGTCTGCACAACTGCCTCTGCCTCTGCCTCTGCCTCTGCCATAAGCGCATCCAAGTCATCTTCGTCTCCTCCATCCCGTTGATTCTCCCCCCTAGACATGCTGCCAGCCACGCCTGGCTGACCTGGCTTGGTTGGCGCCGGCTGTACCTCAACCTCTGCCATCAGCGCGTCCAGATCGTCCTCCTCCAGTTCATCATTCTGTTGTGTGAACCCCTTGTCTGAAGGATTCCCAGATATGCTCTGGACAGCCCCTGATGCCGCACCAGGTGCATTCTGTCGTGCGCCGACCCCTGACTCTGCCTCGGCCATCAACGCATCCAAATCATCCTCATCCGGCACATCGTGTGCCATTTGCCTGGGCGGCTGTGCACTGCTCTGAGCATCCGTCCTGGGCCGCGGGGTAGCGTTGTATATGTCGTCGTCGCCAAACAGATCATCCTCGTCCCTTGTTGGCGTCGTTGGCCGCTCCCGCGAGGCATTCTCAAAGATCGGTGCGATTCTTTCGGGTTGCGGCAGGCTAGACTGTTGTTCACGGCCCGGGAATTCGCCCTCCTCCTCCGCCTCAAAGGTCGCCTTCGGCCTGCACTCATCGATCCATTTCAGGCGTGCGTTACGCATTGCCGTCTTGTGGCCCTCCTTCTCGACCATGGCGAGGGCGTCTAGGAAGGTGGCTTTGGGGAAGAGGTCATCGAGCCAGTCTTGGTAGAAGGAGAGCAGGCGGGCGGCGTCGGAGAACTGGATGATGGTTACTGCGGGTGGACTCGGGATGAATGGAGAGATGGAAATTACCTCGTGGCCCTTGCCCTTTAGTTTCAGCCTTGGGGCCATCTTCCGCAGCTTTGGGATTCCTTTCTCAGAAAGGAGCCTGTTGGCGGAGGGTTAGCCTGTGGGACAGAATGGATTGGAAGTAAGGCCACGAACCGAGCCTCGTCCAGTTTCACTCTTGGAGCCCGGGGCTTCTTTTTCAGATCTATCTCCTTCTCAATACCTAGGACATCTTTCTTCTTTTTACCGTCGTCCTTTGCTTTCTTCCCTGCTGGTTCGGGGCTCGGGGACCTGAAGGGGTTGTCATCGTCGTTCCAGTCGGCGAGATAGTTGTCGATGAAAGTATTGCTATCTGCTCTTTCATTTGCAGTGCCAGCTGGCCTGGAACTCGCCGTTGCAGGCATTGTGTGAGTAATTATCTCGTGTCCGTTGCGGTTCGTTGTCAAGTGAAGAATAAGTCGGTGTCAACAGCAGGAGCATGGGTGATGAGACGCGTCGCGTGAATGGTCTCAATTAGTCCATCAACCAATTGTGGCTGGGCTTGGCGCGTAGGTGTGGCTGAAATGTACAGTACATCATGATACCGTATTTACACGGTCTGCTACGTTGCGGCCTTAGGCAGTCCAACCTTGAGCTTCCAAACTCCAGGAAGCTTCAAACCGACTGCGACGACTTGAAACTTCGATTGCTCACAACTCGCGAACTGCCCGACGACGCCTTTGTCGCCGCCAACATGTCGAACCCTCCGACTCAGACGTACCAGTTTCCGAGCAAGACAGTCCAAACAAAATACCCCGTGAGTATACGGACCAATTGCTGGGCATTTTCCTCATTCCTCAGTTTGCTAAACTGAAATCAGCTCATCGACAATGACCCGTACGTTATTTCCTCCCGTCGATCCATCTGCATCTTGCGATACGTTCACTCCAGATATATCTGACTCAATTGGCTGCCTGCTCAGACACTTCAAGCGCGTGATTCGGTATGCTCGGCCGTCCGACTATGCACACGGCGCCGCGGCGGCGGCTGCTGGGCCAGCTCTGCTCTTCGCCATGGAGAGGTTCGCCCCGTCGTATGCTGGAAAGGGCGGGTTTGCCCAGGCGATGCGTGTGACGAGCTTCATGGGCCTCATGGGTGGCTTCCTGTACTACTATCAGCGCTCTATCCGTACGTCATCCGAATGCCGGTTACTTCATCCCGCTCCTCAACACACACACCCGACTATACGCCCCGGATGGGCCTGAGATTTTAGGCCGAGGGCGTGGTCACGGTTCAATACGTACATGCACTAACTGCCACCATAGTCCGGTTCTACGGCATGAGCGAGAACGCCCGCGAGGTGGAGATGGACATGCGCGAGATGGTCGACAGAGTCAAGGCTGGGTTGCCGTTGTACGGCGAGAGCAGGCTTTCACCTTCCATGCAGGGTGTTGCGGCGCGCCAGTCGAGATATTCGGCGCTCTTTTTCGATGTCCTCCCCTGGTTCAACTTTGTGAACCACAGCCAACACGGTGTCGACACAGCCAAGTACTACCAGCAGGCCGAGAGGGAATTGGAGGCGGAGCGCCTGGCTAAGGGTGGGCGATGAGTTGGAGCCGGTGAGTAGATGGGTGGACGCGGCATGGGAAGCGGGTGATGGTAAGCTGGTGGCAGGCGACTTTGTGGAAACTAGGCGCCAGGTGTACATATGACCTCTAGACGACTGGCCTGCGCAGGCCTCGGGTCAGCACACATTTATTTTCTTACGTTATCAAGCCACCAGTGCTCGAGCATATCGGTGCTGAGAGCCAAGGCAGGACCCTTCAGAGCTACGTCCCAGCTCATCCTCGGGAGACATTCTACTTACGACGAGAATCTACATGCGTTTCCCATCAGTAACGCGCTAGCTCTCCCTTGATTCCAGCTACCCGAGGCACTTCACTTCAAGGCAAGGTGCAGGTGCAAGGTATTCAATTCGCTAACAAATGCTATGCAGTCAATTTCGGTTTTACACACCCGACCTTGCGCAGTTGCTAAATACAAGATTCGTCTTACTCCCTTGGGCAGCCTGGCTGCTACGCCCGTTATTCGGCCACTCCAGCAACTTAGGCCCCGGCAACACACTGCGAATAGTACGGCGGCGAGACCGCCTTGCAAGTGTAGCCAGCCTGCAAGGAAGTATCCAGTCAGCGAAGAGCCCGGGGAGCTGCAGACTGCAGAGAGGGAATATAAACTTACGGCGCATTGGGTGCACCCCGTGTAGCCGTTTCCACCACACTGGCCGAACGCCTGGACAGCGCACGCCTGAGGCTCAGACGGCGCGGCGGCTCCCCCATCCGGTGAAGCGGCGCCGCCGCCGCCAGCAGCCGGGGCGATAGCGGTAGGCGACGAGCCGACCTTGCAGCTCGACTCGCAGCCGGCACAGCCAGATCCAGGCGTCTTGACGGTACCGCCCGAATAGACCGCCGGTCCCGGAGCGACATAGGTGCTGAGCGGGGCGTGGATGTTGACCCTGATGCCGGGGTCATTAGCACTATAAGCCCCGGGGAACTTGACCGTTGCCGGGCTGGCATTGCCGCCACCCTCCACAGTAATCTGATAGCAGCTCATATAAAACTGGGCGCCCCCCGCCTGGCCGGCCGTGTGCAGCGCCAGCGCCTCAGCACGAAGCAAGTAATCGCCCGAGGGGATGTCAGCTGGGATTTTCACGTCCATCCTGCCGCAGCAGGCACTAAGATCACGCGTGCCCCAGTTATCGTCATCTCCGGAGTTGCCGCCGGCCTTTTTGGACCAGGAATTGGAGAAAATCTTGAACCAGCCCGTCGAGCCGTCGGCTTTGGTCGCGTCGGGCACTTTGGTGAGGTAGACCTGCACGGGACCCCAGTGGGCGCCGCCGATGGCCTCATTCCGGCAGTTCCGGTCGCCGGGCTGCTGGTGCATTTCTACGGTCACGGTGCCGCCGGCTCGCACGGGGCATTTCCCGCTGACCGCCCGCGCGCCCACGTTGCACACGAAGTCCCGGCTGCCGACGTTGGTTACGGGGGAGTTGGAGGCGGGTGTGCGTACGCAGGAGGAGCCGTGCTAAGGGGTTAGTAGGGTACTTATGGTGTGGGGGAGGAAGGGGGAAGGGAGGGGGGACGTATATAGTCGGTGCCGTCCACCCACAGCTGTTGGAAGGTGGCGTGACTGGCTACTTCGCGGGCGGCGATGGCCGTTAGGGCAGCGAGGAATGTTGACTTCATGCTTAGCTGCTGTGGGCCTGTGGCCTGGCTCAGGGGTTGAGATGTGATCTGGTTAGTTGACTTCCAGGGGCAGGAAAGGCGCTAAGGGGATTGCAGCGTACAGACCGTCAGACATGCAACTGACCACTGCCAACCCTATATACCTCGTCTTCTGCCTTTGAGCAGCCAGGTCGACCATCAAAGTGCCCAAGCCCAGGCGGCTCGCCAAAGTCAATTACCGGCCGCATCATCGGCATCATCATCGACCAGGGAAATGCGTGTCGTGTTGGCGCTTCCTCGGCCTCACTTGTGCATGCGACCTGCCGAGATGGGCGTCCGGGGCCCCGGACTGTCTGAGACGGATCACTATACCCCAGATTTGCTGCGCTTGCCATGTTGGTTGTGGAATCAATATGCTGCAGGCCATCAAAAAAACTGGCAATGGCAGAGAATGGTCATGAGGATTGGCGGGCGCATCATGAAAGCAATATCGAGCGGTTATTTACCCGGGAACGCGGCACCCGCGCTCCCCCCGGACTTCCTCAATGGGCCAGGGTGGAAGAGGCTTGAATATCCGTCCCGTTATATATATCGTATATGGACCAGGGCTTACGGGGTAGCTGCCGGCCAGTCTTTTTTGGTCAAGTTGGGAGATAAGATTCGAGCAGGTCCAGGCTTGATATGATGTAGCCGAGGGAACGTTCTAGCATGCCATAACGATCGTGGTTGGTATGATGTTTTGCTGGTTAGATTGTGGGAATCTTCCGGCGGTTTAACTGCTATAGACTGCCAATGCCGAATGCTCTGTTCATAGCTTGAACTCTGAGCGAGAAGGTCTGTGTTGAACCCAGGGGGTTGAAGCACGGGTGACTATATGTAGAAGCAAGGGTGGATCCAAGGGTATAAGTTCTGCAAGCAAAGATCCCAGAGCTAGGAGCAGTCCTAATCCAATCCCTAATTCTGCCTAGGTTTCTTGCAAACTAGTAGTGTTGTTTGTATATCCCTCTTCAACGGTTGTAGGAAGAATCAAGTTGAAACCGGGAACGACACTGCCTACCTACCTTAGGCACTCGTAGCCTTTCGAGGCTAGCTTTATATTACTGCCTTCTTTGCGTACAATCATGGTTGCAGCTTCAATGTCCTTTAACCCCTGATACGGGCCAAGTGGAAGGTTCGGTGAGTTCAAGTCTTGTTGTTCCCATATACATGTAGGCCTTCTTCAAAGAGCGTACAACAATCAGAACCTCTTCCCTCTTAAACTGCCCAGGTCAGACATGCTTAATAAGTTGAGACCGACGTATGATGCTCTGAGTCTTGTTATGTAGTACTCCCGCAACCACGGTGATCAATGCCATGTAGGTTGTCGTACAATACTACCTGACGCATGCTTCCCCGCATTCTACAAGGATATGCCTCTCCGCAGTGTATGACTGCAAACCAATTCATCTCTTATCATGAAAGTCGTTACTAGCTTTTGACGATTCGTTGGCTACGTGCTATCATATTACTCAGTACTACTAACTACTAGCTGTCTAAGCTCACCGGCTGCTCGTATCATTGGTTGCCTACTAGTAACAAGCCAGGAGTAAACATGGCCCGCTTCACATTGTGGACTGTGCTGATGTCAGGGCTCTTGCTCTCAAGACCCAGCTTTGGTTGGCCCGAAACTGGAGGGGAAGTCAGTGTGCTTGATGTGAATACTACGAAGGCTGTTCCACCTCTGGCCCAAGTTATCGATCAAAAGAGTTTCAATGTACTTCACACTGTCCCGCCCCCCTCTGAGGCTCATGGGTTTACGGTAGGTGCCTTCTTAAGCCCCTTTCACCATGTCATGGATTTGGAATACTGACATTACGTTTCCCTCTAGCAATTCGTTCCACCGGGGACAACGAGGGAGTCTCTCATTGCCCGGCCATTCCACATCTACGACGAAGAGTTTCTGGATATCATTGGGCCAAACCCGACTTTGACATTGCTGAACCACACAGACACAGACCCCTTGTTTCATGAAGCCCCCGTATGGTATGGAACCTATGTTTACTAGGAAAAGCGCCGTTGACCGTTTGTTGATACGTCTTGAAGGTACCCTGACACGCATGAGATGTTCTTCTGTCAGAATGCCGGGGCCAAGGCCGCTGGGACTGGGCTACAGAAGTCGGCCATCATTCAGAAGATCTCCTTGTCTGAGATCACCGCCTCTATCACGAGCCAGAGGAACGCTAGCGGGGCAGTCAAAGTAGAGGTCGTGGGCTCCATGGTGATGAACCCAAATGGCAAGTTGCTCAGCTTGATCAACCAGGGTGAGACACTGACTGACATCTATTCAGGTGGAACCAACTACAAAGGGCAGCTCCTCTTCCTCGGCGAGGGCCAGAGGGATACTGTCGCACCGGCCATGTATCTCATGAACCCAAGGCCTCCTTACAACACGACAGGTAAGCCAGTGTACCTATCTACACCCAAGTGCGGATTGAACTTCTGATCATGTTGTCGTTGGTATTGGCAGTGATCCTTGATAACTTCTTCGGGCGGCAGTTCAACTCACTCAACGACGTGTCCATCAACCCCAGGAACGGGGAAATCTACTTCACCGATCCCACGTACGGTTATGTGCAGGATTTCCGACCACCTCCGGCATTGCCCAAGCAAGTGTGGCGGTTTAATCCGGCCACCGGAGCAGTAACTGTTGCGGCTGACGGGTTCAATATGCCAAACGGTAAGGAACGGATGATAGAAGAGGACATGAAGCAGACACCTTCAAGTTGCTAGTGCTGACCCAAGAACTTGAAACTTATCGTGGCATCCACAGGGCTGTCTTTTTCTCCCGATGGCTCCCATCTGTACATCGCAGACACGGGAATGATCCAGGTATTCTTCGGAACCAACTTTACGTTCCCAGCAACCATGTAGGTCCAACAGCAACATACTACCTCATACACCCCCCCTTATTCCCCTCCTCATCTGCTAAACACATCCTCCCCAACAAACCAGCTACCGCTACGACGTCGGAGCAGACGGCACACTCGACAACCGCAAGACCTTCGCCTTTGTGACGCCTGGAGTTCCCGACGGGATCCACGTCGACACCAAGGGCAACGTGTACGCGGCGTGCGGCGACGGCGTGCAAGTGTATAGTCCGTCGGGGAAATTACTGGGCAAGATCTATCTCGGTAGCACGTCGGCTAACTTCCAGTTTGCTGGGAAGGGCCGCATGGTGATATTGGCTGAGACGGAGCTGTACTATGCGACACTGGCGGCTGAGGGGGCGTTCCCGGGGAAGCTTTACGAGTGAAGTGATATTAATGCCTTCCTGTTTTTAGGTATTAGAAAGGACGAGTGATCAGCTGTTGTGTTGTACAGAGTTGTTTCAGGGTCCTGGACAAAAGTCCTGACTTCTATTAGGCAGCGCCAGTCCTCCCAACTAGGTATTGGCTGACAACTGGAGTTTCAGTCTTTCAGGAGACCTCATGATGGCTTTGACTGTTGATGAAACTCTAAGTACATGAGAAACTTAATCGTAGGAGCCTGAGTCATCTTGCACATTACCTTACACTCGGCA